TAAAACAGATCTACCCTTTCTAGACCAACGCTCTCAGCGTCCCTCCTGCCTGTAGCCAGAATTTTTTCAATAGGTTAATTTTTCATTTGCGGCCCAGTAGAATAATAGGTGACTACAGATACCTATATAAATTTGCTGAGTTCTCAGATCGCAGCCCTCGTTTGATTTTATGAGTAGCCAGAGCTTAGATCTGAGCGCGAAGGATCCGCTAAGCCCATTATTTGATTCAACCAGCCCAAGCAGGCAAGGGGACCTTAGAATAGAAGTGTCCCAGCCGGAACACTTGTGCTCAATAAATCCACCATAGCTTGGTCTCACGTGGAGACCGTGGCGCACGTGGCGCGACTTTGCTCGGGCGCACAGTGTGAGCAGGTTCACTTTCTTTTAACGTGCTTTTTGGTTTTTCCAGGCAACGAAGCGGCAGAGGCGCGCTTCATCACCCCGGCGTTCCGGTCTCCTTCGGCGAGCACGTTTTGGGCCTCGGGCAAAGTTGCCGTAGCCTCAGGTTTTTGCGCTCCTGTTTTCTCCCTGTCTCGCGGTCGTAGTGCGGTTCTCCAGTCCGGGTCCGGTGGGTTGTGGATGACTGTCGCGATACGGCTTCCAAGTGCGATGAGCTTGTCTTGCCTCGTGAATACGTCGGCAAGGTTGAGTTGCGTTTTGCGGTAGCGGTAGTAGGCGCGGCAGCCTCGCTTACTTGTGACCTTGGCCGAGGATGTTACAACGGCGAGCACTCTGGTGGCCTTGGACGTCATCTTGATGTGGGCGTACAACTGCGTCACATTGTCCAGATTCGTTTCCTGCATGACGCCTCTCTCCGCCCAAAGCGTGTGCCCCATGTAAGTTGCCATCGCCTCGAGCAGCTCGATGCGCATTGTGCCCCCGGCGATCGCGGCCACGTGCGGAGGCACCACGTAGGAGAAGGCCTCTACTTGTCCCCACCTGCTGATGTGGTATCCACCAAGCATCGGCTGGCCCTGTGGTCCCCCGTCTGTGGAGGCGTCGGTCCACATAATTGCCAGATGTAATGGGGTGGTGTCCTGGTTGAACCGTACCGGCGGCAGCTCAGGCACCACTTCTTTCAAGGCGGCTATGGCCAGCGCAAGCGACCGTCTTTCTTCTTTTGATCGTACCAGTTGGTCGAATAGCGTCTCCTCGCACCATCGATACAGCGGTCGGAGTAGGTCCGTGCCGCATTTGTCCGGCGCGTGCTGCGTAGCGAACGTCGCCAACCCGATTGTCCGCTGTATGTCGCGGCGGCTTATCGCTTTATCTTTAATCTGCTCGAGGCTGGTGTTGCACGCGGCCGCTACTTTCTCCTTGTACTTCTGCGGCAGCACTATTTCCAATGTTGATGTGCTGCGTTGCCACTCGTACATAAGTCCGAGTGCTTTTACTTTATTTGTTCGGGTCGACAGCTGGTCCGCGCTCGCTTTGGTGGAGAGTTCCATGCCGATCGTGTCGGCCAGCTGGTGGACGAAATCTTTTGCTAGCTGGACTTGTTCGGCGTTGACGCCGAAATAATTTTGATCATCTATATATGCAAGCATCGGCACTCCCCAGAAAATGCAGGCGGCCATGCAGAATTCTGAGATACGGCAAAAGCCCGGCACGCTAGGCTCCGCTCCCATGTTTAGCGCGAACGCTAGCCAATACCGAAACTGCATGGTGTCAGGATCGTACGCGGCAACTGGGCATGACTCCGGGCTATCCACCCCGAACAAGTAATAGGCTTCGCTCCAGTCGTCGGAGCCCATCTCGGGAGGCGAGTGGGAGGCTGTTGGGGCTGCCACGTTCTTTTTTCGCAGCTCCTGCGCGAGTGCGTCGACATGCTGCTCGATAGTGCCTTGTAGTGGTGCCTCGTTTGCAAGGTCTTTTGCTTGCTGCAGCTCGGCGGCGACGTCTTTGGTCACGTCTTTTTTAACTTGTCCGATTGGCGTGGTGAAATATTCTTCCTCTCGTCCGCATGGCATCATGTACATGCCGATGGTGTCCACGATTTTCCTGGTTCCGTGGAGCTGAAGTTTCTCCGGCGTTTTACAATGGCGATTTTTCTTGCGCTGGTCCACGATGCTCCGTACTTTAAACCTCTCGGCTGTGCATTCGTCTTTTGGAAACGTGTACGCGGGTGCGCATTTGAGGTCGGATTCCTCAATTTCTTGGTATCTACCTTTTGCCACGTCATCTTCGATGATGCGGATAATTTCTTTTAGCAGCCAGTCTTCGAATGGTGGCTTGCTTTTCCTCAAGGCTTTCGCTCTTGCGAAGAAGCTGACAACTTCGTCGCTATGCAGCAGCGGTTCCCCTGTTGGTGCCCACACTCCGGTGGCGTCGCTGTTGCCTATCGCGTTGAATCCGGTCAGGATGCGTTGCGGCAGCTTTCGGTCTGGATGGTCAATCAGCTCAATGATCTGCTGCACTGCGACAGCATTGCGCGTCCGCTTCGTCTGCAGCAGTCGCTGGAGGTGAGGCGGACTTTCCTGTTGGATGCGCCGTAGATTTTCTTGTTGCGTCTCGCTTTTGATGCGCTTCAGGGTTTCGATTCCCTGGCGCACTTTGAGTGTCCATTTTTCTGGATTTTGCTTTTGCGTTCTTATGGCTTTTATAAAGTCCGCTCGCAATCTAATGTCGAGCGGCTTACGAAAGGATGGATCAACTAGTTCCTTCTTTGCGCGCAGTAGCGCTTTCTTAATGTCCTCTATGCTAGCTAGTGACGCCGTCATTTTCGGCGGGTCTTCTTTTAAATAGTGCGCAGCCTGTATGTCTTTTTTTTTTTTGTAAGGTTTGGGTGGCCACGGGGCCTTTTTAGGTGGACCTCTGGTCCTTGTTATTTTTAGAGCAGTAAGTAAGGATCTCTGCCACTTTCATTTTACCATTTCGGGATCTCTCAGCGGGTACGGCTTCGCTCTCTTTTTCTCTTACTCAGGGAACAGCAGGAGGCGGACCTTGTGGGGGATCTCTCTATTTGATGTTTCGGTTTCTTTTGATGTTACTATTCCAATGTTACGATCTTGATAATACCACCTAGAACAAAGATCCATTTCGCGAACTCCGTTCTTTAAAACAGATCTACCCTTTCTAGACCAACGCTCTCAGCGTCCCTCCTGCCTGTAGCCAGAATTTTTTCAATAGGTTAATTTTTCATTTGCGGCCCAGTAGAATAATAGGTGACTACAGATACCTATATAAATTTGCTGAGTTCTCAGATCGCAGCCCTCGTTTGATTTTATGAGTAGCCAGAGCTTAGATCTGAGCGCGAAGGATCCGCTAAGCCCATTATTTGATTCAACCAGCCCAAGCAGGCAAGGGGACCTTAGAATAGAAGTGTCCCAGCCGGAACACTTGTGCTCAATAAATCCACCATAGCTTGGTCTCACGTGGAGACCGTGGCGCACGTGGCGCGACTTTGCTCGGGCGCACAGTGTGAGCAGGTTCACTTTCTTTTAACGTGCTTTTTGGTTTTTCCAGGCAACGAAGCGGCAGAGGCGCGCTTCATCACCCCGGCTCCCGTCGCTGCCACGCCGGACTTGGGTTCGCCTCGCGTCTTTCGGTTCGCCCTCAAGCCCGTCGTGGAATCGGACGCCGCAAGTTTTCTGCGCAGCGGTGCCGCTTTTTTCCGGGGAGGCAGCGCGTCTACTTCGTCTGGGCGCGGCGTTGCCGCCTTCATAGGGATTACTTTTCGTGCTTTAGGTACGAAGGTATCCTTCCCCCTTTGTGTGACGCTGCCCTTCGCCAGCAGCGCGTTCTGAGACATATAGAATCCGTTTTGATCCTGCTGTAGTGCTGCTTTACGTGTGAGGATAGCGTCGATGGTGTCACTTTCCTCTTTTTCGGTGGCTTGCCTCGCCGCGTCGTGCAGCGTCTCCAGTTGCTTTTTGCTCTTGGGGAATTGGATGTTGGCAGAGGACGTATCGTCTCGTTTGAGGCTTGCATCGGCGGGTAACAGTTTGGTCGCATCATAATCCTTGAAGTCCACGCAGTAGGCGAAGAAGGTGGCCAGCGTTACCCATCCTCTATCCGCCATATAACTCGCGAAGTTGAAGTGCTTTCCTTGCTGGATATGGTGCCTGGCCATAATGGCATTTGTCCGCCGTGGGGAATGAAAAGTTGCACGGATCGCTCGTAGTGCCATCTTCATTCTCGTCTCGTCCACTGGATAGTCTGGCGGGACCGCGTTGCAGCACATCGGGCAGTGCTGCTTGTTGGTGGTGGCATCCGTGCATGTGCATGCGATCGTGATGTATCGATCCCGAGCATCTAGTATCTTGTCCGCCGTGATCTTGAATGTAGCGGTACCAGTTTTCCACTGCACGTCGCAATCGCGAATTTCGGAGTAGCTGCTCCACCGTACTCCTAAATGGGTCCATACTACGATGTGTTGCCGGTCGCTGGTATGCAGTTTGGCGGTTTCTTGTAGCTGGATGGGCGGCGCCTTGTGCTGCTCCTCTTTCTTGACGGTTCGTTTCACATCGTCATGTGCTATTGCTAGTGCTTTTATGGCGCACGGGTGTGACGCTAGCCATTGGTATGTTCGGCCTGTCTTCGGGTTGATGGGCGGCATGATGCATTGGTATGTAACCGCGGTAAAAGCGGTCAGCGCCAGCTTGGAGTGGTCGCTGACCGCGGCTATGTGCAGGCAGTACAGCCTGATGTGCTCGATCTCGTACGGCTCATAGATAGGGATTGGCCGCGCGGCGCACCAGTCTCTGAAAACTTGGAAGCGGTAGTACCTGTTGATCAGCGTCCCTTCTGTGTGCGCTTGTAGCATCAGTGCCAAGTCCGGTGCGCTACAGTAGCGTAGGAGTGCTTGATGATATGACTGCTTCTTGAAGGTGGACGGCTCGAGGTGCATGGGTGGCTCGGGTGCCGGGAATCGCGTGACGATTTCGGAAGTGGCCGCGGCTGCAGTTGTCGCTGCGCTGCTGCTACTTGACGACGATGACGGCACTCCAGCCGCTTGTCTACCTGGTGGCGGTAGGAGCATGGGAGCCTTCATTTTTGCGTACATTTCTTTTCTCTCACTTTTGTTCTCTCGTCGATCTCCCACTGCTACTCTGTTTTGACTTAGTACTACCTACGAGGATCTCGCCGGAACCTCTTGGGTTCTCGTCGTGGTTACTTATCTATTTACTGTTAATTCATCTTAATTTCGTTCCCTGCAGAACACCCGCTGGTCCCGCAGTCTGCAGCTCCGATTATATATTTTTTTATTTTCTGCGCTTGGTGGTCACAAAGTGTCCTTCGTAAATTCAGTGGTAGGCCACGTGGACCTTTCTTAAATAATAGCAGCGTAGCTGCTGTGGTGGCCAGGCCTTCATAAATTTATACTTCTAGGTAGCTCGGTGGCCTTTTTGTGTACTTGCTTTGATAATGTAGTTACTTTTTTACTTTTTTGCCTCTAGTTATGCACTCCTGTTTTCTCACTTCTTGTTTCTTCTGTGTATTTTACTGCAAGTCTTTCTGTCTAGGCAGTTGTTGCTACTTATTTGTTTACTTGTTCTTATGTATTACTTCATACTTACTTACTACCTTACTCACTTACTTCTACTTTTTTACTTTCCCTTTTTTCCGCGGCCTTTGCGTTGGGCCTTATTTTGTAGTTGGATCACCTCTTTCCAGGTTTTCTCACCGCCCCTCGCCCACATGTGGGTGAAGCTGCACGCGTTTCCGAAGGCGCATTTGCCCGTTAAGTGGAATGGGGCGCAGTCCCGTGCTTGTAGTCCGAAATTTAGTTGCGCGCGCTCTGCAAGGATGCATGGTTCGATGCGGCCGCTATTTTTGTCTACGACCCAGCCGTTCATGGTGACGTCAACTTTTTGGCCGTAGTCGCGCCCCATGACCGGGTCGCTTCCGGTGAAGCTCTGATCCAGGTCGGCATACTTCACGACTTTCTTCGGTCGTGCGTCCCAGGCAGCTCTTGCTGCTTCGCGGTTCGCTTGTGCCTTCTTGGCGGCATCGGTTTGCGCCGCTAATGTGTCTGTAGTGGCACCGGCGTCTGCTCCTCCTGGGCGAGTCCTAGGCGTGTCAGCGTGATTTGCACCGGGAGATGCTGCCGGTGGGGTCTCGTCTTCGTGTGCGGCTTTGCGTTGCTTCAGCGGCGGGGGAGCAGACCCGTCGTTCCGTGACAGCGTTGCGCGCTTTGCTGCTCCGTAGCGTTTCTTGCGGTTCTCGACCTCGGTGGTGAAGACGGAATGGTTCGTGGCTAAGTACTGGATCACGTCCTTGTTTTGCTGCGCCGTGTGGCCCTTGATCTTGAAATACATGAGGAGGGGCACGATGTGGAACACAGTTTCGGTTTTATCAAGGCCATTCAGAAGAAAATTATAGGAGGCCGTGATGCGCATAGCTTCCGTTTCTGACGTCGCTTCGCCGACGTAGATCAGGAGCTTCTCTAGGATAGTCTTGCTCGTTTCTTGTGCGAATGCGTTCGCGTCCAGGTAAGAGACGGCGACCTCGACCTGCTCGTGTCCTGCGAACTCGTTTTGTATCTGCGCCTCCAGTTTCCACAGCTTGTCCACCTCCCAGCCTTTCCAAAATGACATAGGCAGGTTGGGTAACACTTTGCTGCGGGCGGCCTTGTAAAGATTTTGGTAGAATTTTTCCATCATGCGCATGGTTGGACCTGCGACTTCCTTGTAGGCGATGAAGTTCTTCAAGTCCTTTTGCAGTTCGTCGTAGGTCACGTAGCGGAGGAAGAGAGATTTTTCCGCTTCAAGGCCGTTGATCATGAGAAACACGAGTGCTTGGCGGCCTAGAGCGAGATCCGTCTCGACCTTGGTTAGCAAGAAGTAAGCCATGGTCGCTTGGCTAACATGCATGTATTTTGCGACCACTTCGAATTTCTGCCTCTGCAGCGCCTGCGGTGCGATGCCCAGTTGCGCGATGGTTATCGACTTAGCCAGGTGGCATTGCCAGTCCGTATCGCGCATCATGTTAGCATACATCTGGACAGCACCTCCTCGCGCCATCCAGGTGATGATGTAGTTGTGCTCCGTATGCGGTGGTGCGGCTTGCCCAAGAAGGGCGACTTGAGCCGGCGTCTGAGGGTCCGAGTACAGGCCGTAAACCGTTTCGTATGCTTCATTCGGGTGTCCCGGTGGGTGGATCCCGTTTGGGTTCCTCGCGCTGTACCACTGGTTTGGCTGAATAGGTCCCGGTTGATCATGGTCCATAAAGCCATCCATACCCAATATGCCGAATAAATTCTGGGTCGGTCGGTTGTGTACAGTTGCCGGGTCGGCCGCAATACCGTTAACCACCGGCGGCGCGTTCATGGCGGTAGAGCCTTGTCCAAACAGGTTCTTCAACATGTCCATCAACTGCTGTTGTGTGATCGCTGGCTGTTGCACCACTACCGGCGGCAGTGGATGGGGCAGCATAGGAGGTGGTTGCGCCGGGCCCACTGGTACTGGCATCTGTCCTACTGGCCCCGGAAGTAGTTGTCCCGGCCAAATGAACTGGTCATTTCCGCACGAGTACAGGCCGGCGTTCGCAGTAAATACTGGCGGGACGGCTGGTGGATTGTTTGCCGCATGGGTGAGAATTCTGGCATACTTCTGGCCCTTCGTCCCGTAGGCGGGCACCCCAAGCGCGCCACAAATTTGGCCCAACTCGTTCGTGCTCCACGCGTCCTGCCACGGGATGTTACCAAAGGTTTCCCATACTGCGTGGGTGGCAATGTACGCAGTGACCCATTCACGCAGCGTTTGGTCCATCGGCACAGCAGCTCCACCTTGAATATCAACTTGTGGGATGGTGGTTACATAGTTGGTAAGCTCCTGGCTCGTGACGCCGTAGTTCGCAAATCCCAGGACAAGGTCTTCATTTCCTTTGATAATAGATATCATGTCCAGCATGCTCTGTTGCGTAAGTGCTTCGATTGGGCCAAACTGCGGGTCGGCATAACGATGCCAGAAGATCCCACGTGGGGCGGCCATCCTTTATTTGTGCTATGGTTAGCTTGTTGCTTTGTAGTGCCTCTAGGCTTGTTAGGTGTGTTGCCAGTAGGCTTATTAAGTGATTGATATCCTTATTTCTGGATTTCTTTTCTTTTTAGTGGCATACGCCTTTGTAAAAAAGCGCTGTTCCTGCGCTAACCTTTCCTTCCTGCTGGGAGTTTTTTATAATTACCAAGATGTTCTCATGTCAGGGAGAGCCCTAAGGGTCCTATAACAAGAGCGCGTCTCTGTAGTCACATTTATATTATAATTGGGTCTCGCGGGTGTCTTGTTCCCCAGCCCGCTCTTTCTTAGTGGTTTCTAACCTTTTTAGGTGGACCTCTGGTCCTTGTTATTTTTAGAGCAGTAAGTAAGGATCTCTGCCACTTTCATTTTACCATTTCGGGATCTCTCAGCGGGTACGGCTTCGCTCTCTTTTTCTCTTACTCAGGGAACAGCAGGAGGCGGACCTTGTGGGGGATCTCTCTATTTGATGTTTCGGTTTCTTTTGATGTTACTATTCCAATGTTACGATCTTGATAATACCACCTAGAACAAAGATCCATTTCGCGAACTCCGTTCTTTAATATGAATACTTAGGCAAATCAATGTGGAATTATCATGAAGATGTGCCTATCATGCATATGATCATAAACACGATAATAATTACAAGAACTTTTTCAGTTGTGTATAGGATTTCTCCATCGCCTCCTCTGCCGAATCGATAGAGTCCTCTTCGAACCAGCAGAGGTCTGGAAAGCCTGTGGAGTTGTTCATTCTCGGTCTTCCAGAGGAGCAGCGGGCGCAGCATTGTCCGAACATTAGAATGGGGTCATGGGTCGGATTTAATCGGAATATGAAAATCAAGACCAACGAACCGAAAAAGCAAGTGTCGTGAATCACAGTCGCATCTTCGACGATGGTACATGTGGTTTAAAAGTTGTCAAGTACCATTGTCCTTCCAGTTCCAGTTTGGCGATGATATAAAAAAGCAAATTATTAAATGGTTCTGATTCAGAAGCTCGTCTTAGCCAATGGCGCCGATGGGAACGATACGGTATCTCTTCAGGTCCAGTTTGCGGCGCAGACTGGCTTCGTAGAGCAACTCGGGGCTGCGGATTAGCGACAAAAAACACCATCTGGAATGCTGATCCTGATTCAGTCATCCAAGATTAGGCCTCTCTGCCCTCTCATGCGATGAATTTCAAACGAAAATTATGAGCGTGGCAAGGTTCTCGTTCTACATACTCCTTTTCGTCCTATCAGAAAAAACTCTGCAAGTAGGCAGTGTTGCTGTTCATTTTTATCACACTACCACCAAGCCGTAAGTAGAGCATGTGCCCTTTATTTGTCGCGTGACGCCAATCGCGGTTCTTACCGATGAACAGACAACGACGGTTCTGCTTCCGCGGGTAAGACATAATCTGTTTACTCCCTAAGGCTATTATCAACCTGCATTTCAAAGCGAAGATGGTTTTTGTTTTGTGCTCTCAAACCAAAAGCAAATAAAAGATCCATCAAATAGAGTTACTAGTAGCTTCAAAGAGACGCTGCGTAGAAAAGATATATTGCACATTTTTTCAATTTCTTGAAGGTCGACTACAAGCGATTACGATATATTCAAATATAAATATTCTTGCAGCATTATAATCAAAATCAGTGGAAGTACAATTTCATGACAAATCCCGTGTCCCCGTTTGAGACTGATTTGTAGAGATACACACAGTCGAAGTCTCCAGTTCGGAGAAGCGGCAAATCGTTGACGCCGGTATTATGGAATTGGTACCCGAATTCTGCTTGCACGTAGTCCTTGAAGGTTTCGGGTGGCTCGCTGGGCGGTAAAAGCTTCCCGGCCGCAATCTGTTGTAGTGAATGGTTCAAAGGAACGTGAGATTATCAACTACCAGGAGTGCATATCAGTGAAGTGCTCTTGCATGTGATGATACGCCCCCCCGCTGCGAGCTCAAAAGGAGTAAAAAGTACTTAAGTATACAAAAAAATCAGAAAAAACGAGATACCGACTTAGTGACCCAGTCCTTGCCCACAATAGCGGTTTCTGGCCAAGCTGCGGAAGACATGACCTTCATAGAGCGAAGTGGGCTATCTCCAAGTACACAGTAGCGCACCTCCTTGTACCAGAGTGCTGAGCCTTCTATGACATTCCCTCCTAGATTCTGCAGGGACTCTATTTCATCTTCGGAAAGGCGGAAACCACTGGTGATAATAGCCGGTTTTGCCCGCCGTTGCTGTTGCTGTGTTGAGAAGACTTTACAACTATTCTCTTCGTGAGCGATAAGGTCTTGCTGGCCAGAGCCATGATCAGCTTGTGGCGCTACTATTTGGTGTTGGTCGGAGCCAGTATCCTCGCCGTCGGCTGCCGCAACTACTTCTTCGCCATCCGAATGTTTAGGTTTACTAGCAGACGAGCTCTTCCTCGTCTTCTTCGCTGTACCACCATGCGTCTTAAAGCAAGATGAAGATGAATCTTCGGCCGTTTTGAGCCTTTTTTTGCCTGCAGCTCCTGGAAAGCCAGCTATGGTGGCATTCCTATTTTCAAGAGCACTGGCTGCCCCTACATTGCGACGCGCTTCACTTTCTTGCCCCTCATCGCTATCGTCATCGAGTAGCTTCACACGTTTCATCGCAGGCTTTTTTCTCTTTCCTCCTGCTGCTAGGACGGCACCTCCGCCATTGTTTCTTTTAGCAGTCGAGGTGGATGAGGCAGCGGCACCGGCACTTCCACCAGTGGAGCCTGATGTTGTAGCCTTCTGATTGTTGACCTTTTTTATAATAGCTTCCTTTCCGATGTTCGGTGAGTTTGGCTCCATTAAATCGGGCTGGAAATCAACATCAAGCTCATCATTCCCGCAAAGAAATAAAGATGCGTCAGGGCTCATAATGTCCCTACCGAACGGCTGACTACCTCGTATGCTGGCCGGTGGCGGGATCATCGAAGGCCGTACTACGTCATCTCTTACGACGTTTGACGCACGATAACCGACTACAGAGGGTCGGTCTCCTCCCAGATCTCCTATCATGCTGATCCTGTTGGGATCGACGTCGTCCTCATCGGCCGCTTCATCCTCTAGTTCTCCTCGGGCTCGTCTCTCCTCCAATTTCTGGTCCTCCATTTCTTCTGCACACAAGAATCCACCACCCACAACTGATCCGCTGGCACTCCAAGGTGTTTTCATACCAACAACAAGGTAATTCACGCTTTGATCCAGGCGTCCACTTCCTGCACGGGGGCGCTTCAAGCCCGCTGTAGTGGAGCCACTATTTGTAGACGTGCTACACTCTCCGACAAAAGAAGACGCTCCCGCGGCCTCGTGCTCCATTTGTGCGTTCGAGGACGTTGCAGCTGAAGACGTTTTCGTCATTTCGATCTTCTTGGCAGCTTGTGCAACTCCCCGTCTAGTTGTCCCTCCTGGCGAAACCTGTATAGGGTCTGGCGCGGCTATACCTGCCTTGGAAGGTGGGGATTTAAATTTGTTCGACGCATTTCCTGGGTTTGGCAACGTAACGCGTGCTGTCGACGAAGATGAGGCAACAGTTGTCCCGGCGATTACTCGCGCAGTGGAAGATGATGTCACGCCAGCACTTGGAGCAGGAGAACCACGAGAAGCACCAGGAGGAGAGTCCGCCGGCTGTTCGATTTTTACTGCAACTCCTCCCGGGTTTGCGGAGGGTTCAATCTTCACTCGCTTAGCAGGCGGTAGCTTGAAACGCTTGGGACCCTTTTGGTCCTCCTCCTCATCTGAAGATGTCAGTACAATCACACTGTCACTGTCGTTGTCGTCCTGTTGCCGTGTCTGACGTCGCTTTGCGCCAGCACCATCAGCGGTCACGTTTTTCTGACCAGAGGCTGCGTCAACAGGAATTTCTGCTTCTTCGCAATTGTCGTGTTCACCTAGTTCTACTTTCGCCTTCTGCAATGACCCAGATGAGGAGGAAGCATTCTTTACTGAAACAGCACTCCTGGCAGACGCGGATAAGATTTTATTCGATCGTTGTGATGCGCTCGCACATTCGAGACGAACGTGGCTTGGCGATGAAGACTGCAATTCTGCAGAGTCCTCCTCCAGTATAGTCGCAAGTCTCTGGTCGGCCAGCTCCCGTGTAACCGGGACGTCGAAAACGACCTCACTGTCATCAGCAACCAGACCGCCCCCGTCGTTGTCATGTTTGTCTTCTGATAAGCCACCGTATTCGAAGTCGTCTATTTCCGCTCCATCGTGTTCGAAGTCCTCTTCCTCTTGATTCTCGAAGTTAAACAAAGGCTCGCCCTGGGAGTCCTCAGCAGCTTGCTCATGGTTGTCAGCGTCTACTCCAATATTCGACTCATTCGCAGCATCGCGGCCAGGAGCACCAAATATTCTGCTGAAATCGAGACTTTCATTTTTTCTTTCTACTTGTTGGCTACCCCCACCTCCAAAATTTGTTCTGTTCTGCTCCACCTCACCTTGATGATGCGGTGCATCGACTTCGTCTTTGATCTGAGACTGGGATGCAAGCTCAGCCATAGCTTCGACTTCAGGAAATTTTCGCTTCATCCCTCGCGCGCGTTCTGGTTCCTGTCTACTAAAAGCAACCTCTTCATCTTGTCCTTGGACAACTCTGCCAGCTTCAGGACGCAACTCAGGCATCTTTCCATTCGAAACACTGACGTTTGCTCCCGATGAATTCTCGTCGTGACTGAAAGACAGCGGATTGCGGTCTCTTGCAGGCGCACCTGGTATCCCGCTTGTATTGGGAACATCCGCACTGCCTGGAGGCATCCCACTATTTTCGTCTGCACCTGCGTCGCCATGAAGGTCATGCGACAAACATTCAAGGTCTTCTCTTGTTTGCTTGTGAAGATGGTTGACGTCAGCAGGTACTACACCATCTTCTTCTTTGAGCACTTCTCGATCGTCCCCTGCGCATCCTTCTTCTTCAGGTGGAATAGCCAGTGTCCCTTTCTCCGCCATTTCCTTTGAAAGAGCCGCCATGTCAGGGGTGGGTGTGCACTCATACCCGAGCTCGTAGTAGTCCACTGGCTTAAGATAGAACGGGGTCTCCTTTCCCGAAGACCGATTGCTAGCAGAACGCGACCGCGCTGCAATAGCGCCTCCTACTTCTAGGACAGCATTCTTGTTATCACTATTCTGCTGATGAACCTTAGGAACGCTGCTGGAAGAAGAGGAGGAGGCACCGCCAGCACCGCTATCCAGTGGATTGCTCTCATGCTGCAGGTCCTGCGGCGCTCGATTTCCCTTTGCAACAGCTACACCTCCTTCCTGCTCTGGTACTTGCTGCAGGAGCGCACTGTCATCTATCGGTGTCCCTGCGTCTGTCAAACCAATGTTCGGAACCACGAAAACTCCCGATTCGAGATTACTGCGTTGCCCAACAACATGCTTGGCATGATGATCTTCAGCGTTTTTATCTCTCGGAGGGTAAACATCATCTCCGGCAGAAGACGAAGGGTCCGCTCCGTCGGTAGTAGGCGCATGCTTTGTAGTTTCACACGCGGCGGATGAAGATGAAGATGATCCTCCTGCAACAGCAGTGCCTGATTCTGTTGTTCCTTTTGCAGCAGTGGTGCCTGTCGTTCCACTAGTAGTCGTCGTATTTCTATCTTTAACAGCTGCAGTACTAGTACTAGCGCCTCCTACTTCTCCATCTGGACCATTTGGCATCCTCGAATTGCCGCGTGTCCCTGTCGTGGCCGTTTTCAAGGCGGATAGTCTTATACTCTTGTTCGCTATTGGTGACAAGTCCCAGCCCTGCGACTGGGCGACGTTCCCCGCCATCGCGCTTCGATCTCCAAAATTGAAGGAAGTCCCATCCTGGGACACGAAACCCGCGGGCCCAGGAAGTTCCGCGCACAAATGCGCCATCCAACTGCTATCACTAGATGGTCTCTGACTACTATCAGGAACGGGTCGTTTAGATGTCGAGGGTCCACCGATTAGGCCACTTTTCGGAGGTGCCTTTTGCTGCAATTGCGGATCTCCTGTCCCTATTTTTTGAGCATCTCGAGGTGGCGTGGTCTTCTTATTGTGATTAGGGTTAGCAATAGCAGCTACTACACCTCCTGCTGATTTCGTCAAGACAGATGAGCACGGCGTTTTGAGCGCCGGATTGTGGTACTGACCTTTTGATGCGTCTGGCGGTGGGTCATCGAAAGTGCCGCAGCCGGCATTGCTTTCACCCGCTTTTGCAACCGCGGTTAATGCACGCCCCAGCCCCAACAACTCGCTCTCTGCAGGTTCAACAGGATCGTCGGCCATGAGTTGGTCCATCAGATTCACTTTCACCGTAGCCGGTGCTCCGAAGGGATAGGGATTCTCGAATTGTGAAAAGGTCGCATTCTTGTTCTTCTTCCGCGACTTCGAAGTTCCGCCTGCTGCTTTCTTGTTGCGCATGCGAACGGGGCTATGTTTCGGCAGTTTTGCTTCCAGTCGCTCTGCAACCGCACACGAGGAGCCTTTTGTGATGGCTCCTTCAGCAGAATGTGCCTGTTCTCCTAATCTGCTTCCAGCGCCGTCGTCGGCGTCTACAAGCTCAGAGAAAAAATCTTCCTCAACCACTTGTGACAGTACTGGCTTCTTCTTCGCTCGTGCTCTTTTCGCACCAGGACCACCACTAGTACAGCTCGCTGCAGACGAAAGAGGACTTTGGAGGCCCGCTCTAGCACCCGTATCTGCTCGACTCGAAGACCCTTCTCTAGCACGCTGTTGCTGTTTCCGCCGCCCCTTGCCCTTGCTCGCGCCCCGAGATTCGGCGCCGCCACCGTCTGATTCCTCGGAGTAGCCTGCTTCGCTGTAAAGGCGGGTTTGGCTACGCTCACTGTTGCGCAGGTTCGGGTAGATATTTGCTGGATCGGTCTTCATCCCTCTCATCTTAAACAGAAGGCTGGAGTTGCCGTCCGCACTGCGAGGAGCAGCGAAGCGGTCAAACGCTGCTGGCCTCGCCCTCTCCGCGGAAACTTCATGACGATCAGTGACATTCACCTCCTCGCCGTCTTGTTCCTTTGCAATTCCATCTTCCTCTCTCGTCGAGCCACTGCCTTTATTCGCTGGAGCTTCACCCTGAAGATGCTTGTTACCAGTGGTTGCAAGAGCAAGAGCAGCGCCAGCTGTCGCTCCCACAGAAGCGCGGCGGTCATCTTCTTCACTGTCGCTCAACGGTTGCGTTACGGGTCGAGTTGCCTGCCTTCCCCTCAGCAAGCCCCGGCCCTTCACTAAAGCTCCATACATACCTCCACCTCGCGTGATTTACGAGATTGATGGCAGGAAATAATGACAGGCAAAATCAGAAAAATGTAGCAGTAAACGACGATAGATACGTCACGTTCTCCGTCTCATTTCTCTCGCTAATTGCACTAGCAGAAACAAGAGCATAACTTACATACTTCGTACATAATACATATTCCGTTCCACGACAGACCACCTTTTAGAGGATAAATCTAAAGGCATCAAGCCTTCAGTAGTACCTCCGATAGCAACTCCTTGCTGGCTTCTTTTCTGACTATTTCCACCTACGCGACTCGCATTTAGACTGCTCGAGTTATTCCCAGCTGCATCAGATGACAGTGCTGAGATATTCAGATTTCTGCTGCCACGTGCGCTAATTTCTTCGTCGCGTCGCTGGAAAATAGCTGATCTGTTTGCAATCTCCTGCGAATCAACGACAAGTGAGGACGCGGCGCTTGCACCATCTCCAGCTTCGTCAAAGAGAAAGAGGGCACCAGACGAAAGTTTTGGTGGTGGTTGAAGATGTTCTTTTTGATTCACGGCCTCTGCTGCGCCATCTGGCAAGAGTTGTACATCCTGGTCGTGGTCGGCCCCGTCATCTACTTTTGTACCTTTGGCTGTGTCATTCTCATTTGTTTTTTGAACCTCTGAACTTGAAGATGACGAGATGACTCCAGCTACTTCTACTTCCCCATTGATTTCATCGACAACTTGCACTTGCACCTTCTTCTCTGATAAACGCGCTTCCCCAGCACTCGTGGTGACGATCTGGGTTCCACCGCAGCCTGCGCCCGTGCCGTGTTCGGCAAGAACTCCGTTGTTCGAGCGGTTGATTATAGACGAGGAATCATTGAGTGACGAAGGTGTCTGCTCAATGTTGACAATCTGCGTTCCTCCAAAATTTACGCTTTTCCTTTTTATAAAAGGCACATCAACAGCCTTGGGAGCAGCATTAGACGGAGGACCTACGACGTGGCTTTGCTCCGCCGCTGATGAGGATGAGCTAGTCCGATGATCTTCACTGTGATCCTTCAGTGGTACAACGCGCGGTTTGTTACGATCTTTTAATATGGTGGCCGTAGTGGTCGTAGTGGCCGTTGTGGTAGTGGTCGTGGTGGAGGACTTTATGATTTTTCCTCCAGGTCGTTGCTGCTGTTGAAGAAAGATTGGCGGACTAGGAATTTTCTGCGTTCCGGGAACGACATGCATGTTGACATCGCTGTGCCTTGATGTGTCCTGCGGAGGCAGTACTGGCGAGCTTGGCTTCGAGGGAGCTGCTTCAAGGGAAGGAACGCGCTGTGTACATGGAAAGGAGCCACCAGGACCCGCAGTCACCAACGGAGGCGACGACGAGTCTCCTCGTTTCTGACGACCTAGCTCTTGTGCTGCAGCAGCGCCGGTTGAACTGGAACTTTTCTTAGCGTGCTGATTTCCCCTCACTCCATCTGCCAACTTTCCAAGAGCAATAGCTGCAGCCTGTGGTGCTCCTAGGGGTGGAGAGTCGAGTCTCGGAGTCTCCTGTGCAGCAGCGCTTCCCACGGACGAATTATCTCGATTACTTCCGACAAGTTGCGTCCCAGCGAAGAAATTTCCTAATTTCTGCGCTAGCCAAGAGCCTCGTTTTTGTTGGCTCTCGCTCTCAGCCCCAGGATCTCCTCCGGCAGCCGCCATCTCGCTCTTTTTAGAAGATTTCCTATTGTGTTTCTCCTCCTCTGCAACTGCGCCACTTCCTCGTCCTGGAAGGAGTGAATTCGGCACTGACGGAAGTGAGAAGTTGTCCACTATTTGAGTGCCACCGACGAAATCGAAAACGCGCTCCAACACAGATCGGCGCTCTGGCTTACACGCTTCTGCATCTACTCTTTCTCCGCTCTTCTTCTCTTGTGCCCCTGCTTCTTCCTTCATTTGTACATTTTCTTTCTCTGCCTTCCCCGACTCTGCCAGCTCCTCGCCTTCGCCATGATCTCCGCTAGTGCGCAACCGTCGTGGGGAAACCTGTCGTTTGCGATCGGGTTTCTTCCGCCTGACCGCGTTTTCTCCGCCTCCACTTTCGTTGTTTTTACCCATCGAATCCTTACCAGCACCGCGACCACTTCTTCTCTTAACCGATTTCTCCTCTGAGACTATATCAGTATGCTCGCCAGGGTCGCTGCAACGCTGCGTGGCCTCAACAAAACCAAAAACACGACTCTTCGGCTGCCTCACTTCCGGTAAGAGCCATTGTGGTGGCGTTGCAGCACCAACAAGCGCCGTTGTTGTTGAACTAGCAGCTGCTTTTTTGTCGTCATTCACGTTACCACCTGCGAGACCCCCATCTGGCACAGCATCTTCAATCACCGGAGCTTTCGTGAGCGTCGTGGAAGAACTGGAGTTCTTGTTGTTTGCTGCTGCTGCAGTCGCCGCAGATGAAAAAACCTCCGATCTTCCTTCGACATTTTCGCCCTGCTCTGGTACAGCTCGATCCTCAGCAGCAGCAGCAGCAGCAGCAGCGGCGGCGGCAGGCGCTTTCCTCTTTTTTCCGTCTCCGTCGAGCTGCTCTCCTGGTTCCAGATCGCTTATGAGAGGTGTTGCGGCGCCGTCCACCTCCTGCTCCTCGCCTCCATCTCCGTTCTTGACGTCGTCGACGTCCTCTACATCGCCAGCCGGTGTGGAGGACGCGAGCGACTGCGTCTTTTGCAGTTCATCGTCACTTGCGGCGCCGTCCATGCTAGCGAAAGTCGAAAAGACGAGCGATGGTCCACGCTGGCACGCTGCCTGATGTCGTCGCGTTAGGAGAAGTCCGGACCTAGAAGGCTCCTCGGTAGCTTTCCCTTTCCCTAGAGAGTATAAAGTAGGTCAACGACGTTTGTTGATGTCGGGAAAACCGACTCCGAGGACGACCACAGTCCGTCGCCAAGGAAAGCCTCGCGCACGCCATGTCTTTTCCGGTAAATTTTCAATCATGTCAATATCTCTTTGGTTGTTTCCCCAAGCAATGAATGGAAATATCTCGAGTGCCCGTCGCAAGAAGCAAAAGTTAGCCTTAGTTTGTTTGTCTCTTTATTAATTAACCGAACGTCCTCTCTGAATCCGTCAATTTCAGAAACTTCTAAAGCTTCCTGATTGTACTGAAAGGTCTTACTCGTAGCGCTGCTGAAGGCAGACGTCTTTTAGCTGATAGTCATGGAAGTCTGATGTTGTAGTGCTGATAAAATATCTTTGAACAAGCCAACTACGTCTCCTTCAACATCATCGGAACGACATCATATGTCTAAAGCACCAAATGCACGTTAAACATGTGCTCCTGGTCACACACTCTCAATATGATTTAGGTATTACCCTTGTTACACGTCGTGCAAGATCCTATGAGTAGTAGTTCGACAGTGTTTCATAAGGCACGACTACGACATTTTCGATTTCGATCATCAGCATCTGCATCACAATAACATCTTCGTGGTCTAGATATACACAGCATCGTCGACGACCAATATTGCAAGGTACCGATGTGCAGCTGCAGTCATAATCATTCTCAGGACTACCACGACAAAAGAATTCTTAAGGACAGAATTTCGCCATACCAGCTTTGACAGTCCTCCACGTCACAACGAGTTACACTGGTAGCACTCAAACGGACTTTTGCTCGTGCTTGTCCAGGTACTGCAGCTGCACAGGAGGAGATTCTTACACCAAAAACGTTTCTCACATAGTTGTACATTGTCGTTCGCTACGGAGTACACTTTCTTGAGCGAGCGATATCTCCCAACTCAGCTGGAGGTGCGTCGATTCGAATGGTCTCACGAGACTGGAAACAGGCGCGAGCGGTTCACTTCGCCAACAAAAGCAAGTCTGCGGGTAGTTTCTGTCGCCACAAATCCATGTTACAGGAGTTAATAGAAGTAAAGGAAGTTGTAGACCTAGATGATGCACTTGCTGCGTATAATGTAAAAATGAGTCTCTTCAAAATTTTTGCAATCTGATCAACAACAACAACAACATAGATACGAAATCGATTGACGACATCGAGTTCTATCGGACCCAAGTCCAGAGACTGGCGATTCCGACAGCGATATAGCCTGTCAGTGTACGCGCCGCGAAAGTCAGGAGATCGCGTACGAAAACGACTTTCGTATTCCTTGAACTACGGATAGCGGATGCGTGATCTACGTCGCAGCTGGAGGAAGATGTTGTAGTTGTTCTTCGAACAATTAGGTCTTCCACAAGACCCGGTCCGCTGCTGGACATGATAATGTAGGAAAAGTGCCGGATTGTGAACGGAATTGGTTGCTTCCCTAAGCTGAGCGGGATCTGCTGTAGCAGAATGATTAGGACCACCGCGCAAGGCGTGATCAAGAAATAGACACGGTTGCGATCAGTGACTCGACAAAGCTCCGGCTCCGTGAGTCGTAAGTGCCCGACCAGTTCGAACGCACCTTTCAGTTTCTGAGATACACCCTGTGAATACGCGAAGTGAAGTTGTCGATTTCGAGCAGGAAAAGAACTGCGACGGCGTTCAAGCAGATGGCCAGCGAATCGCGGCCCTGATGGATCACCAGTTTAGGGACAATGAAAATGAGAAGCATAGCCACCGCGAATCGCCGCAGATGGCAACAAAGACCGCGAATCGCCGCTTAAAGTCCTCGGGTCAGAGGACCTTCCTGCTCCTCCCGGAGCTCGCGGGCGGTGTGAATCGGATGCTAAAGCTCCCTCCATTTGTAGTGCTTCCCGTTGTGAGGCAGTGGGGAAAAGCTCGCGCTCCTGAGCCCTGTCTAGGGCTATTTCGCAGAGCAGGACGTCAGGGATTTCGCGACAGATGACAAGTGCAACAACAATGCTGCTCATGAAAATCACAAAATACCCATCGGGACGTAGCTCATTTTTCAGCACATGGAGCGCGGCCTGACTGTTTGAGCGAAAGCGTCTCTTTTCTTCCAGTGCCACGTTTGCAATCAAGGAATTTTCGTCAGCCGCGATTTCACCTGAGGTCAAGGTCGAAGTATTGTTCTGAAGCGTTTTCGCGATTGCCCCCAAAGCAGGTTTTCTCAAGTTTGGGGTGTAGGTTGGTGCCGAGCAGCGCCAGCACATCGCTGGGATGTCCGAAATCAGTAGGGCGCGAGAAGTGCCCGTCGTTCTCGCGTCCGGCATCCACTTCCGCCTTTTGTTTTCGTGGCACAAAGTAATCCTCCATCAATTCTCGATCGTAAAACGCATCGGAGTACACGTAACTTCGCAATGCTGATGTCGTCTCCACAGCATAAGATCCAGAAGTCATTCGCTCTGTTACTTTCGCTTCGACGTGTTGCTCCCAGGCGACGCCATCGAGTAGCTCGTCACGCATACCTTGGCACCATCCCGAGCACGAGGTGCAGAAGCCCAGGCTGGCCTTGCACCACATACCGAGTGGACAGATGTCTGCGGACTCATCGGAACAGGTCGGGTTCGAACTACTAGCGGAAAGGATTGCTACAATCGTCAGTATCTGCAGGATAACCATGGCAAGGGACACGCACACCCAGTTCCGTCCGCTTTGTCTAGCTTCATTTTCAAGGATCAGGTCTGCCGCTGTGGACAACTGCCTTTTGCTTTCGCATTTGCTTTCCCGCGTAGGTCTGCGGGACCACGCTGTAATTTATCTTCTCCCTCTTGCGGGAGCGGACGCGGGGAAGACGAAGCTGCACCTGCATTTGCTGTAAAATGACCACGTTGCTACAAATGAAGGTCATCTTGGCGGTCGACCGAGTTTTTCTCTGGCGAAGGCGCCTGCTCGTTCTCTGTGTGACTCTGTACTGGGGTCGCTCTTTCCAGTTGCACAGCGAGGGCGTCGGACGATGTAGCCGTCTGGTCTGGGCGAGACGGCGTCGCAACGTCATTTTCGAGTAGACCAACGTGCAAAGCAAGCTGGTGAAAGTTCAGCGGCGCAAGCTTCGTGGTATGCAAATAGACATAGACAACATCCTCCATGCTTGTACGTCGGAGCCTTTTCTGTTTTCGAAGTACATCATCAACTTTTTTGTTGGAAACCTTTCAGTCCAACTATGTCTGTGGAGCGTGGTAGTCGCTCGATTTTGAAAGGATGAGATGAATTGTAGCATCTTTTGCAAAGTCTTTGCCATGAGATTGTGCTCTAGCGTTTGTTGCGTGCGTGGATCTGAAGAACAAGTCAGCGACGCCCTAACACATGGTTGAATTGGCAAACAATAAAAATCGACAGAAAAAGAACGTTGGAGCGCAACAATGTCCGTGCCAGAAAAAAACCAGCGGAAAATGTATGAGATATAGAGAATCTCTATTAATACAGATTGAGATCGACATGAGAAGAGTAAGAAGTCAATGTTTATGGTTTTGGTTTTGTAAATATGCAAGTACTTACATAGAAAAACGAGTATGATTCGAGCTAGAACGGCTCGCTCCTGTGCAGTTTCTTTAAAAAGTCTTTGTCTTTGCAATGTCTCCAAGTCTCCAAAGCTGTTCCACGGAACCAAAATTAAAGACGTGCAGAAGTACATCCTTGTAAAGGCGCCGACGATGAAACATCTTCCTTACTACCTCCCTCTTTCTCGTCTCCACCCCTCGAACTTGTTCGTATCAAAGAACCAGAGACGGTTGCTTTTACCTTCGAGTTCGAGGAAGGTGTTTCGTCATCAGTGGTTCCTTTGACTCGAAAACGGTAAGGATCTCTGGCGCGGTAATGCAGCAAATAGTCGATTCCTGCTTCTAGCTGGAGTTTGCATGCTTCTCGTAATTCATCTGCGTCGATCGTTAGAACTGAAGCAAGTTGTCCTTGTGATACTCTACTATGGTCACCTTCTTATAATAAGAAGTTTGTTAGGTAGTTGTAACAACGATGAGGCTCAGGAAGTAGTTACTACAATAGAGGCTTATACCAACGTGTGCCACGCTAGAAGCATGAAGTTCAGATACGGTTGTTCTACAGAATCTATGCATGTTGGCGGGGCCTTAACGTGAAAATCTTCGAGTGTCCTTCCTTTCGCTCCGAAGATGAGCCTGATTGTCGTCCGCTTGGACCATGCGCCAGTAGTTTCAAAGGCGGTTCGTTAGTCACGCCGAGTGCATGAAGCGACTGCAATGCAGTGGCAGGAACAACTTCTTTCTTAAAAATGTCATCCTTTGCTTTTGTGATGTTTCTTGTCGTCTTGTTGCTCGGCGCACTCCTGCTACTTGAACTACTGGGACTACTTGCAGGATTAACAGTTACCACTGGACTATCCCCACCAATAACTTTCTTCTGTGTCTGCACTTCTTCATTCTCCTCGACATCCTCCGCACTTGTGCGCAGCGGTTCACCGAACCAGAAATAGACTCTTTGGGGCGTGCTAGGCCGAACAAAAGGAAGCTTGATTCCACGTCTGAAAGCACGCGAACCACCTCGCTGCTTGGCGGGCTTGTTCGCTGCTTGCCTGCTGTGTTTCTTTGCAGATGCGGTTGTTGGGTTCGAAGTCGAAGTACTGGATGTGGACGTTGGCGTCGTCTTATTAATTATACTGGCATCATGTTCCGGTCCAGGATCATTTGATATACGACGCGGATCTGCAGCTTCTGGCATAGTGGTCCCGGTGACCGTTCCCATACCACGGACGTATGTTTTTGGCGCAACACTGACTGAAACGTCACGTGGCGGTAGGACCTTACTTGTTGTCCTTGTGGGCCTTTTTTTAATATCAGTAGAAGCACCCGATGTCGATATTTTGTCGTGTACATTTCCCATCGTTCTACTCAAAGTTGAAGCAACAACAGCTGGTCTCTTTTCGTTCTTCAACATTTGACTAGCGGAGTCAAAGGATGCTCGATTCTTTCCCATGAGCCCGCTGAAGTCGCCTTTGAAGACCGCGTTCATCACGTCGCCAAGTGGGAAGTCATAAAACGGAACAAATGCGTCCTCGCTACCGACACTGGCTACGGGGATGATCGTGTAACCGTGTTTGATGGCCATTCGCGCGAAGCCCGTCGGTTTTCGGCCCCACATTAAGGCATACTTTTCGTCAGTCGTGCGCTTCCAACTTTCCCTTGCTCCGCCAGGAAAGACTAGCATATTGGTCCCCGAGTCCATGAGAAGAGAGCAGTACTCTGGCGTGCCGTCCACGACGCCAGACATGTGTTGGGCGAATTCTCGGACGCCAGGCACAGAAAACCACGCATGCTCACCCAAAATGCGCGCCCATAATCGTCGGTGTTTCCACAGGCCAAGAATCAGGCTAGGCACATCGAGCGCCCAAAGACAGTGATTCCCGACGAAGAGGAGTCGGCGCTGGTTCTTCGGGATGCGCTCAATACACAGAAAAACTGGCGGCGTGTAGAGGCGCAGGGGAAGATCTACGAGAAGCTGGATCGCCTTTGGCGGAGGCTCCCAGTGCAACATTTGACGCCTGTTGCAGTCTTCCTCGAGCTTCAGAAGCGGCTCTGCGTCTCCCGCAATCAGGTTGTACAACCGAGCAAGAACGTACATGAGCGTAGTATTCAGAACTGCGCGAACCTTCAGCGTCTGAACAAAGGGCTTCGAAAAAACCTGGATGACCTGCTGTGGCACAACTGCAGCGCCGACTTTCGAAGATTGGTACTGTGGACTTGTCGCTAGTGTCAGTTGCTGCTTTGCGTCTGAGACTGCTGGGGACTGAAGATGCTGTGCTGTCGCAATCTGCGCTGTAGTTCCTCCTGCACCAACGTGTGAAGACTTGATCGTTGCGCCAAGACTGCCTGCAGTAGTTTTTTGTGGCGATAGAACGCTTCCCGCGGGCGGACCAGGCGCTGTTGAAAGATCTCGGCGGCGTGAGTGCATTTTAATGCCCAAGACAGTCAGCAGAATCGACACCAGAGTTGTGCTCGGTCCGATCAGATGCACATACAACCATGCGTATTGACTGCGGCCAAGATGGCGGAAGATGACACGCTTCAAACCAGACCCGTACTCGTTCGGAATACAAAAAATGAGCAACCAAAATACCTTGTAACTCAGCAGGACCGAGTACATTGCGTCCAAAGCATTCACAGTGAGATATTGTTCCGCGAACTTACGGAGAAGACGCGTGAAGAAGCTTTCGGAAGGTACACCAGATGCGGTTGTGCGCGACGCGCGTCTCCTGCCACCCTCCGCTGCACGTGTACCTCCCAATCGCGCCGCCAAACTGCTGGGTATTATCTTCAGCAAGCTGGCTGAGATCAGAGTCTGGATCGTGCTGATCAACCGATAAACTCTGCTATCTTCTGCTCGACGTGACATGAGCCGTAATCTTCTTACGTCTTCGTCTTTGATGTCTCGCTCTTGCCTTTTCGAGTCCTGTTCGTCGTCCTTGAGCTCTTTCTGACTTTTGTCAAGGTTCTTGTCCAGGAGCTGCAGATCGTCATCTACTTCTTGCGCTGCACCGATTTCTTCATGTGCGATCGAGCTGGAGCTCTGTTCTCCAAAAGTAGCAGATGACTGCGCCAGACCGATGTTGTCATAGAAGAACTGGCTATAACTCGCTGTTCTCGATGCTTGTGATCCCGTACGATGCAAGAAGCCTCGAAGGTTATGGTTACCCGCCATGCCTAACGTTGGGGTTGGCATGCCTTGTTTGTTTTTACTTCCAACATCATGCTCTCGCGTTGAGGTTGACAAGCCGTCATGGTGTTGAGGCGTGGTTTCGCCACCTGGTGTCGAAGCATCGCCACTTACCTCCCTAGAGGTCGTTCTCGCAGGTGCTCCAGGATAGAGCAAATTATGCAAGCTAGCGCTCCGCGACCGCAGTGCATTTTTCACCACATCCAGCGATTGGCTTCGCACTAGAAAACTGGTCGCTGGGTGATTCAAAACAGGCTGCACAACGATTTTGTCGACATATTTTTTCAGCCGCTGTCGTTCCACTCTCCAGCCGTCGCTGTGTGACGAGAGGTAGTAGTGAAAGAGCAGTAAAATGGCGAGAACTTGCGCAGGTGGCGACGCTACCGCATGCCGGAGAAAGTGCAGTAGTGAGCCTATGAGTGTCAGAAATGCGCGCGTAATGCGGCCGCGTCGACTCCGCGCCATACTTGAATCAGTGTTCACCGACGAAGAACGATACCAGCCCATCGGGCCCTCGACAAAGTAGCCCAAAGGGCCATGCCCTTGCCCGGCCACCTTTGCCGATGACGGCCCTCCAGACGCCAACATGTTGGTAGTCGCTGTTCCGGTCGAATTGAATTTCAGTTTGGAATCGGAGAGCTCAAGTCATAGATTTTCATCGGGCCGTCATCTTCAGCATGGAGATATAAAATGCATACTCTGCTAGGAAAGACATGCTTTTTCTGATATCCACTTTTATGGACGACAGAAATACTCAGTGTTGTTTTTGCACCTCTGTAACAGTGGCTCACACTTCTGGAGTTTTTCTCTTATCAAAACTTTATCCTCATCTTCATCAAGCTCACGACTTCGAGTTTCAGCCTATTTTTCAAGTTGCCTACTTCAACTTTTTTTTACCGAAACAAAAACTCTTCATTTGGTTCAGCACTCGGACGCTCCTGCTGGGTGGCCGTTTTCGTCCATCTCTACTTTTGCTTGTCGCGCTACCAAACCATTGCAACATTTTTATCTGACGCAAGCGTGATGGTTGAGTCGGTCAGAGTCCCTATCTCTATACCTATGCGTTGGCGTGGTAGGAGTCACTGACTAAGTGCCGAGTATGAACGAGAAAAAAAATGAAGACTCTAGTCCCATTTCTGACGAAGTTGGAGTTAGTGGTGGAGTGGATCATCAAGGACTCGTGCATTACCCTCCATCACCATCGAGCGTCATCGTTATATTTCCAAGAAATGTGTTAGGTGTAGCTGCACTGACCGATGACCCATGATGACCATCGGTGTGCCATCCGTATCATCATCATGTCCATCCACAGCTTATATTTTTCACATTGTTCATGATCATCCGCCAAATTTTTCGTCCAAAAACCGTCGCTGGAAAACGCTGAAGGTATCGTTGTACGGCTCGATGTCGCTAATGAAAGGGGAGATTAAGTAGTACGAACTACCTGCGTAGAAGACGTGTTTTCGAAAACAAGGAACTTGGATACTAAGTCTGATAAACAACAAATCTCCGGTATTCGTTGTTTGTGATCATAATTCCAACGATCATCGATGAAGAAAAAGGGACTACATGTACTAGCACTAACCTAAGCTTAGATTCCAGAATAGGATGAGTTTTTGATTTCGCACTGCGTCATAATGATGTATGGCGGATAGACCGTTTCGAAGGGGTTGATTGTTCCTCGACCGGTGAAGAATTCCACTGCAATTTCTTTCATGAACTCGCGGCTGACGTAGACGTGATCTTTGCCGATCATCGCGGTTTTCGTGAAGGCCGCTTGAAGCATCAGGATGTCTAAACGAAAAACATTCGCGCCATCACATTCGATGAGGAATACACGAATTCGAAACTTGTCGAACGGAAAATCTTCTAGGATCGCTAGTTCACCACCTTCGATGTCGATGGAGATTACGTCGATCGGCGTATCCCGGTTCGCGCCTCCGGTGGAGAGTAAGTCTTCAAGCGAGACACTGTGAGCGAGAAACGCTGAGTTGATGAAACGCGTCGCGTCTCCGGTGCCCCTTTCGTATTTCTCAGCCGCCATATCAGCTATCTCATCGAGATCCCGTTCTCGCAAATGGCCAGCGCTGCCGCTATAGTCCAGAACAAACTGCTTCACACGGCCACTCTCTCGTCCAACAGCGCGCTTCTCCAGAACACAACTCCGGTACGCGCTCAGAATGTAATGCTGCGCAGCATTGGGTTCGACACAGATGCCGCGCCAACCAAAACACTGGTCAAAAACCGCTGTATTCGATAGCTCAAATGCGCCCATAGCACCGATGTCGATGTAGACGCCAGGGGGTTCCGTTGGTTAGAGCTGGCTTGTGCCAATGCAAAGCCTATTCTTTCGTGTGGTGTATCCAGCACCATGCCTGATCATGTTGTAGCTACATATTACTACTTGTACTTACTTCCTTTCCATTCTAAATTCAAACTCTTGCTTCGCCACGTGTTAGGATTATACACAAAACTATATATAATTACAATCATTACAAATTTTTGTGGCTAAAGCGAAGAAAGTGGCTACTCGAACTAGGTTATGATCAACATCAACACTCTTGACTCCGTGAACATAAACCCCATCCTCTCCCTGTATTCCCTGCTCTCGCGCTTGCCGCAGCTGCTTTTCCCGTCGAAGGATGCGGTCACGGAAGAAGTTGTGGTAGAGAAACCAGTCTTGGTTCCACTGTGCGAAGCCCATAAACCAGTCTTTTTTCGGATCATACCAATTCTCCGTATTGCGACTTAGGACGCGACGACCTGGCGGCAAGGTCGGACTCTTGAATTAGAAACACACGGACACGCTTAATAAACCCACACACGAATTTTAGGAAAAATTAGGGAGCCAGCATATCCCCTAATTTTCCCTAAATTTTGACCTCCTCCACAAGCGTGTCCGTTTGTTCATAGTTGAACTCCTCGCAGTTTGCACGCTCGTAGTAGAAATCTTCGCATGACCAGGTGGTGGTTATGGACAGGGGAGGGTGAAAAATGAAGCTCCAATTAATACTCAACCAAAAGGTGAAAAAAACTACGGAAATGCTCTACCGCAGAGTCTAGATAAAGAAGATGCTCTTGATCCAAGTTAAGTTTAATTTGGTATTCGTGCAAGCCATGCTACTACAACGAACCTCTTCTCGAAGGTACTATGACTTTTACTAACAGGTAGCACTATAAGCATATGAGAAACTGGGAAAGAAAAGTATCATGTTTCATCCTTTCATACATTCACCAGTTCAGGCATCAAAGCACAGACGCAGATCGGCGTTTCGATTTCGAAGGACTCCTCACGGTGCTGATTCATCTTATGCGTGTAGCAAGGCCCATAAGCGCCGTACCTGCTCTGCATCAGTGCTGCCATGTTTTGCGGAGTTGCTTGAAGATTTCTCACCAAGTCCTCCGGATCTCCACACATGCTACTTCGCCACTGGCTATAGGTAAATTGACACTGCTGCTGCACTGCGATCTCATTGGCATCCGCATCGTTCATTTCTGGTGGAGCTAGACTAAACCTTCCGCAACCGTCCGTCAGCCACAGCACGACGGTCGGATCCTTGACAAGCGGCTGCAATTTTCGAAAAGTAAAGCGATGCGTGTCACGGCCGAAAGCTAGAACATCACACTTGCCTACGTTAGAAGAACTCGTTGAGGACAGAAAAAAGAATTGAAGTCAAGCATCGAGCAAGGGATGAGTCATCCTTGACAATCTGACTCACTTTGGGTGTGGTCTTGCAGTAAACTAAGTTGTTGCTATGATTTCGTTCGTTTTCTATCACGACATCGTGTAAATTTCTATTATCCATTACGACTTAACTTCAATGCCTCCCTCGCTGTGAGTATCATCTTCGTGGTGCACTTGAAGTGCGGTGTTCGGGAACCCTGATTGCAGATATTTGAGAAAGTCCACATCGAAGTCCAAATCTATGACGACGAAGTGAAACTGGGGAAAGACCAGCATTAAGCGCTGAAGAACGAGTGCTGACGTATCTCCGAGACCCAGAAAGCAAAAACGCACATGTCCAGGTGGAAGAAGTTAGCGCACAAACGAGAAGACAAGGGGGAATGAAATGATCAATGGTGCTGGTGGTAAGTGCAGTTTTTACTTTCATACGCAATTTTTAGATTAACACCTGAAAAAACAGAGCTTGTTTATCGAGAAAAAGTGGGACTTTCGTCAGATGGTTCAGCACCAAGCCATAATAGGCGAGCGTAGTTTTTTCCGCACCAGTGCTTGCTGTTTCACCATCTTGTCCCTTTTTTCCCTCTTTCGTTGCCTCCACAGCGACATCTTCTGGCTTTGGTGCAGCGGCCTTGTCGTTGTCTCGGCTCTGTTCCAACAAGGCATTTCCAACACTCGTGGCTGCGCCAATGTCTAAGAATTGCGCATCTGGATGAAGTTCACGTAAAGACGGCCCTCCCTCTTCACGATACATTGCCACAAAATTTCGCACCCCGCTATACGGATCGAGAGTTTTCATTCCCTGTAAGCCACGGCCATCGAAAAAGACGAGCTGGAGAACTTCAAAGGTTAGAAATGGAAAGACGAGCTCGAATCTATCCGAAAGGAAATTGTGGTGCTGTACGCTTTTACAACGCGGAGTATCAGCCGCTTCTGCAGCATGCAGAAGAACTCGGAACCCGTAGGCCTAAACGATAGAACTTGTTTGAAAGACAAGCACAAGACATGATCACTCAAGTCCAGGCCCGCAATTATTTGAGCCTAATACTGTCTGAAGAAGCGACATTCTTCATAGAAGAAATAGAAATGAAGGGCACAACACTCATAAGCATAACAGCAAATACATCGCAGCACGATCGAGGGCAGCCGAAACATCCGGCGCGACGTCCGTGAATATTAGCTCCGTTCGAATCTTCTTGCCTGCAGAAGGAGCGCTGCTTGGGGGACTCGATGGAAGCTCCTCTGCAAGGACTCCACTGGAGGACCCTATTGATGAGGGCCAGCTGTAGATGATCAAGGACAAGCACTGGCTCCATGTTCCCAGAAAGACCAAAAAGAGTGCTCGTGCTTGGGATGATAAGCTCATCCTCGAACGCGCTTTGAGCAGGATCAACGAGGACAACACTATTATCTTCTTCTACTTGTGATAAATGGTGCTAGTGGTGCGATAATTAGTACTAGTTTGGCAAGTGTTTCAACAAGAGCGTTACAGTTCGTTGACACGACGTTCTAGTATAATCCATCTCTCTCATCGATCCCTCTCTTCTCTTATATATTTAATCGAAAAATGCGTAGGACTAAGACTGCTCTGTAGTTCAGCTTGTTTCACTTCCACCTCTCATTCTTTACATCTCTCTGAGCCGTGCTGCATATCTGCTTCTCCTTCTTCGCATTCATTCTCATAGATGAGCATTCACTTTCATTGAGGATCAAAATCAATGATCTTCTTTCGTCTACTTTAAAAGAGACAAAGAATGTGACCGAATCATTCTCCCATACGCGAATAGTTCGGAGAACAGCCACAGCAGCAAGGCAGAGGGTTGACGATCCCTAAAGCTAGTATTTTGTAGAATGCATGAATTTGAAGGGTCTTGGTGTGTGTCTCCCCGTGCTGCAAAGAGCAGTGTGTTCATTATTGTATGTATGTGGTAGGGATGTGTGGTTCCGGTCTTTCTTCACTAGAAGGTAAACGCCTCACCATGATACTCATAGCTATGGATATGCCAAGTTTTTCTAAGCTCGTTTGAGCTTAGCGCAAATACAAATTGTGAAAATTTAGAGAGGCGGCGTGGATCGCGCCAATTATGATATGAGTACAGAGCTTGATAATGATAGCAAAAATCCCACACGACAAGAAGACCCAAGGAAACGCTCGCAAGCTCCCTAGTCACCACCTAAGGCCAGCGCGCGTTTAGCATGGACGTGTAGTATGTGCGTCAGCATCGAGATCAATCAAGGCCGAGCGACTGCCTACATGATATAGCGCGACATGCTGAAGCGAGGCGCGTAATAATATGACAGACCTGCGCAGCGTGAGCGCCTCAAAAAGTAACGGATAAAAACGCGGGAAAAAAACCGCGAACGACAAACCTCCGCAGCAGCTACTTAGAAACCAAGCACACCAGTAGCCGCCCGGCTCGTTGCTTGGCGGCGACGGTTTGCCGGGCCGCCCGTCGGTAGGGAACAAGCCAGCGCCGCCGTTTGGGCTTGCGACAACGCCGAGGGCCTACGTGCCTCACATCGCTGCCTTTGGTCCTGTGTTGTTTGGTTTTTGGGCATGCTGTAGTAGAGTCGATTGCTAGCGCCTGCGAGGCTGGGGAATGTCGTCACCTACGAGCATATGCAACACGAAGGGAAAAGAACAAGACAACAAAACGCGAAGAATAGACAACGAAACAAAGGAACAAAATAACCAAAAAAAAAAAGGAAGCCAATACCTGAGACGCAAAGCGAGCCCCCACGGCCGACCCAGAAGCGCCGCCCGCGCCTTCTTGTTCCTCCTTCCCGACTTCTGTGACGGCTTCGACCTTGTTGGAGCCAGCGGCCGCAGCTCCGCGCTTTGCTTCTGCCTGGGAGCTTGCCGAAAAGCCCCCGACCTTCTGCGACGCCCACGCGGCTGCAAGCTCATCCGCAAGGGCCGCGAAGGCCCGCGCGGCTCCCGCGCTCGCCGGTTCGTTCATATTGATAACGAGAAGAAAGGAAACCGAGAACGGAGCCCCGCCCCACTGTCGGGACGCAGTAGGCTGCGCTTAGGTTTTTAATGTTTGAGATTCGTGAGGTTTGGGCAATAAACGCCCGAAGCAATTCGACAACAAACGAGAAGGGAAAAAAATGACTAAACACAAAGGAAGCGACTAGTACAGCAAGAAGTATATGACTCGACTAGTACAACAGGAAGCAACTAGTGCAACAAGGTGAAACTCAGAACACCAAGAAGTAACCGATTGATGCCATTGGAAGCCAGCGGCGCTAACGAAAAGTCCTGGAGTAAGGTTACGTTGTTGGTGAAGCGTGAAAGCGTAGTAAATGCATCCAGATCCAGACTCATAAGAAAATGTGCGCGCAAGAATACTCGTAAAGAGGAAGGCTGGACGATCACAACAATAAACGGGGGATGTCTATTGTGGGGGCGAGTTGTTGGCAGGGGCCCGAGACAGATGGGTGCAGTCAATGATCGAAAATTTTGGGGATTCTATTTTCTCATCCCAACATGACAGAGCCACTCGAATATTTTTGAATGGAGGTCCAGACACTTTTACCTAGACATCATTTTCATTCCGATTCCGAAACCGAAAGTCATTGTGAGTATAATTTGTGATCAGCCGCCCCACAAAGCCTCCTCGAATCTCCTCAAGTCCAGACTGGACTCTAGATGTTCAATCGAGGCCGAGCAGAGTCACCGTTCTTGCTGTTGCCGAATATTCACAATTCTCAATTCTCATTCTCATCATCAAAGAACAGCAGATGATGCAAGTGTCACTTTCATATCAGCAATGAGATTCAAGCATAGTCAGGGATGGAACAGTGTACATTGGCTTGAGCATTTCTGGGAAAGCTTCACGAATTTATCAGAACGACAAGGTTATAACAAGGCATTTTTGATTTTAGGAGATCTACATCGAAGCATCATTCATGTGTCGTTTCGTTTATTGTGAAAGCGTTTCGCAGTATGAGTGCCGCATGTCTGACCGTGAAAGAAATATGACCAGGTCCATGTGGCGTCACACCTTCACTTTGAAGGAGTCTCTCATCACGAAATGCTCCTGTCGCTTCATCATATACTTCTTATGCCAAACCTATGTAGTGGCTTCACATCTCCCTGAGCAATTGATACATCGTCTGCAGAGATCTGTAACGACTTTCTAGCACGGCGGTCGCCTCTTCACGGGTAAAAGCGTCTGCATTGACGAGTTCCACGCGAGGGTCGTGCAATGGCATGGAAGGTAGAACTTCAGTTCGTCCCATCGAAGCAGAAGGTAGACCACCTGCAAACATTCCAAGAAAACTTCCTCCAGCACCAGTAATAGTACTAGTTCCACCTGCTCCTGCTTCACCTCCGCTTGTTCGCCTTGAATTCACGCATTCACTTAGCTGTTGTCGCTCGATTTCCAGTCTCTTGGAGAGGTTGCGGATCGCTTGAACTATCAGTTTCTTGAATTGTAAAGCAGAACGCATTTTGTCGATGCTGTAGAGCCAGAGACCGCGACCGTAGGTGGATGTGGCACCAGCAAATGCAGATGGCGGGGGTCCGCTAGCTACAGAATGAGCTCCTTTAGGGATTTCCTGCACCAAAAGAATGCCATCGAATATTAGACGAGAAAAAGCATCGGACTTGGACGGACCTGGTGGTAGTTCTACTTTCTGTACCAGACAAAGACAATTTAAAAAATTTCAATTCTCAAACACAAACTATTCGCAAAACTGGAATCTGCCTTAATTTAAACAGCTCGTGAACTGCTTGGCGCACGCGGGCCTGTGTGCAGAGACAGGTCTCCTCTAGTTGCTGTTCGGAATGGTAGCGAATGGGTTCCTCAATCAGGAAATTCCACACACGGAACGCAATTGAACTGTAATTCCACTGCACTAATCTCCTTGTCAAATCGAGATGCACCAGCTCTCTTGCGCGGCTCCAGTCAACGCGGAACACTTCTTGTGCCTCACCACCGAAGAGGTTGACTTGATCTGTTGGAGCGCTCGTTTCTGATAATTCATCGCTTCTGGCTGCTTTTTTGCGCCCACGGGCTTTGGGCTTGGCTCTTCCAGGATCAGCCGAGAGACCCCCAGCCTGGTCTGTGGTACGAACAACAAGTCCGGTACCTGAAATTACAGTACAAAAAATTTGAAAATTCATATTTATTAGTTTATCACACGTTGATCTTGATGTTTGCGCAGGTGGTGTCACTGATGCATGTGTGTCAAAATTCATTCCGTCAAGAAGGCTCAGGTCCGAATCAATGAATAGTCATTACGTTGTATCAGTGCATAATCCTAATGCGATAGCAAAAAGAGCGTTTGTTGTAACACTCCACTTTCGTGCAAAAGTACATTAATGTCGACCATTATTTGATGTGATAAAAAGTGTTACCGTGCTCGACCAATCTTGAAATCGCTTGCTGTACATCGTGTGACGGTAGAACGTTGCTGAGTTTCGCGACAAGCGCGCTTCGGGTTACGAATACGGTGGTAATTGCACTGACATAAGAGCCGTTGTTTTCTATTCTCGAAACTCCGGTTGCGTTCGCTAGTTCCTTAAAGACAACGTCACAAGCGCGATCTGCTGTAGGCACACATATGTGTTCTTCCTGTGCATGATTGTTAGCTGTGGAGGCGGCTCCTGCAACACCATTTTGAATTTGCAGCTGTGCTCCTTGGAAACTCTTCGAGGTTCGTGGTGCGGGAAAGAGCTTCGGCCCCAAGGCACTCCAGACCGTGTCCCGCAAAAGAACGTGGTTGAGAAAAGCCAAATTAGGGCTGTAAACCGTCGAACCTAGCACACGCACTAGTTCGACAAGTCGTTGTTGCTCTTCAGGATGATTTTCAAGACCATGAGAAGCAGATGCGAGACCTACCCCCTTCGCCTTCTTACCTTTATCCCTTCCTTTCGTCGACGAAAATGGTTCATCCTGCTCGCCGTTCTCGCCACCTGGAAGCAGTAGGTCTAAGAGGCGCGTGCTGTGTGCCTGTAGTTCCAATCTCGAGGCCTGAAATTGCCCATCTTTTGCGGCATCGAACATGGATACTGCTTGATAACAACCCGCCCCTCGCATTGGTACCTTTGCCGTGATCCAACCGTGATGTTCCAAAGTTTTGAGAGCGAGCAGAAACTGGTCCACGTGCAGTAGCTCTTCTTCATCCTCATCTTCTTCTCCTTGGTGCGCTTGTTGAAGGACAGAAAACGGGTCCGATGACGAGGAGGACGACCCACGTCTCCGCTTTGCTCCAAAGGGCAGCTTGACATAACTATGTGTTCCGCCAGCACTTTTGCTCGATGACGAACGCTTACGATTATACGAACCGGTGGACGACGAGGAACCCCCTCCATCAGTAGACAACAACATATTTGAAAAATCTTGCGGTCCACTTCGTAGCAGAAGTTTTCGTGCCTGATCCACTCGTGCGGTGTGTACGTTTGTCCTGCGGACCAGGTCTTCTACCAACATTTCGACGTCTGCGCGCCCTCTCATCAGAACTTGGCGGAGAATCAGGGAGCAGGCCTCGGAGCAGTTGAACCAACGTTTGGTGGCGGTGATGTAAACTGGGAAGCGGGGACGCCAGAGCACGAAATCCACCTCTGCGACATACCTGGTGACTAGCAAAGTCCTATGAGTCGCCTGCTCTCGTTGCGCCTGGGCGGATACCTGCGTTCCGCCGGTTCCCGTAGTTCCTGCTAGGGCAGATCCAGTATTTCCAGCAGGAGCTGTCGAGATCTCAGCCGTGCTCGTGGTCTTGGCCGCAACTCCACTTGTCCCTCTCCGAATTTGTTCCTCGTTTTTTCCTCCACCAGTTTTGGACAGTGAGTTTGCTTCCAACTGTTGATGGTGCAGTGATTTTGGCGCAACGCGCACAACATTGTGTTGCATCAACAACAACAACGCTGCTTTCACGTCATCCAATGATGGGGCTTTGCTGTCGTCGTCTGCGTCCATAGAGTGCGTGACGTCGCGCAAGAAGGACATCAACTCCTGCAACGATAATCCCTCGATCGTCCCGTAGGCGAGGAGCGTCCAACCCACATCGGCCACCACATCGCCGAACTCTGCACAGAGGACATCCTTCGCCAAATCCAGCTCAAAACTTTGCGCGACTGAACTCATCTTTTTTTTCGCTTGTTTCAATACTATAAGTTCTTCTCACTTTTACTAGCCTATGAGTATGGTCCAACAAAAGAGATGGCAAGCACAAGCAGAGCTGTAGAACACGTCCGCGTCCTTCTACAACGTGGTACAACTAGTCACACATATTAACTTACTTGATTCATAATTTTTCGAAACTGCGTTGTTATTGACACTACAAATGCCGGTGAGGATGCGCGAGAGCGTGAGCAATTTAATACCATAATTCTTTACCAACATACATTAACTTCTCCTGCTCTTCCTCGTAAGAAATCACAGACTATGGTAAAAAGAGAAGGACATCAAGAAGGGGAACCTGAATAACTAAAAAGGTCAGAAGGCTTAGTTATATCTCAAACCAGCACTAGAAGGTTCACGAATCCGGAGCATCAATTTCAATAGTGGTGGCATACAAAATGAGCAGGGACAGGTAAAGTACATTGTAACAAGTCAGGACCATGATCATTGCGATCTACTGTTTTTTCGTGGAGCGATTGGATGTAATTCCAGTTTCAATCCTGCTCGTCTCCGTCAAAGTCTTCTTCACTTCCGAAACAGATCAATATTCCATCGAAAAAGTCGCAGAGAGTGTTGACAGAACTTGGGATCATCTTTCCCATGATCCGCGGTGTCGGTTCCAGACTGAGACTGACATATGTTTTACGCACAAGAATCACGAGAACTACAAGATCGACCAGTGTCCTTACAACCGCATGGTGATCACGAGAACGAGATCGTCTTTTTGGTCGTGAGATCAAGGATTATAGGTGCTCCAGCAACATCGTCCAACCCTGATCAGATAGACCCAAGCCGAAGTCGTGGTCCGATTGCTTCATAGTTTGGGTTTTTCCAGCAAGTCTAGTTGTACGCTTTCGCTTTTCAAGATTCCAATTAGAATTTCCATTTTTATGATAAGACAGCATTGATTCATGCCAGGACCGAAGGTTGTGCGATTCACAGGATGAAGATTGCAAACTACAAGTAGCAGACTTCTGATTTGAATTCAAGAGAAAAGTATTTCGCTCTTCCTTTCTCATAAAATCCATTATAATTGGTACAAAAGTAGGCAGGATCGGGGGTACTTCTAATCATTTTGTCTGACAGACCGACGTCGTGGACAACATAGAGATCATAGATCCTTCTTGGCAGAGGGATTTTAGCTTGATAGAAGATCCACGGATCAATCTTATGCTTTTCTCCCGTATCGCTATCCGCGATCATGCAAGAGTAGGATGGCAGTGGTCGCGACCACAGCGGTTGCTCCCGGTCGCGACGTTTTCAACTTCAGCACTAGCCTGAAGATACAGATAACTTATCATCAAAAAATAGCGAAAAAAGAGATTGAGATGAAAAAAAATTGTGCACAGTGTGGCGGTCACATCAAATAATCGCCAAGAAAACAATTCATGACCAAGTAGACTAAGCATTTCCATCATCAGGGTATCAAATATTCCATTATGATTTCTACTTCGTTCTTGCTAAAAACAGATGCAACAGCTATCGAAAAAATGGACAACTCACACTCACTACAGAATGTAGACTCGCTCTCGCAAATGCAAGTAGTAGAAAGCCAATATTTCTAGTACTATTGGGCAATGAGTTTATTAAAAATGAACAACCATTATTCATCTGGATGGAGGGTCCGCTAAATCATGGTGGATCAAAAACGAAATCAATCTTGTTCTGTCTGATGAATGATGATAATCAAGTCTTATAAAAAAATCCTTATACCATACCATTGGTACGCAACATTTATGTCATGTGTCTGTGCATCTCAGAGGGCTATTTTCAACCATCAGGAGCGAGATGAAACAGTTCCTGAATATATATTACGACACGAAGGAATACATCAATGAGTACGAATAACGTTGCTGTTGAGCATCGGAATGGCCATCCTTTAGATCATCCACAATGCTCCAGATTATTGCATCGGTTGCAGCATAGAGCGATGCCGAAAGGTTCACAAACACAAGTCCGTGCATCAAACAACTTCTTCTCCGGTCACGATTGCAGCCTTTAAAGAGACAGAAACTGAAATAATACAAACATTGATGATACGACAAATAATAAGTAAATTCATTTTCTCACCAAATCAAGGTAAGCAACAAGCATTAGCACCCGAAGACTGTGTGTTGTTGCGAACAAAGTCAAATTTCTATTTCTATCTCCCGAAGTCCTGATCATACTACAGCTACTTCTACTTTCATCTGCAAAAAATCACGAAGGTCTTTTACTCTCTATTCCTATCTGTTCTAGAGGTATAGGAGGGGAGGATCCAAGTACAGTAGTAGCATAGACAATCCTTGAGAGGGCGATCGTCCTGCTCAGCAGGTTTATTCTGTCTCTCTAGAGATCGAAGTTTGGGATCCCTCAGAAGGCCTGGCCTGCCCTCATCTGTGATCTTCAAGATGATCATGGCCCCAAAGAGCAGGCCGAGGATCCTAAGAACCATAACTCTATCGTCTGATAGTACGAATGAGTGATCAACTTATCATGATCGAATGAGTGATTGACTGCTCGATCGGGTGACTGATCGACTGGCTGATCTGCCTGGAACTGCCGTTGGTCATCTTCGCTAAAGTTATAAATATGTTTGGAGCAGAAGCGGTATTAGAATCGCTACTGCTAGTCAGGTAGTGGTCGTACGTCAACAAGAACTCTCATTTTTTCATTTTCGGTATCATAGGGTAGAAGATATAGATCCTTTTTACCTGAGTGCCAATATTTTAGCTTTTCTACATTAGACGATCTCGACTTTACTTTTATCCTCATCACTCTCGTCTCCCGCTTTTCGTAATCAAAATGGGTCAACGACCATGAAGTAGAGGATTCGCTGAAAGGGTAAAAATCCAACTGCGATTGTGAGGCATCACAAGCAGGCTCGCAAACGACGGGCACGGGCTCCAGCAAGGGGAGGAAATAGAGCGGCGCTATGGATTCAGCAAGAACGACATTTTTCAGGGTACCGGATATGGATCCGTGTAGCAGCACTTTAGGGACACGAATCCCAGCTAGTATGATATGATTAAGAAAAATGTTACTTTCATTATCATTGCCACTGGAAGGCCACATAATACGGCTTTGTGCATTGCGTATCTGCATGTGCAAGTGCATCATCCAAGTTGCAGCTTTAATATGAGTGTGCAGTTTTATGAATGTCTGTGTTGTATTATAATATGGAGGACATTAATTTCAGCATGACATCGCTCATAAGCATAGAAGATCTAAAGTCAGAGTCGCCTGAACAATCAACGCTAGAATCAATTATACTTTACATGTTGTTTATAATCTTCCAACAGTAGTAGAGGAGGAATGAATACGTTGTTGTTTCATCTGCGCTCGTCCTAGTACTTTTGGTTCGTCTAATTATGCGCCAAGCCATTTCGCATCCCCCTTGTCCTGCACACGACACACACCACAAAAAGCCCAAATTGTAACAAACAATTCCAATATGTTTATGCATATGGAAACATTATGAAAATGACCTTCTAACATATTCAGTCAGTCTCATTCAGACTCTTCCAACTCAAAGCTCCCCCTCGCCCCGAAATTGTAATTATCACTAAATAAAAGCAAAACGATTAGAAAAGATTATGCGCTAGGTGGATATGCGTTGCGTTCATCTTGCGTGTTGGGAAGATAGTACCCCCAGTGCAGTAGAAGATGAGACCATGACAGAACCGCACGTGTGGCAGTACGATTGGATAGGATAGGATGAAGTCCGCCGTCCACAGTCTTACCTGCCTTCTCGTTCGTTGTTGTGTTAGCGTCGGCACGATACATCCTTCCGCGGCACTAGATTTGTGTTTACATGACTGTTCTGTCGGTGTTCGTGGTCTTCCCTGGTCCTACTTCCCAGTGCGTTGAAAATTTCAATTACCATCATCAAGTTGATTCCAGTACCGGAAAACACGAAGCAGACGCTAATAAATATATAGCTTCAACATACTTCAGCGTGTATCATTTTCACTTCTTGTCCAAGGTCAATCATCGAGAAATAAACAACAACACGATGGTCATTCGTGGTCGTAGTCTTACTAAAATCGAAAACGACTCAATTATAGTATTCTCAGCTATCTATAAATATATAATCTCATTTTGAAGCAGAGACACAGAGGGAGAGAGAATTCATCTCATAACGAATATCGACAATTGAATGATCACATACTTATCAAGGTCGAGGCTGGAAGATACATCATGCAATATCAGATCGATGTGCGCGGCCGATATATTTATACCGAGAGACGGAATCAGAATCAGTGTTTATTATGGAAATGAAATACAGCTTTCACAACTAATAGACGAAAGCTACGTCTACTCCTATGACCCAGAAAGTGCCAGATGCTGGCGCATCTACTCTGATGCGGCTGCAAAGAAATGATCGGGTATAAATGTTGCAACGATGTGTCCAATTTCAATTTTGTATATTGTTCGTGTCCGCGTTCGTCCCGAAGAACAAAGTAGACTAATATATAATGCAATAATAGATGAACTACTCGAGAAAAACATGAACAACAATGAGAATCGACGAAGACATAAAAAAAAAAACTGGTGTAGCTAGTTGTCAGTTGCAGACCAATCATGTCTGATGAATTAGATGAATATGAAATCGAAAAATAACTGCTCGAATAATGCCAGTACTGGACCTTCCAACCGAATGTATAATACATGCAGCACACAATCTGTAAATGCGAAATAAATTAGATAGCAGATACGACCGCGGCGTAGAGGACGTAGGCGGCTATGAATAGCATCGCACAGGTAACCCAGGAGGCTTCGATCTGCTGATCGGCGATATGAATCAAGTCTTCGATGTCCTCGTTCAGAGAAAGCTGCCGCATTGTGGCCGGGAGTTGCCTGCTCAGACTTCTCCGAGGCAGTTGATGGAATACCCGCCATGCCGGCAAATTGTTGAACATGGATTAGACGAGTAAGATTGCCCAAATTCACATCTGATCTTTAAGAGAGTCAGCACTAGCACACCTTTGACGTGCACGCGTGACGTGCACGTCTTCTTCTTCTCTCCCACTTAAGAGACAGAGAGTGAGAGGGGTTGAAGGAGGCAAGATTCTTCTGCTCAATATGAAAAGGAAAATGAATTAGCAGGGCAACAAGTAGAAGCCTTAAATTGAAGATGAGGAAAAGTTGCTGGTACCAACGTTTTTGCCCGTGTAAGAGCTGCTATGCTGATGTCCCCCACGTCCACTGGTGTTGTAGCCACGACTGGTATCAGACAGTATATTTCTACTGTCGTTAGTGTAATCCGTGCGGCGGCGGATAAGCTTGGAGGAAGACGGCGTGGAGGCTATTCTGAAGCCGGCAGGCTGCGCGACTGACGATGTGGTTGACGTCTTGCTACTACAAGACGATCCCGACGCGCAACGCGTTAACACATTTCGTTGTCGGTAGCTAGTATTATTACCTGCAATTGTTCTCATAGCATCACTAGTATGGCCACCATGCTGTTGCTGGTCTTGTGCGGCTGAAAGTAACAGTTTCATGTCGGACGACCTATTGTAACCGTCAGCTCCGGTTGTGCCGATTTGGGGCACTTCAGTTATCTTCGATGTAGTGGACGAAACGGAAGCCCGTGAGTTAACGCTGCTGCTTTGTCGGCTCAACGAGGGTGAATCTTCTACTCCTCCTGGTTTAGGTATACTCAGAGATGGAAGCCGACCTGTTCTACTGCTCTGTCTCTGTTCTAATTCACGTTGATCTGTTTCTGTTTCTCCTCTTGCCGCGTGGTCAGATGAGGTTACAGTATCTCTAATATTATTCACTTCTTGTCGTTGTAGATTGTTTTGTTGCTTTTGGGCAGACAATTTCAGCCGCCGCCTCGTTTTTCCGTTACGACTCCTCCTCTTAGTCGTGTTCGGACTTTGACTCGTCTCTCCATCATCAACTCGCGTCCCGGCCGTCTCATCTTTCCGCCTCCTGTACTCTTGTTCTAGCCTATCTTGCGCGCGAAAGCTTTCTTCAGGTTCAGGTGGTGGTGCTGGAGAGCTGTAATTATCAGATTCTAGTAGTTTACTTCTGGGACTGAGAGGTTCGAGTAGATGCTGCTCAGCCGGGTTGAAGTCAAAAGCCAACTTAGGTCCATTCTGGGTGCCACCTGCGCCATTACTTGTATCGGTCTCATCGAGCTCTGAGAACAGCTCGTCCTCGAAGTAGAGCCCTTCTTCTAGGTAGTTAGAGTCCTCGTTCTCGTCACCTAAATCTCTCGCCATTTGCTCTCGGTGTCCAGCTCCTTTCTTACGACGTTTCATGCGGCCGCAACCGCACAAAAAACCGGAGCGCCGGACCAGCTTTTGGTCCTGGGAGAAGAAGCTCATCGCATCAACATAGCCCTGCCAGAACATCCCCTCCAGGACCTCTTCACTTGGGGGAAAAAGCGCCCACCAGAACGGAAACATTCTGCTTGGGCCGATGTCGGCATTCGGCGCCCCTGTCGCACTCACTCGAACCACGTGATCATTATTCGTGAAACCTCGCCAGTGCACAAAAAGCGACAACCAGCATAGCCCGTCTACGTAGTAGCTCTTGTATTTCTCGATCCAGTACGGGAGAACACCCGCTAACAGTGGAATGTGCGCCGACGCTCGCAGACATTGGACCAGGTGCTTGCGATCGCTAAAGAAAGAAGCTACCTGGAAATGCAATGGCGGAATGAAGAGGACCGACATGAAGAATGAAGGATTGGCTGATCAAGTGACTCTGAAGATAATGCAGTACCTCTTATGTCCCTCCCGATCCAAGAAAAATAACCCTGTAAAAACCTTTTCATTGAAAACAAAATCAAATGAACATGAAGATTGAGATTGGCCAGAAAATATCTTTGAATAGAAGTGAACCTGTCCTCTTGCGAATGGCGGGTGCCGCTGAAGTTGGGTCATGAGCACGCGCAAACGACCGTTAGCACGAACTATGTCCTCCAATTTTCTAGGGACCCACTTCTCTAAGGTCGCCTCACAGAGCCGAAACGATGCCGCTATGTTGTATTGGCACTTCGAGGATTGCCGTATGGTATCGAAGCACACCTCCTTCGGATTCAGGCCAAGCGCGAGCGCCCCTGCCACGAGTGCGCCGCCACTGGCCCCAGAAAAACCCATCTCATTTGGGTAGTCGTTGTCAAAATGGTCGTAGATGAAGGTCGCCACGCCCCAGTGGTACATGTAGAGCCAGCCGCTCGAATCGAAAGAAAAGCAAAAACGCGCAGGAGATGGCAGAGTAGCCTCTTCATCTTTCGCATCGTCTTCCTGTCTCGCCGCGTCTGTGTTGAATATTAGCGCTGTCACAGAGAACTTTAACTCACACACGTAATTCGGTACCAACACCAGAAGTAGACTGCAAGGGCGCTTGTGCTGGTGCAATGCACGTTTTCATTTAATTGTACGAAGGTTCTTCTACTTTATCATAGCACGAGCAGCCGTTTGTTTACTTGTTCCGGCAAGAAGACTAATGGAAATTACAATGCAAAAAGCGAACATGAAAGGAACTTGAACAAACCAAAATCCATAACTTTCCACAAAGATTCCTGTCCGATGCAGAGCCTGCTTCACTATCAGGACTGTCTTGAGTTGTTGTTTTCGAGTTTTTCCTTTTGCTAGTAGCAAGCTCGGTAGCTTCTTGCTCCTCCCATGAGGATCCGTTGTGCTCCGCATTGAAGTCGATGTAGATGAGCAGCAACTGACTGCAGACTAGCAGCTCAAATACCGGTATCACCGGATTGTTGATGTTCAGCAGCGGCCTCACGTAATCGTGATAGAAAGAAAAACCACTACAAAAAAAAGAAGAAGACGCTCCATTTCCAGTGTATTGGAAACCGTAGGAATAAGACAGGGAAGAAGTACTTTCTTGAAGCTCCCTGGTGCCTCCAAACAGGACATCCTCGACGCGAATTTCTCGAGGATCGATATCTGTTACTACGTACGGCCCGAGGCGTCTGAGCAAAGAATTGACGAAAAGGCAGGCTAGCTGAAAGACAGCGTGGCAGAAAAGGATAAGCTGCTGGGCGAATTGCAGCTGTGGGAAATGCCGAAGCACCTCGTCGTTCCACTCCTTCAGGAAGTTACGTAATCTGTCCACAAGCTCTACTGGCTCGTCAGATGTCGATTCGTGCTGCTCGGATACGGATGTTGAGTTAGAAAAAAATCGATACAGCAGCTATCATGTACATAAAAGATGATAACACGTAGTTAATGGCGATTTGGTGGCGGGGGCTTCAAACGCCCAGTACCTGAGGTTGAGTTGTTAGTGCAAGAAGATAAACCTTTAACTTTATTGTCTTGAGGAATTATATTAACTAAAACTAATCTACAATGAACTATATATAATGACATGATGATAATGAGCCTTAATTGTCGATATTTTTGTACTCGTATTGCTTGTCCTAGCGATCGTATTCGGGTCGTTTTCATCCTCGGGCAAAACGCGACGCCATAAAGGACCTAACAATTGGCGGAGTGAGGACCTACCACGCACAGGTGAGTCTTCGTCGTCCTCCTCTGCGTCCACACAACTAGCATCGCTGACTCGCCTCCTAATGTTCCGACTTCGTTTCTTACCTCCACTCCCGTAACGATTCGACTTACCGCTACCTCGTTTGCGTTTGCGGTGCACGGAAGTTGGTGGAGACCTGCATATTGTCACTTCCTCAGCCTCGCCAGCAAATGAAATAGACCTTATGCTGTTCGCCGACGACGTTTTTCTTGGCTGCCCAACATGATTTGGTGGCAGGTGTGAAAAATCGTCCTCCAACAACGTCTTGGATTCCATTCTCGCAGTTGGTGTAGCAGTACTGCATGGAGCTGCAGGTGGTGAGGACGCAAGTGCCGAAATGGATGTAGTGCTTTCGACCAGTGTTGATAGCTTCAACATTGAGCCAGAAGACCCTCCAGCAGAAGTAATTTTTCCATTTGCAGATGATGAACTTGAACTCGGACGTCTCGCAAGCAGCATCGAAGCCAGGTAGTAGCTGTAGCAAATCACCGAGAACACGTTCATCACAAATACGATCCAAATTGTGTGCCGCGAGGAACCTGCAAACCGCGTCGGGACTTCGTTCGACGTCCATGAAGATCCTGGTGAACTAGCATCAGGCGTGGAGAAGGCAAAATTGTAATTGTTGGTAGAAGAAGAAGTACTTGTTGAAGATGGCGATGAAATGGTACTAGACATAGTTGTTCCAACTAGTGCGTCGTCTACAACCCCTGTGATCGTCGTGTTGTTGTTGAGTTGTTCTAGTAAGCCATCATGCGCGATTTCGGTGCAGATGAGGAGATGTCGAGCGCCGAGGAACCATGCCCACATCAACATGGTTTTCACGTAGACGCTCATCAGACCAACAGTTGAGCGAAATTTTTTGGCTGCTAGGATGCTCGCAACTTCGCCGATCTCGAACATTGCGAATTGATACTGCAGTCGCACAATACGTGCCATGGAATGAAGCTTCACAAAGCCCAGCGGTGCGGCGGTCGTGCTGCTGTCAGTTGGCATAGTGCTGAAGTTGAGAATCCAGCGTTCGAAGGACAAGGAAGTCAGCGTGGTACCATCGTCACCGACATCACTGCCGTTAATAGTACCAACACCTCTACTACCATGGGACGAGAAGAAGCCGAAGTAGCCTAGAATACAGCTACCGGAGAGGTAGAGAAGCGCGAGGCTGACGCATAGACCGACACTGTCGAACAAAAACAGAACGGCCCAGACACGACGAGGCGTTCGGTACTCCATGAAGCGCTGGCCGAAATAGAGCACACAGAGAACGCACCAAGTTGCCACAACAGGATAGAAAAAAGACATGCGATAGTGTCTTCGTACGGAGTCGACATCGTCCTCTTGATGTGCTTGTGGTATCTCTGTCCTTGGCTTCATCTTACTAGAAGCATCATCGGTGGCGTCAGCTTTTTCCGGCTTTTCCTGTATGCCTATCAGAATGTCCTGCGTCTCGGGTTCATGTGCTGAATGTGTTCGAAAAGGTGCTGCTCCGTCCTCCTGCTGCTGACTCGTATTTGTTTCTGCTGCTAGTAGAGTTGTACTCTTGACCGAACGAGAAGATGCCGCTGAGATGCTTGAAGGCAACAGCGCTGCTTTTTTTACCCATGCATAGCTCGGCCAGGATCGATGCGTGTGCAAAATTACAACTGACCAGTAGATCATTGTGACCGTGAAGCACAAGAAAAAAAGTCGTCGAGATACCTTACCGCGTTTTGTGTAGATCGAAAGTTGTGCGTAATTCACCATTACACGGCGCCACTGTGTGTGCATTCTTCGCTCGACCAGAGAAGGACGGCGGGCGCCTCCGCGGCGGCCCCCAGTCGTGGTCATCTTGATTCGGCGATGGGCCTACTCCGTCCACAAGCGAAAGATTCTTTCTCTCATAGGACGATCAGGTGGCAGGCCCAACACTTCGATGAACAAAAGCGGAGATGCGTTCCTTCTATCTATTTTTGGAGGCGTGAAAGAAAATGACTTTGCTTTTGGAGGTTCTAGTTTGGTGCGCTAAGTAGAGATGAGAGATAGAGCACTTTGTTTTCCAATAATAGATTGTAAGTAATTGTTCCTTTTCGAAATAGGTACGCTATAGTTCTTTAATGCATCATTTTCTCATCAAAAGATTTGCATGCGTCCCTTTTGCAACTTTTTCCGCGGACTAGTAGAACCAATAGGAGTAGTTGATCTTTTTCTTACTAAAAACCTCTCTCGTTTATTCTCTGTTCTCTCTTTCACTCATCCTGAGCTTTCCCAGCTTGTCCACGCGCCACGAAGTCCTTCTTCAGAATAATATGTTGATGTTCATAATTTTTTCGAAAGAATTCTATTGATTCGCAGATTTCCTCAAGGTGTTTGCAAAAAAGACGGACAAGACAATGACAATGGGCATCGGTAGAATCGTGAAGTAGAAGTGTGGATTACTATGCTGTTTCGACTACCTAATGTAGAGCATGACAACCAAATCTATTCATGCACAAAAAAGACACACGTGCAACAATTTAAACCTGCCACGTGAATATGAAGCATGCTCTTCACAACATTGAACCTAGTATGACGATCTTCAGCAGCATAACCCTCTCGCCACGCAACCTTATAGGGAGAGAGCCACCGTGATTCACGTTGGAACGAGACATGTTGCATGACGGTAGGTTCCAGGACCGACAACCCGGGTTGTCGACGTTTTCACCTCAGAGCTCTTTTTTCTTCCGTCTTCTCGTCCAAAAGTCCACCGTGGGAATTCGCGTTGTAGCAGCCCTGTAGTTTTAGAGGTAAATCGACAATAAAGCTTTTTAGTTGTCAATCCGATAAGGTAAGTTACGGCAGCAACTACGTCGTCTGTATTGATCCTATCAAGCAATAGCAAGAGATACCAAAGCCAAATAACAAATGTCACAGAAAGGACTTACTATGTGTATTTTCTTTTCTGTAGACGTCGGGTCCTGGATTCGGCCTTGACCAATAGCCCTTCGCGATTGGTCTTCGGTGACCATGACTATAAAGTGGAGCCGCTTTTCTTAGCGTCATTACATCGGCTTCGTACTGTCCAGGACCCGGAACTGTAACATTCTTGTGGGACACGTACCTGAACAATTTATCTTTGCCCGAAAGAGAGGACGAATAGGAAGGAGAACATTCAAGTACCTTTATTCAACATTTGGCTGTTGCACCTAGTACAACAACATCTTCACCAGAAAAATGTGTCTTCATCTAGATCATAGTAAAACTAATTCAGTACGTTCGATTGACAAGTGCAGGTGCAATAGCCATGTCTTTGTCGCGAAGCTGTTTGCCCATGCTATATCGGGGCATCGTGCGCACCTCTGGAGGTATCTTGTCCATGTTATAAGTGCCCGGACCCGGTGTCTCTATAACTCCAAGATAACTGGAGCGTGGTGACGCCCTAGTTTTGCAATACCTGGATGTGGATGGAGGAAAGGCCAGAAGGGGTCATTATAATGCGATCTCGACTTCTAATCTCCTAGTTCTTGGTGTACTATTCAGGTCATGATGATCATGATGTGATAGAAACACGATGCATCATACTTATTTTTCAAGACGAACCTGCTTTTTCCACCTCATGGAGATGGAATTTGAGAGAACAAAAAAAGCCTTCAGTACACTTCAGCTCCAAAACTGTAGCTCGGTGCGCCCTGAAAGCCACTGGGAATCTGCTTTCCCCCGGATCCCACAGGGAACCTGAGTGCTGGCACCGAAGAAGCACGGTTCAAAATCGTCATGATTTGTCTTCAAGTATTTGTGTCACGCACTCGCAGGATGTAGTACAGTTTCACTGTCTAGTCCTTAACTAGCGTTTCCGTATTTTCACCACGAGTGCGTATCTTTACCCGTAGAGGAGATTTTCCTTTGAATAGTCCACTACTTGTTCCGTGCAGCTGTCGCACGAATCGAAGGGCCTGTATCGCTCCTATAATTTGGTCTTCTCTTCAACCGTAATTTCGGGCTTATTCTCCGTCTCGGAACAAGCGAGCTTTTCCTGTGGATTTTCGAGGTCACCCTTCGTGGCCTTTTTCCGTAACGGAACTATGAGCGCATGTGTCGGTGTCCAACTGCAGCATACAACAAGTTGACAGTGCTGGTGTTACTGTTGATATGAGATATGATGTAGAGTACTCACTACTGGTAGCCCGCTACCATGCCATTGATTCGATAACGGTATACGTCTGAGAAGGTGGGGTTATATCGATGGAACAACAGGAAATTATTGGTGACTTCAATGAGAGACTCATCAATGGATGAAAAAATAGCGCTTGAAGTGTTATTCTAATCTACCCTCTGGTTACTCTTACTTCTACGAGGGAGTCACGGTGAACAGAAAGCATGTGAGGGGGTAGAGGACAAGTAAAACCGACGAAGCAAGCCGATTTCACACGAGTAAGAGGTGACGAGTCAGTATTTATTGAATCTCCAGTACGTAGTGAATTACACTGCGTTTTGGTACCGTCTACAAAGAAGTCTACAGATGAGTCACCGAACATCAGAATCAGACAGAGGTCAACAGACGATTGAGAATGTCGTTCACGAATCAAATGCACCGAATGTTTATTGATTTTCTCAACGAACAGTCCTAAAAAATTCCTTGTTTCTAGAAAGTTTCCTGTTCAACGTACTATTCCATATTCACACACTTTGTGCTGCATCTGTCACATAGAATAACATTATAGTGATTTTTTAGAAAATTTAGCCGCTTTGACATTCCTAAACCAAATGAACAACGCAACTCAACCACTTGCAACTGAATTATTTAAAAAGTTGATAAAATCAAAATTTTCAAATTTCAGAGAATTTACGTTTCAAACCCATGACATTCAGTGACTTTCACAGCATAAAACTCAAACTCATTGACAAGCTAAATTGCTAAATTTTCGCAGTTCAATGTTAAGTACATACAATCAGTTTTAAATTTGAGACTAAAATTTTCAAAAATAAATTTTAAATTTTGAATTAACTTGCTAAGTCTTAAATTCTGAAGTCATCACAATATTCGTTTTCTGTAGGCGTATTTGAATGAATGTCATGCAAACAGATTTGCTTCATCTTCATCTACGAGTCGATCCGGACCGAATTCGAAGCTTGAAATCCTTCTATACCTGGTGATCAATAATTACTCGTCTTCTTGTAGCAGGCATGCAACCGAGAGCAATCTTTCAGCAGTCGCACCCGTCTTGAGATTACCGAAATAACAAAGAGGAGAAGCATAACGCTGGAAGTGTTCAAGCTGTGCATGGCGAGCACCCCGTCTCCAATAGTTCACGACGTGAAGGATAGCATGGTAGCCCGTAGCTGTGCCACAAGATCGTCAATCCTGCTAGACTTGTACGCAAGCCTAAAAAGTACAACAGGCGTTTGGAAATGAAAGCCATTGGGATTGACCAGATGAGCTCGCAGCAGTGGTTGGAGACTACACCGTATGTTGGAAGCACGATGAAGCTGCGCAGAAGGGGACAAAGGCAAGACGAGCGGCAACATAAGTCTTCACGACAAGAAAGGTAACTTATAAGTGAGTATTAAATCGAAGCGGCGTAATATGTTGAAGCAAGCTCCCAAGCAGTCAGCAGCGAGAGAGGCTCGTCTGACAAGAATGTCCATGTGTCATCATCGATCGCCTCATGCTTATGTTGAGGGCGTGATTGACGGAGGAACACGCGCAGGTAAGCGGATGACCAGCACTGGTATCTTCAGATATAGATTTAGATTTAGTATGGTTGTTGAAGGAAACAAATATCGGAAGCGTATAGAAGGGCGCTGTACGACGTAGCGCTGGTAGTAGTGTTGATTGCAACAGTTACTCTCAATGAAGATTAAGAAGATGTTGAACACTTTAATATTTGCTTCAACTGCTCAAAAAGACGGAATGGGGATTAATACGCGATTTTTTTCATTTTCGAATGCAACAAAAACCTGACGTCGACGACGAGCGAAAAAGTAGAAGAACCCTGAAGGAAGTTGCAATGACGTGCGTCGAATATGGCGGACTCCCAAATGTGTTGCGATTCTGTCGCTCTCCAGGCATTGTGTTTGTTCATCTGTGTAAAAAAAACTCAAATAAAAAGTGTTTTCCATATAGATCCTCCAGATGTAGTTGTACTTGTTGTAGTACTTTCATCTCTAGAAATTAATAAATATTACATCACTTTACTAGTACTCCTACTCCCACTTACTTGTTTACTAATATCTATCATGTTGATGCACTAATTAGAACCTAATCCTAGAGGTGGTTAATGCTTACTTTACGTTTTTTTACCTTTACCAATACTCTATCTTGAATTCTCTTTTTTAACGCCATCACTTGATGAATATTGTAATGTCAATCATGAAAGCAAGATTTGAAATCCAGCACCTTGAGGTTGCGGCTGCCCTAATATACAATGGTCATTTATTTTTCGATGAAGTAGATGAAGCTTAAACGCCCACTGGTATAATCAATCCATTAGGTGATATTATCGAAAATCCAGATGCCTCAAGTTTCAAGTCTACTTCCACCAGAGGATGGATATTCAGCCTATCATGTCACCTCGATGATCGAAAAGTCATCTTCATGGATTGAAATAGTATTTTTATAGCTACTACAGTTCTATATCGAATTCGAAACATTGATCGACGGCCCAACAATTAGCTAAAGCTAAGTATTTCTTTTTGATTATAACTAACACGTAAAAGAAAAACTTTCCCTCTAGTCGTGGTGACAATACCAACGTCTGCTCGAATGCGCAAAGTCTAAATGAATCACCACTGGAAAATGAAACAGTAATATCATGCTTTCCACCATTGCCTGAAGGCGTAGCTATTCTGAATATTTTTGCTGAATTATTCTTATATATTAACAATAGAAGTTGAAGTCGACACTCAATAAACTTATGCGTCAAACAACAGCTGCTGTATGCGGAAGACAATTCTACTTACAGCATGGCTGCAGCTTTACAGTTTCACCGCGACGTCATCTTCAAGATACAGTCTTTGACTTGAACTACAAAGAATCCATTTCAATTCTACATCATCTTATCGTGCTTGTCCACCTACCATGAGTATGAATACTAAAATTTGTACTTTATAATACTAGAAGTTAGTCCTCGTCGAGGATTAAATCACGAGAATGAGTAGACGAAGATTTACTACTCAATATCAAGTCTTTCTTAGTCATGTCTCTGTGCACACTTTTTTGATGTTCTTTCATCATCGATAAAGATGAAGACGATCTGATCTAACCTCCCTACAACGGTAAGTATGCGCATGCCGTTGCCGCACATCCAGTTGTAGCCCTATGAAGTTCTTTAGTTCCTTCTTACAAACGAGGTCGCCGTGCTGTATCCATGTATTCTATACTAGGGACACGAAGAACTTCTTACTCTGCGTCTTCGGCTGCCCAGATTTCACCGTAGGTAGCGTTCAGAACATCAGCGTCGCCGAAGTGCTGGCGCATGGAAACAACTTTTCCGTCTTTCACAGTCCATTCCATCAGGTCCGTCAAGCCAGAGCAAGCGGCGTCCTTGTACTTCATGTCGTACTGCATGCGAATGTAAACCTTACCGGAGCCTGGCGGTCCCGGAAAGAAGGTCGGAGCCATGTTGGGAAATTCGCAAGCATCCAAATAGGTCATCCAGATTTTGGCGTCATCAACTCCGCTGTACTTCTTGTACTTCTTCGAAGCCGGGCCGCGGAAGTCCAGAGCGACATCAGGGGACCACACTTGCAACACGTTGGTCTTCCACTCATCCGCCGGCAAATCGGTCTTGTATTTTCCCGCTCCCCAGTTGCCGAACATCGTCATGATAACTCCCATGTTTGCCTTCTGGTCGCCGGCTTGATACGCGTCCTCCTGCAGTTCTTTGCCCATTTTTTCGTTGATTTCGCCAATCTTCCCCCAGTACTGTTTGCAGGACTTGATCTTACCGCCAGAAATGTTGAAGACGAAGACGTCGGTGTTGCCCTTCATCTCGCTCTCCCCAAACTTCGCATCGTACTGCATGTACATGAGTTAAAGGTAGTCTTTTACTATCCCAGGTGGAGTGAGTTCTTGTCTTTCCCCATCAGTCTCCCCTTGAAATCAAGGGGGAGCCAACTCAGCATAGTTCACATGGGATAGTGATAGTGATAAACTACCCTTAAATGAAAGCCAAGTTACTTCCCGAAGGTCCGGCGATGAACTGAGGAGCCATGCTGGGAAAGTCCCACTTCTCCAAGAACGCCATCCATTCCTTGAAGGCCGCCACACCGTCGTACTTCTTGTACTTCGCGATGTTCGGACCAGTGAAGTCCCAAACGCAGTCCTTGGTCAACACTGCTTCCATATTGGCAGTCCACTCCGCTTCCGGCAGGTCGGTCTTGAATTTGCCCTCGCCCCACATACCGAACATGGTTTGGACAATCTGCACACTCTTCTCCTGATCCGGGGTCAAACCCGGACCTTTCTTGGCAGCACAGTTGCCCATTTTGTAGTGGAAGAGGAAGTCGGTAGCTTTTTATATCGATTCCGTGAGTTGAAAAAGTTATGTTGTTAATATTCTTTTTCTTTGTAAGTATGATGATAAAAAAGCTGGTGATTGTGATGCTGATCTTGCTGAATGTTGAGGTACAGCTGAAGAACAAGACCAATGTTGAGAATAACAATCGATTGAAATTGAATATGCTACTTATTACAACAACTTGCTTCTCTCTATTTTTGCTATACGAATACGAATGCAATCTTACTTACTTGTTAAAGCCACCAGGACGTCTTATTTATTCAATGCCAACGACTATGTATACATAGTGAAGATCATACAGAATTTCTTTGTAGCAAGAACTTAAAAATCACTGTTAATTGTTGTTTAGTTCTTATTTAGTGAAAATGAAATTATAGATACTTTACAAACTCTGAATTTGATGCGTTTTTGCACATTCCTGGCGTTAGTTTTTAAGATTAAGAAACAGCTTCTCCTTGGATTCCTTGCCACTACCTCAACAAGGTGCAGTGGGGCATAATAGAGTCGCCTGTTAGCGGAGGAGTGATCGATTGGGTTTCATCTTCGCGTTTTTTGTTTCTAGTTTCATCATCATGGAGTCTATCACTGGCTAGCATACCAGAACCAGTCCCTAGACTATTAATGCTCGCTAAGACTATGAATTCTTATTCTGTTGCCCTCGTGATTATGCCAGTCTCGTGGTTGTTCTAGTCGACTAAAGCGATAGGCATGCGTTCGGCATAATTGTGTCGCTTCACTCTCAAGAAGAGCACACTGACTGAAACAACTCCAACAGGAGAATGGCCGGACCTGGATCTCGATCTCCTCTCTCTCGTCGCTCGTCCCCTAGCACTACTCTTGCAAGTAAAACAGGAATCTGGCAACGAACAGATTAGAATACCTAGACGGAAGAGCCTGCCTTCTTTACTTCGCTATAGCCTGGAGTAGCGGTTACTTCGAACAGTCATGTACGCGAGGATTACACTCGTCGGCGTGAGGATGCTGCGCTCTATGCAGTTCGAAATTGAACTCTCGTTCACCTCCTCGTCTACTTTATAGATGTACTTATATCATCATCATGCACCATGGGTTTATGCACAGGGAATTTTACCCACGACAAACACAAGTTGACTACATTTGAAAATCTCGTTGAGGGGCTGTAGAGGAACAACAACAGTAGCACTTCATTTTCGATGATTCATGCTTCTGTTATATTGAACAAGCGCATCATTGAAAAAGACTCGAGAGGTAGTCATCAACATTCAGCTTATCTTCGTGTTGAAGTCATTTCCTCAAGTTTCAAGTCCACTACTAGCGGAGGATTTTCAGGTCTGTATTGCAGCGTGCAGGTAGCTGCATTAACGAAGAGGGTCATTCCATCATGGCTCAAGCCATATCCTTCGTGGATGTGTCCGAAGGCGTGGATTCGAGGCTTAACTTTTTCTTGCACGCGCTTCAATAGGTGCAAACATCCTGCTCGCATAGTTCCATTCGCGACGCTATCGCCGCGTCCTAGCGGAGGACCATGTGTGATTGAATCTTAGAAATAGATGTAGAAATCAAACATTCAAACAATGTCATATTAGTTCTACTGCTAGGTGTAAATACTAGCTAGTTCTAGTACTAGTCCTTAGAAGAAATTAGCCATGATGACCAGGAGATGCAACTTCTTGTAAGAAGTAGAACTGCATTCGTCTAAGTAGAAAAATGTTGTTCATTCAAGCAAGTTGAATATGGGAGATATGGATATCACAAGAACAACATGCGGTTTACTAGCTTATGCCACTGAGTTCCAGCCTTAAAAAATATCGGTATCTTCTGGAATTTCGTCGCACTTGGCTCCACAGCCGTCGTCGTGTGTTCGGGGCAAATTGAAGGCCCATCCAAAAAACTCAGGTTGCCACGGAGACCCGAAGAAACGAAGGGGTTTGAATTTCTTCATACTCATAGATGATTTGTCGTTCTTGTCCGGCGCCTTCTCAACACCGTTCGCGAGTACCAGAGTTGTAGAACTAAAGTCAATGTCTACAGCGTCGTCACAAAGGTAGCGAATGCCAGCTGCGGCACATAGTTCTCGGAATTCCTTTTCGTATGCGTAACCGTCAGGCGGGTTTTCATCTGACTCCGAAACACGCCAAAACCTATAACGTCCCTTGTCGTTGAAATACGGTGCGTGTAGGGTAAGATCATGGTTTCCAGCGATGCATATTTTATGAGGATGTGGATGAGCCGCAAACCACGCCACGAAATTGCGAAGTTGTCCTGGCTTGCCCATGTCGGAAATGTCGCCTGCGTGGATCAACACGTCACCTGGAGGAACTGAGTTCGGCATTTTCTCCTCTCGGCCATGGGTGTCCGAAACAAAGACAAGGCGGACATGTGCAGAGCTAGAGCTGCTGCTATTGCTACACCCACTTGTTCCTGCGAGTTTCACCCCTCCACCTTGTGCCTGTTCTGCGGCTAGTGCTGCATCATTCGAACCATCATCGTCTCCTCCTTGTCCGCCTTCTGTCGCGGTATCCCCACCACCCTTAACTACACCTGCAATACCGACACCACCATCTGCTTCTTCGAGAAAGGCCCCTCCAGCTTCCTCTACTGTCAGGAAACGTTGGTCCTTCTCGCCCCAAAGACTCCACGATTCCGTTACGTTATGACAGTGTCCCGCAAACTGTTCTCCTTTCTCGATGGGGATCCGGTTAAGGGGCGGGTTGTCAGGCCTACTCTCCCAGACCGCATCTTTCGCTACCCGAAAGAAAGTGAGGGTAGAGGATGAAGCGCTAGACGACATATTGGACCTTCTTCTGGTAACTAAGGAACAGCTTGATTAGTATTCATTAGATGTAGTAGTAGTAGTGTTTTTCTTCTAGGAAAGAATTCAAATTCTTCTTGGGGCTGGTTGAAAGCGAGAACAAATAACGAGGAGGCGACCAAACCTTCTAAGCCTGCCATCCAAGCTCACTGCGATGAATATCTTAGTTATAGTACGAGAACTTTTCATATGGCTCGTATGTTCGTTTTGAAGAAAATGGTGGCAGTAGATCCTTCACCCGACCTCTTGTTCTGCTGGTCTGCTTTGCTCTTGTTGTACAGCCGAGCCACGTCAACATCAAGCCTTCCCCTTCGTTCTCTCGTTGATTTGTACTCATTACTCTTACTGTCACCTGGAATGGTTGTCGCACGACGCACTAGCTCTAGCAGCTTCATGACATGGACTTGGACATTCCCGGGTGAAAATAAAAATCCAACTTCTTCATTTGCATTTACTCTGAAGCAATAATATCACAGGAGCGAGGTGATAGGTCTAGTTGTAAGAGCAAAAGACAAGAAGGGACAGCTTCATCCACATCCGATAAAAATGCAACAAATTAGAAAAAAATTTCCAAAAATCATGAAGAGGAATAAAACCATATTATGATATTACCCACTAGTTAATATAACTACATCAGCTGGTGCAAAATTGTGCCGGGGCATAATAAATTGTTCAGTAGAAACGACAACACGCGAATAAATGATACTATTTTTCAGCAGACCAATTACTTATGCCAGCGGCTCTTTTCGCGAAATCTCCAGAAAAAAAAAACGGAAGAGGCCCAACAAGTTGAAGATTCGCAAGAGAAAAAAGTTCCCGAACATCATCCTTTCGCTTGTTAAGTTCTTCTTCTTCTCAAATGGAGCTCGAGCTGATACAATATCTCCTAAACATTCGCAGCAAACGACGCTTGCGTTCCTAGAACGCAGCCCGAGCACATCTAGAATAGTAGTGTTGATGATAAGGGGGAGTAGAGAAAGCACTAAAAAGAGGCACCAGACGAGCAGTAGCCTGCGCTTGCCTTCACACAAAACGGCTTCTCGGGTGCGTCTTCACTGTTTCGCAAAGTAGAGCGCGCCTCTCGCACCTCAAAGCACATAAGTAAAGGAACCGGCTAGTTTTCCATCTATTCTTAGGTCTTTCCCATCCGCAATCGCAATGTGTCTACTCTTTTCCGGGATAATCACCGCGGTCGCTAAGCGTCCATGACTCTTTTGTAGGAAGCGTTGTTAGCCTCTTCCAGCACTCTTCGTTGGACCAGTATCTGCAAGGTTTTTCTGGCAATAGGTACATCGATACCCTGTTCCTGCAAGAATGAGATCAGCGCAACCTTCCTGATTAGAGCGAGCGCATTCTTGATGTGGTGCGTATCGATACGATTTTGTTCGAACGCATGATTGATTCGCGAAACTACAGAGGAAAAAGATGCTGGGAAAGATTTGCAGAGAAGACCGTGATGCTGATGGTACAAGTGTTCTGTGTATTACATTTTCTATTCATAACGTGACTTTCCCGCCAATGTGGACACGGTTGATAATCGCATCCTCGCACGATTTCACCAAGTCTCGCTCAGCTTCACTCACTTCAACATTCTTGCGGTTCTCGTTGGCTTCAACAGTAGCCGCAGTGAAAAGTCTGAACGCCTCCTTCACATGATGCGGATACACCTGGTCGTTGTTAAATATGCGTTGGAATTGGAATGTAGTAGAATGAATTTGACATTCTACTTCTACTTCCACTTGATTGTTTTTGTTATAATTGAATTTGATAAAAATTCTAGCAAAAAATTTAGATAGAGTTCTTGTCTTGTTCTTATTTAGTTCACCTGCTCTTTCAACAGCTGTATCAGCATATTGCAATTTCGTTCCTCGATTCTTAAAAGAGCACCTTACCTGATCTGACAGCTGCATGCGCGCGAGAGATTCGGACAGACGACTTATTGCCTCTAGCTGTCGCACAGTAATCGGCAAAGTGACTTTCGCTCCTTCAGCTCTTTGCTGTTTCATTCCTTGCCGTATTTGAATGTAGTTTGCCTGAAGTGACGTTGCGGCCTCCCGCGTCAGTCGCGGGTCGCACTGTAGTCGTAGTAAGTGTAAGTTGACATAGATATAATAGGGACAAGAGAAATATCATTTCGAGAGGCCCCACGGACAAACGGAACTAAAAGCAAAAGTCTAGTTCACACGCGTCTTGTGCAAAGAGAAGAAGAAAAGATTCATATATTATAATGTGATTGAACCAACAACTCAAGAACATCGATGAGCAAAACAAGGAGCAAGGATCTCGTCCTCTACAGCGAAGTCGAAAATATTCACTTTTTCTTGAGATCATGTTCATGATGATTTTTCCTTCGGTCTGTACCGTTCTTTTCGCATATGTGACGAATTTCTTCAGGTCTTCGCCGGAAATTGGTGGCTCGACGAAGTTCGCACTGTCTTTGTTCGAAGCGCCGTGAAGGCGGGCCACGTGTTTCGCAAGGTTGAAATCTCGCTGTGCGTCTTGTACATCTCTGATCAGGAAAATCAAGTCAAACCGAGACAAAATGGACGCTGCAAAGTCTATCTGTTCGGCTGTCGAGCTCTGATCGTCGTATGTCCCGTAGATGGGGTTCGCAGCTGCGAGGACACTGATAGATTTAGATGTTCATCATGTGAAGAATATATAATTTTCAGATTATCTACTTCACTAAGGTTTGTGTTTGTCGAAAGAAGAACTAAATGAAACTGCGGAGTCAGCATTTACTTCCTTTTTTCTCCCAGTATCTGACGTGTAGTTGTACCTACACCTCGTGTTCAAGACGACTGTGATGCCCGCTTTTGCGATAGAGATGGTCTGCTGTTCCATCGCTTCGTGAATAGCCACCCTATCGTCATTTCGCATCTTATCGAACTCATCAATGCATACGACGCCGCCATCCGCCAGCACCATAGCACCTCCTTCCAACGCAAAGCCACCGTTTCCGCCTTCCTTGACAATTGCTGCTGTCAAACCAGCCGCTGACGACCCCTTACCAGAGGTGTAGACGCAGATCGGCGACGTCCGATGAACAAACTTCAAAAACTGCGACTGTTGGGGTGGTTGTGATGGGCACAAAATGTTGACGCACTGGGTGCACAGAGGAAGACAAGGAGGAAGAGAAAAAAAGTTATCCTTAGATAAGATTATTACTAGTCGGGTCCTCACATCTTCGACAATTAGCTTCGTCGATTGGACCATGCAAATATGTAATACCTTAGCTGTGCTTGGATCTCCCAGCAATAAGACGTTAATGTCGCCACGCAGTCGCGTTTGATCTGGCAGCTCCTTTCGGGCCCCGCCGAAGAGAAGACACGCAACTGCCTGTTTGACCATGTCAATGTTGTCTTTGGTAGAGGCACAGATTGACGGAGCAACGGACCTCCATACCGCCTCGTGGATCGGCATCTGCCTACCATCGAAACTTAGAAAAATTGGTCTTCATATGCTTGCGATTTTCTTTCTGAAAGTAGGCCGGCAGTCCAATTTGGGCCAGGCGGACTCATTGAACTACAACTTCTAGGACCACCTCTTCTACTTCTACAACTACCTCTACCACATGAGGAGATGGGAAATACAGCCAGGAAGTCACTGAAGACTGCTATATAATTGACAGCCGTCGTCTTATTTCAGGCAGCATTTTTTCGTTTTCCTCATCATGCTAGCTTATTAATCGCAGATCTTCGTGGCGAATGTACATGTAACCAGTTCACCCTTAAGTCTAGTTTGACTCCGTCTCGAGCCCACTCTTTGAAACGCTCTTCTTCCGCTGATGTGAGCTTCGGTCCGAGATATGAAGAGGGAAGGAAACGAAAAAATCGCGATTTTGATCATAGTCTTGCAGGACGTAAACGTACTGCTCCTCTGAGTTCTCAGCAAAGTGTGGGCCTAGCGTTCTTTCTGGAGCATCTTAGGATTATGTGACACGAGAAACACTGCTAGTAAGTGCTCGCCCAGCATGACCATGCATGCCTGAATTCTATTAGATTCTCTAGCAGCACCTCCATCATCCCAGACAGAAACCATAAAACCCGAAGCTCTCCGCCTCGAACGAAACCGAGGCCATGAAGATAGGCCATTTGGATGCCGGACTTAGCGGTTGCGTTTCCCCTGTCTCTAGACTTTGCTTCTTGGTTTATAGGTACACCTATAATTGCTATTCGGTTCCCAGGTTGAAGCTGGTCCACCATGCATCGATTAAGATGGCACATGATAGCTCTTGGCATATCTCCTAGTGGCACATCCTCAGGCAGCTCTTGCAACCGAATCTCCTGCATATCCCAATACTCGCATTCATCCGGAACCACCTGAAGTCGAACAAATTGAAAAAAACGATTATGAACATAATTAACTGTAATTTTTCGATCAGATGCATCCCGCTCAGCAAGATAAACTTTAGAAGGACTATTTTGAGAACTTCAGCCTTTTTTGACTGACCTCCTGGACGAGGAGTAGACAATCCGTTGTCGTACAGTGGACGCTGTATTCGTAGTTGACGACTTAGTGACCTTTCTAATGTTCAACGTGATCGTATACCAAGTATGGGGCTGCCTCGCACTTTTCCTCTGATCCGCCGGGACCCGCTCCATCACCTTGTTGGTCCGCAGGACCTTTCACAGATAAAATTAGAAACAACAGCACCGTTTTAGTTTTTATTTACCCGTCTTTGGAAAGCTGCGCTACCTCTGCTTTTTGAAGGTGACTGAATCTCGATGGTTAGCGTCAGCTTCAAATCCTCATGCATAATCATAAAGCGAGCCAATGTCTGCTATCTATAATTACTTGTAGTCGACGAGGACTCTTCGCTTTCATTGTCCTCTTTATCTTCAGACGACAACATCTACATGTCGTAATTGACATTTTCTTGGTATTGCTGCACCGTGCAGTCCTGCTTTAACTTCTATGGGCATCTCGTGGCCGCAGCTTTTGCACCTAATTTTCATCTTCTTACATTTGTGCCGCTTGCTTCTTGCTTGAACAACGATACCGCTTACCATCACCAATGACTCCACTTCTTCGGCGAGCAATTTTCGGATCTTTCGCATCGGTAGTCCACTGCCTTTGATCAAGGATTCTTCATCATCCTCCACGTTGCAAGAAGTTAGAACAGCAGATCATAAAGTTAAGGCCGAAGTAGTCCCCACATCAAAGTGTAGGCCATCTGGAATTTTTTTTCGACAGCATGAATGAGCGGCCAAAGCGATATCACGGGAATCAATGGAGCTAAAAAGGCACAGAAATAGTCTAGTGCATAATTTTCAGTCGAGTTGCCAGTGAAAGAAGATTTCTGCATGCAAAAAGTCCACCATAATTTTTGCTTCTCAATATAATTCATAAAATTAGTTGCACCTGCAGGAATTCTGGTGACGGTAACTGTTTCAGAGTCTCGTTGTGCCGCCGCTCGTCTTCATTGCCGAAAAGCTCTGTGGTGACCAGAAGAGAACAATCATAAAAAAATCATGATTTATGTCATGACAAATATGCGTTTTCGTCTGGATTTTAGAAGTAAGGAGCATCATTGTTCACATTGCTGCTTCAAAAATCCAGATGATCCAGTACTATCAGTTGTACTAGTAGTTGTATTAGGAACGATAAATACAATACAATGACAATGAGTACTTCTTCGTTCTCGTTGCATCAAAAAAGTTGTGATTTCATTCGGACGATAGATAAAACGAAAAAATGAGAAGAAATGAAAATCATGATCTCAAAAATCGTTGATACCAAGCATGTTATCTTTGTAGAATTTGATAGCCATTTCTTCCAGCAAGGGAAGGAAACTCGAAGGACGGACTATGAGACTTTCTTTCGCCATATTCATTTCCTGCTCGAATTTTTCATTTCCCGTTGTCTGACCAAAGACAGACAAGTCATCGAGATTGATGACGAGCTTCGCATTCCCATTGTCTGTTGTGGTAGTGAGCAGAGAGGAAAATAGTCCGTCGCTGTTTCATGTCTGCATAGGCAAATGAATTTGGAATCTTGCTTCACTTTACAAACATACAATTGCAACAGTGTTACCTTGTTCTACATCCTGCTCGACTGCCCCTTCACTAGTATTCACCATAAAGATTGATAAACAAGTTGAAGTCCTTGGGACTGATTAGAGCCACAAAAGAATACGAATATTGAGTTTGAGCTGCTCCTTGTAGGTTCGGAAGAAGCCGGTTCTTTGTTCTTGGAAGTGGTGGAGAAAGTAAGCCATCCTCTCTTTGAACCGGGCGTCGGAGAGAATTCTCTCGTCAAGCTCGTCACCGCGTGCAGCAGCATCGGGATCGGAATTGTCTTTTCCACCCCACCACTGGTATTTGTTGTTCGTATAACCCAACATTTTTTCAAGGTGTTTGTCGTTTTCCGATGTAAAAACAGATAATTTATTACATCAATCGGTCTGGAATGATGAATTGAATCTATTCGGCGAGCTGCCTAAGATTTCCCAATCGATCTGGAATAATCGCTTCAAATCAAATAAGCCGTGGCCGCAGCACCAGCCTTGTCTCAGGATATTCTATAAATATCGGACATTGTCAAAACGACCTCGAAGCCTCTCCTAATTCTTTTGGATGAGAAGTGAGGAAATTTCAATTGGTACTCTTATTGTTATGGTCATCGTAATGATGTACTATTGAGATATCAGGAACAGTACCTCCACGTTTACATTCATAAGTAATCAGTAGGAACTACAACTGGTACAACTCTTAAATTTGAAATCTAGCATGGCCGTACGTCGGAACTGCGCCTTTCGCTATCATGGGCTCAACTTAAGGAAGTCCTTTTTGCTTTCTAAACCACCCTTTTTGCTTTGGAAAAATTGGACATGGACGAACACTTTTGATGGTCTTACTCGTGTGCTTTAGGTGGTCCTTCCGACGGGTCACGACCAGGCGTGGACATGTGAACGTGCATTAATGATCTTAGATTTCAAATCTGATGGATGTGTTGGTGTAGGATGTGTCGGTGTGTTTTTAAGTGGGTCACACTCATATGCGTGGTAGTTCATCAATCATGTGATCGATGCTAATGTAGTCTGAAGGTGAGTCGTACTGTAGAAGCAACATAAGCTTCAAAAAGGGCTGGATGGATCGGAGATAACTACAGGGTATAATGCACTGGGCCTACAACAATTGTCTAAAGATGATCATAATTCGAGTGTGTCTTCAACACACTCGCGACCGCAGAGGAGAAGATCATGGGGACAAATCAATCAACGGTTGCAGACTGCTTCAGAGCGCGGTTGCCGTTATCAATGCAGCATGGGTCTGGGCTGCTGGGTCTATCAGTAAAGATGAAGTAGAGGAAGTAGAGAACAGCGAAATATAAACTGGACGACGCCTCCAAGTCAATGTAGAAGTTGATCCTCTTGATGAAGATGAATGAGCTTAATACAAAAGTTGTAGCACACAGCTCTAGAAGATGGAACGCTGTTTTTATCCATCTCAGTAACTTTGTTTTTCTTCATGTACTCCAATTAAACTTCAACGCGGCTCTGCTCCTCTTCTAAAAAACAAAGGGAATAAAATGCGCACGACCGACTACAGTTGTTGTTCGTCCGGTATTTGTGAGCTGGCACGCGAATGCGAATCATACTTCTACTAGCTAGTCTGATGGAAGAAAAATGAAAATAAATGAAGCCCAACGTGGTCACGACAAAGTAAAGCCCTTCGGTAAGCAGCTGCATCGAAGCAATACGCACTTGACGTCAACATGCTTTTTTACCAGTAAAATTTAGAGTTAGACGAGCCGCCATGTGACAACGAACCTCTCTTCGTGGGCGAGCAAGACGGACTCAGAGGTTACAAATGTTGATGGAGCAAATTTATGAGATTTATACTGTCGCAGTACCAAGAGCAACAGATGAATACAAATATCATGAAGATTTACTTCTCATGTATAACAACACTGACCGCCTCTTCTAACCCTAAGGGTGAACTCTGCGTGATTACCTAGCTCTTCATATCCACATCCTAGACTCCAAAAGTAGTGCAGTTTGCATCTAAAAGTCCCCACTTCTTGGATCAAGTCCCCACTTTCATAATCTAGGTAGCGCGATCGTTGTCACTGGTTTCACTTGAGTAGATCTAAACTACGGTAGACGAGAAAGAAAAGGAAGCAGAATAACATCTCCTCGGCCTATAATTACTGGTGCCGGCAATACCATTCAAGTATTTATACTGGTACGCGAACAATTTTTTATACTAAAGTAGGGTCGAAGTCGATCCACCTACCTAAACGTGCTAGTGCGTGGTAGAAATGGTTTTCGATATTTCATCTAAGTAGTTACCAGCGGCAGTGGTCGTGTCGGTATTTCTTCGCACCAATGTTGTCTGGTACTAGATGACACCACAAGTGCCCACTTCTCTCGCTCATCAAACACATACTACCGATTTGGATATACTTTCAGCCAGAAAAATCATGTGAACAATCTGAAAGTGCAAATACATCAGTCGTCCTCGTCGTATTCATGGAAGAGAAAAACGCAACAGCGAAGCAAGTAGGAAGTCCGAAGAAAAGGGGTTGAAGAGGAAAATCAGGTGAATACAATATGAACTACTGTAGCAGTTCATGATGTATTTCTAAACGTTCTTCAAGTATTTACTTACTTGTGACAACTTCTATTGTTTGCTCTTGTTGAGCGGGAAAATTTCACGCGAGTCACTTTATCTCTTCCTGCTCTTGTATAATTCTAACACAAACATTTACGCACCACCCTGTTCTTGTTGAAGTAGTCTCTGTTTTTCGAGGCGTTCCAATTTAAACTTTGACATTTTCTTGCCAGGTTTATTTTGCGTTAAGGATTGTACCCAAGCAGAATTTTCCGCAGATTGAAAGTCAGGTCCAGGTGCGCAGCTAGACGGTCTACTAATCATGTTCGCGGCTTGCAACAATCGATCATCTGCGGAATCATGGTCGTCCTCGTCGACGGTCCTCCTCTCCATCAGTAGATTAACACTATTGGATGAACTAGAAGCCGAGGCTGCACTTCTGCTCGCAGTCGAACTGGTGGCTCCCCCAAAATGTTGAAAGAGGTGTTGTTGATTCGCAGTACCTCTGTCCAGATCTTCAGCAGTTGACGAAGTGGACAAGGCAGATGTATTCCGTTGAAGGAAGTTGTCAGGCTCATCATCGTCTCCTACTCTGATAACTCGTTGAGGTTGATGATGGTCCACTCCACTGTTAGGTGCAGCATTTTGACGACGACCAGATGAAGATGTAACATGAGTGTTGCCTGCTTCGTCGTTTCCTTGTTCTCGGTACTCGTCGTGATCTTGATAAAATTGGGAGCCAAAGTTGAAAAGCTCGTCGTCGAAGGGGGCTGGCGAGGTGGAAGAGAGCAGGGGATGACCTCCGTTATGGAAGTTTGCTGTGCTGGTCGGTGCTGGGTGGTGGAGTTGCACTTGACGATAACAGTCGTCACTATGACCCCAGTCACCGCTTCGTGGCTCGTCATCGTCATGATGGTCTTGTTCTCCATGGTCGTGAAAACTATGATCTTGTTGTTGTCTATCATCAACACCACCTCTACTCATGTTGATATCTTCGCGCATCTGGTCGTGGTCATGGCTGTAAACAAGCCCTTCCTTGGGGTCGTGTTGATCATGGTGACCATAATGCTGCCCACGACCACCTCCTGCGTAGATAGTACGGCGTCGCGGAGCTAGGTCGAAGCAGCTGTAGTCGTCATGGTCCCCCTCACTCTCTTCGGCTAGAGAGGTAAACAAAGAGCCGCCTGCGCCTTGTGGCGTCGGGTGAAAGAACCAGTCGTCATCGTAGTGGTACTCTTCTTCTGGGGGTGGATAGAAGGCGCGCGCCTCCTCTCGACACTCAATGGCGATAGTGGATTCAAGTTGGGGTGCAAATGAAACGCTTAACTTAGTTGTGGTACCAGAAGAAGTTGATGCAGTGTTTTGCTGTTGTCCATTTCCTTCAGTTTTAGCCGAAGAAGATCCAGCTCCAGACACTTCTGTTGATTTTCCTGTAGAAGTGCCACCAGAACCAATACCGTCCGTATTGTCGGGACTATTGGTCGTGCCACACATGGAGGATGTACTAGAGCTCTTCTTCATGATTCCATTTCTAGGCATAGCTTTGGAAGAATACGAAAAAGGTTGGCTTTTCGCTGGCGCAGCGCTTTCTTCTACCTGTTGTTCTAGAAGCGCATCGTTTTCTTTTTTAGGCGAGGTCTCATCTACTGCTACTTGCTGTGGTAGTTGTGCTACTGGTGTACTGCCTGCATCTAGTTCCGCATACGCCTCATGATCGCAAATATTTTCGTTTTCTTTCTTCTGATCGTCTGCATCTCTACAAGAAAGCGAAGAAGCGCAGGATGCAGTAGCACTAGTGACTTGAAGGTCCTCCCGATAATTTGTTTTGGGTGGCGAAGAGGAGGAGGAGAACGCTTTACAATCTACAGGCTCAGCGGGACTTTCAGAAATGACCTCGATTAGCGGAGTCATTTCATTTCCCGATGATCTTTCTGACAAGTTTGTTGCTGATGTTCTTGGGGTCGGCCTAAACATGATCGTACCACTGCTGGCACCACTAGTAGCGCGGCTCTCATCATTACAAGGATTCTGATTTGCAATTGCATTTTCGCCGCTTCCTAAAATTGTTCGTGGTATCATGTTGTCGTGTTTTTTTCGTTCGGACAGAAGGTCCAACACTTTTGCTGGAACTTTTTTATCGCCTACCTCCAAGATGGCTTTTGTTTTTCGGTAGTTTTCGTCCTCCTTCAACTTTGCTCGTTCCTCTACCTCGGCTTTTCGCAACTCAGAATCGTGTCGTACTGTGCCCATCTTGCGCCTGTCGACACCCGGAGCAAGTTTCACACGCGAAGTCGGCAACTGGGGAAGATGTTTATCCTCCTGCGGGTCGGTAGTATTAGTTCTGGATGTGATACAGCTTCCCTCGGTGGAGGACATCTGTGCCAAGACTGATGACTGGAGATGAGAAAGACGCGCTTGAAGCTCCCGCTCATGTGCTATCTCCTCCTCGTCGACTTCCTCTTCACCCCTTTTATCGTCTGCATTTGCTCTGAGAACGATATTACCGGAAGGCGCATTAGCTTCGTCGAGCAGTATATCATCGCCGAATCCTCCCTGTCCAGCACTTGCTGCACCACTGAGACAAAAACTCCCACCATCAGAAAGATGCTCACCAACAATTCGCTCTTTGTCTCCTGTTGTAGCCGCTTTTTCCTCCTCCTCCTCTGCGGCTTCGAGTAGCGCCCGCTCGGTTTCCTCCAAACGCCGCAAAAGATCTAACGGCGAATAGTCGTTCTTTTCGACTTCTAGAGCACTTCTCGTTTTATTTGTTGATTGCTCTGCTTCCTGTTTCTTCATCAAGCTAGAAGTAGAACCAGATATTTCCCTTCCGAGCTTTTGTGCTATCAGGTCCAGTTCTGCCGCGACAGATTCTGGGGACTTAGTCTTAGAGGACGGCGCTGTCGTACTAGTTGCACTACTCTCGTCTAAAACAAAGTCATTTTCAAGTGCTGCTGCCGCGGCTCGTAGGCTTTCTTCTTCTGTTTCTTCAATCTCGATCTGTTCCCCGTCTTCCTCCGATGGGAGTAGCCGCTCCACTACTCCTTCTTTCGATGTCGCTGATGATGAAGTCGCAACCACCGAGGGAACTTCGACTTCCCTTTCCATGATCTTACTCCCCACTACAGGTTTGTGATTGTGTTCATTTAATGAACCAGCTGCGGCGCCGCTACTAGAAGAAGCCGATGAGCTAGATGTCTTTATTGAAGACTTAGACCCATGTCCAAGTTCTTGTAGCATCAATTTCTCTTCTGCTTCCAGATTCTCAATCGCTTTGCATTGTGCCGCGATTAACTTTTCATTTTCGCTCTTCCTCTCTCGAATCGTCTTCAGAGCTTGGGGTACTGTTCTTTCTGCATAGTAACTGTCGCCTAGATGCATCACGACTTCGTTGGTGTGCTCGATCTGGCCCTCGAAAAAGAGCCCCTTGCCGAAGGGAATCATCGCTTCGTGTTTGAGTTTCAAAGGCAACGATTCCAAGGTTGTCTCAAGTTCCTCATACTGTTCACCGAACTCCTCCAACTGCCTAAGAGATTCGCGCATCTGCGCGAGACTCTCGCGCATGTGATGCTGAGCAACGTCCATTTTCTTCTAGTTGTTCAGTTCTTACAACAAGAAACACTCGTCAACTCAGGCTAGAAGGAGAACTTCTGATAGATGAAGATCCAACTTACTAACTGAATTTAATACTGATAATTGCTTCTTGTTGTTGTTCTGCTGTGCATGTATCAAGGCAAAAATCAAAGCTACAACTCCAGGAGTCGCTTCCTGTTAGACTCACTGGCTTGTTGTTAGTTCTGATGCAGCTAGTATTACGTCAAATATGTGTACTACAGCTGTCAACTTTACGTACAAACTTAAGACCTTACTATACTAAAACGGTGAATTTCATTCGACTTGCAGCGCAGCGAATGGAATGAAAAAAATCAGTCGTGATGATCCAAGATGAGAGTGATCATGTGGTTGAAAAAGGTGTGGAAAAATCTAGATAGCAATGGGGTGGAGATGATTTGAAACAATACTATGATCGAGGGTTCATCAGTAGCTGTGTTGAATGAGAGATGACAATGGCACACGATTTTGGTATGGGTATGCAAATGTAAATCTTCTAAAAGGCCACTTAATAGCTAATAATTGAATTTGAATTCCTCTACCTCTTTACGGAAGATCTCCTTCAACTTCTTGATTCTTCATCTCAGTAGAGGAAGTTCAGTTGTTTTATTGTACCGGATATGATCTTGTTGTATGTATGAGATGATCATATGCTGGAAATAGCTGATTGATTTGCTGATCTTTGAGTTTCAGAGCTTTCATTGAACGACATTTTAGGGTTCTCATTCGGAACCAAGGCGTCTACATCTGTCTAACAGGAGAGGTCATTTTCATGATTTTGGTTTGTTTTCATTTCCGACATGCACTTCTCGAGGAGATCCAAATTTTCACTTTTTTGGCGCTCTCTTCTATGGTGGTGGTGATTTCAAAAAAGGATCTCATCATTGTAATAACACCGCGCTTTTTTCAAGCACAACATCAACTCTGACAGCGGAGTCGTCGAGACAACGAGAAGAGTTGTATCGTCAATCATTTAGTGCTCCCGAAACTGGTCTTTGCGTTGAAAGTGAAACTAGTCGTCCACTTTGACAAGTACTATTTGCCAATTTAGGGACAGCAGAGGACGACTGTAAATTTGGGGTAGCACACAAGCACAGGAGCAACAGGTTGCTCTAGCATATGGTGCTTATGAAACAAGGGGAAATTGTTAAGCATTCAATTATGTTGAGATTGAGAACATTGGATGAAACTTTCATTATAATGTCGTACTCTACTATCTGCTCCAAGAGTGACAGCGACAAGCGATGTGAGGTGCAGTAGACTTATTCCCCCAGTTCCCCCATGAAAAGCGTCTTATCGCTGCTTCCGGAGCAGAGAATTGGCTCCCTTGGATGGAAAGCCACGTCGTTGACGCTTCCGTCATGCCCTGGAAGTTTGTAGACGAGCTGCTTTGAGTTCGCGCTCCATACGTACACGTTTCTGTCTGCGCTACCACTGGCGAAGTGTGTACCGTCCGCGCTCCATCGACAGCGGAGGAGGTTCTTCTCATAGTTATGGAGGTGGCCTCTAACTTCTCCGATGCATCGCGACTCGCCGTAAGGGATGTGGGGACGGACCTGAAATTGGAGAAAGCGAAATGATCTTGTTGAGCCTGACGAGGCCTTATGACCTACTTACTCCTGATCATTTTTATCTTCAACGAACTATACGAGGATGCTCGACAAGAACATTCATGAAAAAATTACAAGATTACAGAAATTTCGATACAGAGTAAAAGTGAGTCGAAAAACAAAGACAAATCAGTACGTCCCATATCCTCACGGATTGATCCATAGAGTTGGATATCAGCATCTCGCCATCTGGACTAAGATCGATGCCTGTAATTGAATCTGTATGTCCCTTGAGGACATAAAGCTCTTCTTCAGCGCGTGTTCGCACGTCAAAGACCTTGATGGGAAGTGATTTGATTAATATGAGGATGGCAAAAATTTTGACAATAGCAAAAGTCGCATCTTCAAGGAAGAGTCACGGTGTCTTGACCACAAGGCGCTATAATGGAGGAAAGGAGGTTAAACAGATCATCTAGTATATCATATTTCATGATTTATTTCGCCTCCTTTCTATTAATCTTCAAAAAAAATCTAAGTATCTACATGTATATATAAGTAAATCATCCTAGACTATCAGTGTACCCTAATAGTATCGTCCAAGGACGCTGCGAAAATTTTCTGCGTTCGAGCGTCGAATGAAACAGCCAGAATTTGATACATGTGATCGAAAGAGTGGACACACCTCTTCGTTCGCAAGTCCCATAATTTGGTTGAGCCGTCGTCTCCGCCTGAGCACAGCATTGGCTCACCGGATCGTGAGCACTGAGGTTTGGAAGTGGTCGTCGTTGTGAAAGGTATGTGAACATCAACATCTTCAATTGAATTTGTGTAGTACAAGGAAAAGCAAGAAGAAGCAATGTGAGTGCAGTATTTGGAAAAATCAAAATGTGAAGGTAAAAGTAATACCTGCACGGAGTTGACAATTTCGGAATGGCCCTTAAGTTTCTTTATCCGCTGTCCTGTCTCTGCGTCCCAGACTGCTACTGATTTGTCGGCTGAACAACTATATATCGAGCTCATATCTTTGCTCCAGTGAACCTCGAGGACAGCATTGGCGTGTCCCTCGAGACAGCCATAGTTTTCTGAGTCGCCATAGCTGTGAAATTTTGATATTCAGTGTAAGTAAGAAGGAAAAAGTAAGGCAACGGCAAGTAGTTGTAGTTGCAAGAGCGCATATAACACTTCTTGCTAAAGCTAGCTGCCTTAAAATCAGTTTTAACTCCAAGTAGAAGAAATTGAGCACAAGAACCTGATGACATCATGTGGTTTACATTAAGTAGTACTCCCATGCATGATGATGTCTTTAATTTCAAATAATCGAAGAGGTTAGTGTTGTTACACGTTCCACAGGAAGATTTTATTGTCGAAACTGCAACTCGCAAGGCGCTTTCCATCCGGACTAAATTCGCAGCCGAAGACTTCACCACCGTGTCCGATGAGCCGCATAGTTGGTCCTGCGAGACCAGTGAGCCTCTCATGTTGTGGAACCTGGATGAGGGCCTGTTCCAGTGCGGGCGTCAGTTCGTACTTGGGCCTTTTAGTGTTCGGACCAGCACTGTAGTCGTGCTCGGCCTCTTGTTGTCGGACTGCGAGAGCCATTTTGTCGAGATTGTGGTTCTTGGCCAGCAAGAACTAGCGTAAAGGAATCTTCCCGTCTTTCCAATCGTTGGATTTCAGCCTCGTGGGTGATTGTCGAGGCCCCGTTGCCGTTCTAGTTCTTCTTAGAGGAAGTACAAATGTCCGTTGTGTATGTTATCCTCCACGCTTACTGGGAAAACCCAGAAATTTCCCACCTGGCTCCACGGGGAGGTGTTCGTGCTGGTCGTGTCGCAAGCGCAACGAAGGTGGAATACGAGTATGACGAACAGCACGAGAGTCAATAATTCCACAACGATTTTTCAGCAGCTCTTCATTCTCTTTTTCTTGTACGCATGTTGATGTTCCCAATTATCATCGGCAGATAATAGCCTCCGGGTGATGAAAATACTGGTGGTCCTCGTTCTAGTTCTTGTACTTGAATAACAACTACTGCAACCTCAGCCATATCACAAAATCACAAATCATGCCTACTCACGCATGAACAAGAACTAGGGCTCGGACGCTGTAACTTCGTGAACAAAAAAGCAAAATGTGATGTTTTTTGATTTGATTGCACTAGCTCCTCTATTTCACGTACTAAGAAGTGATGGTCTTGTACTAGTGACCCAAGCCCAAGTACAGACTCAGTCATATTAATCAGGTGCTCGGTGGGACTAATTCACCACGCGTGAGAGGATGGAATTCAGGAATAGCCGCCAGGACGGTCGTTGGACGAGTCGAAAAGATCGCAGAAGAAAGAGGGACGGATCATATGAGTGAGATACGATCAGGTTAAGATGAGAGTGACAACTGAGCCGATCAACATCAAGCACCAGGACCAGCGCTGTTGTGAATAACTAACACCTTGATCCATATTAAGTAGAGAGTGGGAGAGCACCGAATGTCGAGCATTTAATTGTTCGAGAATGTGAAGATCATGCATGGTTTTGATTGAACACTGCTCCCTTAGGACGCGAAAACATTATTCAGAGTCGAAAGAACGGTGAATTTTCATTCTTGTTCGTTATGATTATTAGACCCGTCAAAGACAAGATGCGGGAAATTTGCTTCAAACAAGAAAGGTCTACAACTAAGAACTTAATGTGATCTAGATCAACGAGTCTTGTTCAGTGGTCGTGTGCAAGAGCCTTCATAACGCAGATCACAATTGGGATATTTGACTCTGCATCTTAGGGAAATACAACAAGTCAGGGGTAAATACAACGATGCTCCTCGCGGAAAACGTTGATCAAGCTTACACTGCTCGTCATGCGGGTACATGCAGCGGGAAAAACGTGCAGTAATCTAGATGATGCTGGTGTGATGAATTCCATCAGGGCTCATCTTAGCCCATGCTATGTAGAATTCTCAGCGCGGGTTGTACTTGTTCTTGTAGTGGCGGTGTATGGTACTTTCCGATCATATGCGGGTGATGTCATTTTTCAGGTAGGTCGTCACAAATCAACAGAACAAAAGCAAATAGACTCAAGTTATAAGCTCCCCCATAGTGTACTTGGTCAAGCGGCGAAATAATCAGAATTCAAAAACGACTTTGTGAAAAAGGTATGTTCATGTTGCATGTCTTGGTCCACGCGGGTATGAAACATGTCCCATAACGCGTAAGTCCGTCGCACACGCGCACACTTCTTCCTGCTATGTGTCACCAGCCCCGCAGCCGGGTTCTTGCTCCTGATTTGGTGCAATGATAACTCGACTTTGAGCTTAGGTTACGCCTATGCTTACGGCTACGAAGAAAAAATAAGTAGAAGAAAAAGAGGTTCTGTGAGCCTTGATGTATTTCAGTTTTGAAACCTCAGATGTGATGATGGGAATACCTCTAACTGGACCACGACTGCCACTTCTTCGGTCGTGCAAAAACATATCTCCTCTCCTTCCGCCTAAAGCTTCCGGTTTACATATATGAATCCTCCTGATCGCATTTTTCCTTTCTCCTACGTAATCAAACCAAACACGATCCTTTTTCTGTGCTGTTCTCTTATTGATGCTCTTGGCTTTTTTTGAACTCTTCATATTTCTCCTTGGCGATTTCGACGCCTTCCTTGCCCTTTTGTTGCAAGGCATCGCAAGTCGGCTTCAGCTCTTCCGACTTGTAGACGCCGATGAAGTTGCCAATCACGCCTCCCGTGATGAATGCAAAGCAATCGAGTGCCATTTTTCCTGTCTATACGTCTGTTGTACAACAACGAGCGCTGTTGTATCAAAGATTTATTCTTGCCTATAAGTAATTCTAACCGGTAGTTCCACTTCTTTTTCTTACTCGTATCCTACTCCTAATAAATGTGGGTAAAATAAAAACTAAGAATTATGTTAGGCGATAAAAGAAGAAGTGTGTCGTGGTCTTCTTGGTAACGATATCATTTGAACGGGGTCATGAACGCAATGACCTGCAATGTCCTTTGATGCACGTCTGTGTTCTTCTCGCTACAACAACAACTAATAAATATGGTTCTGTTCTTTCCGGATCTCAAACAAATCTCAGCGTCGAAACTGGCTGTGCAAAAAAGTAGCATGATCATCAAGTTGGAAAACGGGCACAAAAGTGAGCATTTCCTTGTGTAATGTCCTGTCAGGAAGCCTCGTGGGATTGGTCTATAGTATACCAATATTGAGGCCCTATCAGCCTTCTTGCGTAACGTGCACACGAGGACTTCAAACATGAACATCCATACGAGCTGCACAAACTCCATGGAAATCACCATGCACGGCTTTCTAGTACTTCAATCCTGATTGAGGACATTCTTGCGACCAGAGAGAACATCAGAATGAGAATTGCCTCATCAAATATAAATTTGACCAACGGGAAGAGGAGCTTTTCGACATCTACAATGTTAATCTGTCCAAGAGGACAAGGGAATGATCACGACCCCCGTGCACATCTGCATCATCAAATGTATACCACCCTCCCCGATAGGAGTAGACGTAAGAAGCGTCGGTCGCATGTGCATGACATCATTTTTTCAACAGAAGAACCTCATCAAGCTTAATCACAGTAATGATGAATGCAATAATCGATACATTTTTTGCCAAAAAATTCACAATTTTCTTTGCCAATACGGTGAGTCAAAAAATTTTTAGCTGGTATTTCGTTTTAACTCTGAAGAATAATGATAGTACTGCTCTATCGGAAATAGCATGTTCGATAGAAACTAGCAGCTGTTCATATTTTCTGCAAAGACCTGATTCTTTACAATCTGTGAATGCCACAAACGATTTTGTTCATCGAATTGTTCAATTAATACATTTTTTAGGGTCCAAAAGATAGATAAAATTTAATCGAAATAAACCAACAAAAATCTAGCACAATGTCAATGAGTTGTAACGTCAACATCTAAGTACTTAAGTAACATTCAAATAAAGCTCAGTATACCTCCTAAACATCATCCACTTCGAGATGGATCGTGAAGCTCATTCATTCTCGAATAAATGAACAACATCTAGTAATATGCACACATATATATAAATATTATAACGGTCAGAAGGTGTTGCTCTTGCTGTCAGAGAGGTTGTTGTATTAATGTATCTTCAATCTATAATCTCAAACTCAAACGGTATCTATAATCCTGGAAATAATTGATTACGCCCAAACTCAGTAACTTGATGTATTATGCAGTAAATGTACTTAGTTGAATCAGTCAAAGTCGTGTTCTTTTTCATATCTTAAACACATATCGTTCTTCTCCTTGCTCTAGAATCCGCCACTCATCTGCAGGACTCGGAAGGTGTCAGGAAAACGCTCCGCAAGAGCCTGTGAGGCAGGGTCGTTGTATTCGTTATATGTGATTTGTCGCTGGTGCGCCACTTGCGAATGCCTTCCACCATTTGATGAATTTCGCATGTTATTTCCGCCACGCGTGCTGCCCCGGACCATACCAGTACCGCTATTGCTGAAGTGCTGTGAAAGACCATCTCCTGATGATGTGCCTCGTGTTCCAGGAGATGATAAACTTCTATGATGTTGAGGATGGTTGTCATGATTGTTCCCCACTACATTGATGGAGGAGTTCTGCATATTGTGATGTTGCTGGTGTTGTAACTCCTGGACACCATGATTATAGTTCTGCTGAATACTAGAAGGGTGTGCGCCTGGACCTCCGCCGAAACTGTAGGTTGATCCTAAGTGTGGATCAGCGAAGGATATTGGACCACCGCCGCCACTCATCAAGTCCTCTAGAGATGAGTCTTCTGCCGAGAAAAGGTTGCTCATTTCGTGCTCCGGGTACATCAATGGCCGTTGCGGTGACGACGTCGAGGTCTTCTTCTGTTGTCCACCACGCTTCTTGCCACCCGATGAGGGAACAACTCCTGGCCCGGCGCCGCCGCGACTTTGCTGATGATGCTGACCACTATTGAAGGGATCTTTCTTTCGTCGCATGTGTTGCTGTCTGTTGTAGTCGTCGGCGACGAAAGCCTCATTCATCGCAGACGTTACGACTTCGCGGACACTATCGAGAATCACCTGACGAGGAAGGCGATATTATTATCAAAAGGTTAAGGTAAAGATTAAGATTCTTCATTTACCTTTTCTTGAAGTCAAGTTTTCGCATTCGTCCAAAAGAAGTACGTGATTCAGGGTCAACTGATCCATCATGATGATCGCCATCGCCCATCCTACGTACTAACATTTAATTTATAGTAGGAAAGTTTATCCCCTCTCTCTATTCTATTATAAAAACTCAGCTGCAAATCGCAAACGCAGAAGTACCCTATCCATATATTTATTCGTGAATTTCCCAGGTGACTCCGGCATATTGTCACCCCCTGAAAAATTGCCACCTAACTCCTGTCTAAGCTGGGCCATCTCGCGTGACTGCTGGGCCTGAAATTCTCTAAAAAACTCTTTCAGTTCGCTGACTCGCGGTTCTGCTTCGCTGAAAGTGGCTGACCCAGGCGCATCTATCATGCCTCCTCGTCCGCCAGAATTCTCAAGGTACTTTTGCGGAGAGGCGGTACGTAGCTGTTGTAAATTTCTTTGGTGATGCTGACTCTGTTGGGTGGGAAAATGTAGAAGATATGAAACCTTTTTCACGGAGCTTGATGGACATGGAGGTTCATCGGGTCCAGGAGTGATTCCTCATTACATCACACGCAGATGTATCATTTAGGATCTCGCTCAAGACCAGCAAAAAAAACCTTTCAATCGTAGCTCCGTACCTGTCTCTGCATTTCTTCCATCTGCATCTGCATGCCTTTAATGACATGCTTCAGGTTTTCCTCATTGGTGGAGCCCTTACTATTCCCTTTGGATGCTGGACTCGAATTGTAATCCCCTTTGCCAGGTGTCGAGAAGAGTGCAACTTTCGTGTTGCCAGGTGTCAATTGGTCCCCATGCTCCTCCAACGCCGTTGTCTCTACTGATATTCGCGCTGCGGCGTTCCCAGGAGGATCCGGAAGATACAAGTTTTCGCTAGTTTTAGAGGGTTCATGTCTTGTATGCAATTGCAAATCTACATCGGTCTTCAGATTCGATCAAGAATGTTGTTTTGACCAAGAGTGATGCGAATGTGAAAACAAATCACTGTAATCCCAACATGGCATAATTTGAAGGTGCTGAAGCGGCAAATGCTGACCTGGCCGTATGCTTACACCGCCTCTATGCCGTTCTGGGCTAGCGTGTAACTGTGTGGTCACCGAATGCTGCAGATGATCGCTTGTTCGTGGTTGCATCCATCCACCATGTTGTGGACCTGAGGGTCCCCATCTGGAAAATCCACCACTAACACCCATCATTCCTGGACCTCCGCCCGTTGTCATCGACAATTGCTCTACCAGTCGAACCGATTCCGAAAGGCTTTTCCGTGTGTTTTCGAGGTCACTGCGAAGTTCCGTCTCTCGTCTCAGGGCCTCCCGTTCTGTTTCTGCTAGACTACGTTCGAGGCTACTGAGCTTTTCCTCGAATTTCCGCTCGAGTCCTTCGAGCCGCATGGTATCACCGGCTAGACGCTGTGAGGCAAGCCGCTCTGTTTCTGCTCGGGCTTCCTCCAGGCGCTTTCGCTCTAGTTCTGCCTTCCGCCTGCTCTCCTCTAAAGCGTCGCTCTCGATCTGCAATCGGCTAGCTTGTAACGACCGCTCGGCTACGAAAATGAAAGAAACAACAGAGGACTATAATTCTGGGAATAATTTGGAAGTGTCTGTGGTGCTTCTGAAGCTTCTTCTACTTACACGAATAAGCAGTCGCAAGAACTAAACTTCCGACTCATAAAGTAAACCTCTTGTCTCTGCTTGGCATCTCGCTCTAGCTCGTCTAAGATGACAGTGTGTTTTTTCTTTACCTCATGATAAGCTTTCTGTTGCAACTCTTGCGTTTGTGCCATCAACGTCTCTTGGTGTTTTAATGTCTCCCTCTCAAACTGCTCCATGTAGCGAGAATGTACCTGTAGAGATGTGATGAAAGAGAACGAGTAATGGAGAAATGAGAAGATGGTCCTCGTCCTCGGTCACCACCACCAGACTCAGAAAGAGATGTTAATTTTCAAAGCTGCAGGTATTATGCAGTTAGCAAGACTGTGGCCCATAGGCTTCCTCGGATACCTAAAAGCAAGAAGACTGTACCTGGAGCTCAATCTCTTTCGTCGTTCGAACGAGATCTTCTTCCAGCTGTGTTTTTCTGGTGTCCAGATCTCTCCCGATTTCCTTCCGCCTTTCTGCTATATGTTCGTCTGTTTGCCGAGTTCGTTCCGCGTACTGTTTCTCTAACGCCATTTTCTTCTGTTCTAAGGCCGCTTCCACCAGTCGTTGATGCTCGCCCATCATTTTCTGGCTCTCCACAGCCAGATCAGACACACTCCGACTCGCAGTGCCTCTGGTTAGAAAAGCCGCGAAGGGGGAGTGCTACTATATTTGAGGACTATCTTGTTCACTGACACTAAGGACACATCAACCTGACTTGGGAGTTGGGATAAGATTAAGATTTCAATCATCGTCATAACTCCAATAAGTGTCTCTGTTCCTCGACGAATTCTCTATCCTTCTCTCGCCATCGCTCTTGTGCAGCTGCTTGCTCCCTATCGTGCTGTTCTCGGATCTGTCGAATAGACTGCTGAAGCTCGAGTTCCGCATTACCCTTGTACGCCTCAATGCGTCGTTGCCACTGGTCTTGCAATCTCTGGCACTGGTGGTCGAAGTCCCGTTGCCAATCTAGCTCCATGTCTGTGCGTTTCTCTGGCTTTTGAGAGACCTCCGACTTCACTTGCTCTCGAATTTGCTCGAGGCTGCTGGCCAATTGCTCGGCCATGCGCGCCTCTACTTCAGCTAACTTCGCTCGGAATTCCTCGTCGCGGGCCGAGGTCTCGGCTGCTAAACGCTTTTCGAGCTGGTGGGATGATGTTGAGCGAGCAGTAAGCTTGTTGTGAAATCCAAGAGTCTGTGAAAGAACTACAAACATCCACATACGTACAAGAACATCCAAAGAAAGTTCATCTGCGCTTCCGGCGACGTGGTGAAAAAATTATTACACCCCAGGAGTGTTGCTGTTGCGTATCAAGTAGAATTTCGCCGTGAAAAAATGATTTCATGCTGCATGTGCTATGCTTTGCGTCCTGAAGAACATTGTCAACTGTTAACAAGATGTTAGTAGTACCTCTTTCGCTTTCCTGTCTAAGTCTTCGTCTTGCTGCCTCTTCAGTGCTTCTTCGGTTTTCTGTGTGGTTTGGTCCAAAACCGCCTGAATTGCAAGGTTCATCTCATCTTGAGTAGCTTTGCGCTCTTTAGCCCATTCCTCCCGCGCGCGTGCTATGTCTTCTCGCGTCTTCTCTTCGTGTCTCAGTCGCGCTTCTCTTTCCTCAGCCAGCAACCTCTCGCGTTCGGCAGCTACTTGCTCCGCTAGAGACGCCGCAGCAGCTGCTTGTTCTCTATGGTCCTTTGCATCCTTGCTTTTGCCTTCTCGTCCTGACCGTACAGAACTGCTCGCAGCCTCTAGCGGCTCCGTGCCTCCTGCATTCGAAGCGGAGTCTGTAGCCCCTTGTTCAGGAACTTTAGATGCAGCTGAGTTGTGATCGGCATCTGCGGTCTTCGAGCCACCTGCTCCGCCAACACCAGTACTATTAGCATTTGCGAGTCCCGCTTCCCCTAGCGGTAATTGAGAAACGAATTCGGGCTTCTTGTTACTCGATGCCGAACACGTGGGCTGGTCATTTTCAGTTCTTGGCGTGCCACCCGCGCTTATTTTTCCACTACCACAGTTTGCAGCTCCTCCTGCCGATGAGGACGCACTCGAAACATCCTCCTCGTCGTCGATTTTCGCAGTAAGAGGTTCGGATGGCGGCACCGAGTCCCGCTGAATAACCATATTTCCAAGTCGCGTTGCTAATGACCAACACTCGTCGTCGCTCAGGGGGCACTTGGCTGGCGGATCCACGAATATCCCATCCCACAAGTGCACCAACATCCACAACTAATTGTAGAACAAACAGAGAGCGTCTGTTGAGGTTCTCTTTATTGCTCATCAATATCAATAAAGAAGATGAGGAACAAAGGTTTAAGTTTGATGATGATGATCACCTCAAAAACGTAAATGTAAATGTAAAAACGAGCAAATTATAACTGCGGGAGCCAAACAAGCCGTCCTAGTACCTTCGTGTAGACTTGTATGCATGATGCGAGCTTTGGCGAGTCGGTTCGTTTTTGTTGAGTGTCTTCTCGATTCACGAACAAAACCTGCTTTTCGCCGTTATCCCCTACTTCCTCTACTTCCATCCAGGTTCCCATGCCCTTGATGCTTTTTCGGCCCGCGTGCTTCTGCATTACAGCGACTAGCCGACTCTTCTTGTCCGCCACGTCATCGCTCTCCAGCACATGCCTTACTACCGGTATTAACTCCGCAAAGAACGTTTGTAACGGATGCTTCCATGCCTGCAGAAATGTTGTAGTAAAAAGGCAACTAGAATTGTAATAATTGATGCTCCTGAGTATGATTCTGCGGCTTCATCTCGTGTCATTAGTTATAATGTCGTGATTCTCATCATCAATACAGAAGAACGATGAGACCAGTCCTCGTGTAACACCAGTCATAGTTTTTCTTTTTCATTTTCTCGTCTTCAAATATAAAGAAGGAAGTACCTTCTTATCTTCTGGTATGCTGCCCACGGGCTGGAAGAAGACACGACTGCGGTCGTCTCTTTGAGCTCGCCATGGTGGCATCAGCGGTCGCATGAAGAGCTGTGAAAAAAGTCGTAGTAATTCCGTCTCATTTTTGCCGTCGATCTGAAGGTACTTGCCATATTGCTCTGGAATCATCCACTTCCGCAGCGCCAGACCGCTGTCCCAGTTCTTTATCGTCGATTCAGCCTCACTACGCAGAGACCCGTTGGTCGGGTAAGCTGGATATTAGAGGAGAGGAAGCAGGGAGTGTCTGTATCTAGTGATTAAGTAGAACTCGGTGGATGTCTAGATAGGTCAGTTCGTTGTAGTTCCATCTCGTTCATAAATGACAAGTCCATCAAAAAACCAGCACGACAAATCAAACACAGCTACCGTTTGTTACACCAACACCACGGAACTAAGTACAACCATAATTAGAGGAAGAAGAGCTGCGTGAGTTGGTCACTTGCTCGATGACAGCGCTGAGTCCTTCCGGGTCTAAAGTCGGCGTCCGATCGTAGACGTCCTCTCGAGTTAGCTTGCCTTGCTTTGCTGTAGATGACGATGACGATGATGCTTCTGCATGCTGATTTCGACTCGCGGCGGCCGTTGCGTCAGCCATGGTAACTCCAGATGAATCACCTTGTACTGCCCTCTGCAACAGCGGATTTGAGGCCTCAAAGCTATCATTAGAAGAAGAGATCGTCCAGAAGTTGTTCAACACAGGTATTTTTTCGTGTTCATTTTCATCTCCTTGTGAATGAAAATACAATCGCGCACATCATGGATTCGCCGCCTTAATACTATCAGGACCAGGGCTAGAGGGCGCACGTACGCCACTGCTTATGCCGCGCTGTCGTGAGGATCCTGCTCGCTCTGCAGCAGCAACGCCTTCTTCGATGGTAATGCTGTTCTGATGTGGCGCGATGTCGTCGCTTCCAACAAGCGTCCCTGTCACGCCGCTCTCGGATCCACTTAGCAGCGTGCGATCTCGACTGTCACTTCTCGTATTAGACGAGGAAGGCAAAGTTGAGCTTGAAAGTGAGATAGATTGTCCACAACACATACTTAATCGAACAAAGTTTTTGTTCTACTTCATGGCAAGTATATGTATGAGGAAACGCGGCTTAACTCCTGGCGGCCCTCCCTCCTCTCTGGAGTCTGACCTTTCCACAAGAATTTGCTTGCTGCCAGTGAGGTCATCGTCGCTGGAGGAACTGTTGCGGTAGTACTTCTCATATTCGCGAAGATATTCCCTGTAAGCTGGCTCCAGCAGCCTGGAAAGTGGCTCGTTCTTCGGATCAAAGAATTTTTTTTCGTAACTTCGATTAGAAAATGATATACTAACTATGGGTATGGACGAAAAGGCGTAGAAAGGAAAGCTCCTCATCTCTAGTTAGTTCTAGGAGCGAAACTCGCTCCTCATCCTCTATCAAGAGTATGCGGGGTTACTAACTTTGCCTCTGTGCATTATGTAATCACTTTGTAGGTTAGGCGGTATGCACACGCAGCCAACACAATGCCATACTTCTTGGCGAGTCCCAGGTCGTGACGTCATCCACATAGTAATAGCTACGAGCGACGCCTCCACTCTCCTCTGGTGGGATAGCTACTTCCGTATACTCAGCAACCCTTTCCTCCAACCGGCTTCTCCAGGCCTCCAACGCGAGCTCGCATCGTTGCTGCGCCTTTTTGTTGTAGCGATGGCAGGGTAAGGAAATACTGAAAATAGTTAAAAAAGAACTCAAGTTTAATTACAACTAGCTTCACTTTCACTATCAATATCAAACTCTTACACTTGTTACTCCTTCGTTTTTGTTGATTTAATAAAAAAGCAAATCTTGTAATATCTCGCAGCGAACAGGGGGGCGCGCCACCATACCCATGAAGACCATGAAAGCAACCCTTTTTCCTGCGAGGGGAACCCCACGAAAACAGTCGCTCTTTCGAACAAGACACGACACCATACGCCGACCGCTTTTCGTGGTCGCCCTTTCCAACACGGCGGTCGCCCTTCATCCAATAAGACGCGACATCATACACAGACCGCTTTTCGTGAAAAACCCCACGAAAAGCGGTCGCCCTTTCCAACACGAAACGACGACGGCACCATACGCAGGCCGCTTTCCGTGGATAACCCCACGAAAGTAGGCGGTCGCCCTTTTATCCAACAAGACGGGACACCATACGCGGGCCGCTTTTCGTGGAGAACCCCACGTCCAAAACGACACGACACCGCACGAAGACTCTGGAAGCAGTGCTTTTTACTGTAGAAACGCACTCAAAGCATTCGGCGCTTTGAACAATGCATATGCGCGTGCTTACACCGGCACCGGGTGAAATGTTGTACTAGTGCGCGTACTTACAAATGAAAATGAAGATAGAGTAGACACGACAGTGTCATCTTCACTACATGTCGGAAGAACAAGCATGATTATCAGTAGAGGGCAAAAAAGTACTTCCCTATCGTGCGCCTCTGCCTCTGCTTCATTATCCCATACGTAAAGAAAATTGGACTGCAGGTCCTCAATACTGGTATGGAATGGTATTTGCCATGACGTTTCTTTGTTTTCAGGCTGATAAAAATAGACTTCGCCTGCTGATTCTTCTGAGGTTACGACTTGCCATGGCTCCGGGACAGGAAATTGTCTTAGAAGATATAAAATTGAAGGTGGATGACTACTACTTCTTCCTTGCCACCCCTACTTATTCCAGCATTTGCTCTCACGACGCAGTTAAGCTGCAACGTGGAGCAGCTCGAGCTATTATCTTGGCGGCCACCAACTGGAGCAGAAGTAGACTTAGACTACCAGACGTTATCTAAAAAGTACGTACTTTTATCTTTCATCGTAACTTTAACGCGTCCAGAAGCACGACGAAGAGCGCTGGGTTGTCGTCGTGACGGATGCCAACTTGCTTCGTCAGATAGCGCCGTCCTTGCTCTTCCGTCAGCCGCTCCATTTTGGTTTCCTCGTCAACGTAATGACAGGAGCCGTGTTGTTGCGCCGGATGCGATGTATCTCTTCCAGATCCGCCAAAGAAAGGAACTTCTTCGAGGATCGACGTCTCGCCGTAGCTTGTTCTAGAGGTCCGAGGCCTAGAGCTTGCAGGAAAATGAAGCAGTAGAGGGTGCGCGAAGCGAAGGAGGTCATCTTCCTTGTCGAAAAAGCGCAAGTTGAATTGACACGCTGCGATCAGTCGCGACGGTTGTTTCCATGATTCTTATGGGATTCTTTCTTTAGTCAAAGCTACCTTAAAACTTGTAGCACTGCCTAGTATGGTCGTGTCTCCGGTGAAGAACTCTTATCACGTCGTCTCGCCCGCTAGGGCTAGTAGTACAAAACATTTTTCATTTCAGTCTGAGCCTCTTTGCGTCTTCTCCAGCATTCCTAAATGCTTATGATTATGCCTTGATTTCATAGTTTCGGTTTCTTACTTGACTTACAACGGGCCAATTTGCGTTCCCACTAACGAAGACACTTTCGCTAACCTCTGGCTTTTTCTCTCACAGTTTTCGTTTTACCGTTCATCGCCTGCCTCTTTCTTGTCTCATATGGGTTTCCTCGAAACAAGAACAACCTTGGAATCTCAGTCACCAAAGGTGGAGTCCCAGGAGAAATTAGACTTGGAGGTGGTCCCGAACACGATGTTGTCGATACAACCAAGTCAGACATGTTTTTTCACAGTGTAATAACATTTGGGGGAGAGCCCGTCACCTCTTCGATGAAGCGTAGGAATAGAGGGACAGGGAGTGCAATTGTCGCGTTGCACGCACAGGGGTGAAAGGCCACGCGATCAAAGTTATAAATATTAGAATCAACGTGATACTGCACTGGTGCTGTCGGCATCGGGGCTCCTGAGTTCAAATCTCTATTCTTGTCGGATGAAGGTATCCTTTCTCGTGCGGCTATTGATGCTCTGTCTGCAGACGGAATGTGAGGCCACGACGTTTGAGTGCGACCTCCTATTTTAAGGTCTTCACTGACTTTCTGGAAATTGTTGAACAAGAGCGCCAGAGGTGTGACGCTACCCGGGATCAGGTTTAGAGCTTGTCCGAGCTGTTCCGTCGAAGCGAAGCCCAGGCCTCCACTAGCTTGTCCAGATAATTTCAAGGCTTTTAACTCAACTTTCGTGCTAACCACGGCGGAGAGGAGAAAGAGCTTCTTCTTCTTGTCCCGCAAAAACAGATTCTTCATTTCCGCAGTATTAGGTCCCAGATGAGGCGACAGCTTGGACGCTTGGTCGCACGTGTAAACTGGCGGATGGAGTGTCAGGGTGACGACATTCTTGGAATTGTCCTCGTCAGCACCATCGTTTTTGTTTTTATTTGCTCCCACTGCAACTTGCTTATACTCAGACGAACAAACTGGCTTCGTCAAATACCTTTTATCGCGCAACCATTGAAGGCAAATGGCCATGTTTTGGTTGAGAAAGTGAAGCTGCTCTGGCGCGGTCTGCTGTTCCGGATTCTGTAGGCTTCTACAACTTTCATCCAACGCCAGGCTTGAAGAGGGACTTGAGGATTCAGTGCGCAAAGTGGCCAGGATGCTCTCGAGGCTTGCTGTTGACACCGAAGCAGACGAAGGTGGAGAGGAAGCTGCAGTAGAAGAACTTGAACTTGAATTACGCACTGGACCTTTCGTAAATTCTTGTCCCTGACGAGGGTCCGCGTCGATGCGATTTTGAAAGAGATGCTGCAAGTGAGCAAGGCTCATCGGCCTCCAGTAGGGAGGGAGACCACAGACGCTGGGATCCGACATATTGACCATGGCTCACAATTCTGAGACATGCCTATGATCTCGAAAGATCGACTTCAAATTTCACTCAACCGAATCTACTCAAAAAATTAAAATGCTCCACCAGGATGTAGATTTCGCGATGGCGGTCCGCGGTCGACTGGCATCCATGTTGGTATCTATAAGAATAAGTCTCGAGTACTAGTAGTCCTAGTCGCACATGATATATTCTTATTCCCGTGCATCTGCATCAGATGATTAAACTTAGACGGAGTGAATCATTGGACATCCTAAAACGGGTACTTATGCTGCCAAGTCGTAGAGTCCGCCCTGAGGAAAGGATTGGAATCGATTTTGAAAATTCAGTTTCAGACAATTTTTCATAAAGCAAGCAGCCCAAAACCGCTTGCAAAGCAGATCTTTAGGGCCATCACTAGGCGTCCTGCCTGCAAAGGAACAGAGAAGAGAAAGGAGGTCTCTGAATTCCATCTACCTAAAACTACTAGCATCATCCGATTACGAATTTGGATGGCGCAGCACACGTTTCTCATCCGATTGAGTGACAACATTCGAAGGCATCGCATGGCCACTTGGTCCGCAAGCAGTTTGATCCAATGAGGATTTTTCGTCATTTGCATATGATCAGAAGAATCTCTTCATTTGTCTCTTGCTAGTCCTCTCGGTCTCCCCACAATGGCGTGACTCAATAAGCCTCCATGCAAATGCGTTATCTTGAATAGAGATATACAGCGATCAATTCTGAGACTATTGTTCTTACGCTATCCCTGCGTTACGAAAACAAATACTACTTAATCAAGACCAAAACGTCGAGCACACATTAAACCTGAGGGTTTACCGGAAGTAGGGAGGACTCCCTTAGGAGGAGGAATAGTTAGATTATCGAAATGGAAATGAGGAGCGTTCTTCCTTTTCATTGTTATTGGAAGCGGGTAAATTTTCATTGTCATTGAAAATATTATTACGATTACTTCTCTGTTGTAGATCATAATTATAAGCTTTGAAGCGGAGAGAACAGCAACAGTGCCCGTCGGTGACGGAGATCATAATTATTATAAGAATCTATATTATTAATCTATATTATTAATCTATATTATTAATCTATATTATTAATCTATATTATTAATCTATATTATTAATCTATATTATTAATCTCGCCATTGATCGCCGCCATAAAACTCCCCGCCTAACCCACCGGAGATTAGTCAGCTTCTTTCGCGAAGCTATTGCCCATAGTCTCCTGCCCTTTCCCCTCAGTCTCAAGCCCGATAGCCTCCGGCCGTTTCCTTGTTGGGATTTACGTTGCGGCCCCGTGGCAGACCACCAGAAAAGAAGGCAGAAAAATGGCCGACGGGGGTGGGGGCGCAAGCTGGGGAGAAAAGTCCAAAGAGAGACAGCCAACGAAAGACCGCCCACCGAAAGGGCAAAGACCTTGGACCAAAGACACATGGACCAAAGCCGATCTTTGGACCAAAGACGAGCTTTGGACGAAGGGCGACCGTTGGACCAAGGGCGATCTTCGGACTAAAGGCGACCTTTGGACCAAAGACGACCTTTGGAGCACAGGCGATCTTTGACCCAAAGACGATCTTTGGCCCAAAGGCGATCTTTGACCCAGGGGCGACCTTTGGACCACAGGCGACCTCTGGACCACAGGAGACCTTGGGACTTAAGACGACACTGGGACCAAAGACGACCTTGAAACCAAAGACGACCTTGGGACCGAAGACGACCGCGGGACCACAGGCGACCTCTGGACCAAAGTGCGGCGACCTCTGGACCAAAGTAGGGCGACCTTTGGACCAAAGTAAGGCGACCTTTGGACCAAAGTAAGGCGACCTTTGGACCAAAGTAAGCCGACCTTTGGACCAAAGTAAGCCGACCTTTGGACCAAAGTGCGCCGACCTCTGGACCAAAGTAGGGCGACTTTTGGACCAAAGTAAGGCGACCCGGCGACCTCTGGACCAAAGTAGGGCGACCTTTGGACCAAAGTAAGGCGACCTTTGGACCAAAGTAAGGCGACCTTTGGACCAAAGTAAGCCGACCTTTGGACCAAAGTAAGCCGACCTTTGGACCAAAGTGCGCCGACCTCTGGACCAAAGTAGGGCGACTTTTGGACCAAAGTAAGGCGACCCTTCGACCTCTGGACCAAAGTAGGGCGACCTTTGGACCAAAGTAGGGCGACCTTTGGACCAAAGTAAGGCGACCTTTGGACCAAAGACGGCCGCTGGACCAAAAGCGACCTCTGGACCACAGACGACCTCTGGACCAAAGCCGACCTTTGGACCGAAGACGACCTTTGGGCCACAGGCGACCTGTGGACCACCGGCGACCTGTGCGTGGACCAAAGACGACCTTTGGGCCCAAGACCTCCGACACGACAAGAGTGAGACCCGCGACAGCAGACATCTGACGAACGACCTCCGCCAGAAAAACTGACGCGAGGCCTCCCTGTGGCGCGAGGCCCTTGAAGATAGCGAAGACCTTTCGCGAAGGACGTCAGTCCGGCGAACGCGGTCAATCTGGCGAAGCACGTCAGTCCGACGAAAGAACGGGGTCAATCTTACGAAGGAAAGACATCCGCAGCCCGAAGAAAGGCCCCGCTCAGCCTGTTCCCTCCGACGCAAGGCAGACGCCTGGCGAAGCATTGCGCCGGCCTGGCGAGAGGCCTCACCTGGCTGGCGAGTGCATCAGCCTGACGAACGGCGCCGAGCTGAAGCAAGCCATCAACCTGACCAAAGGCGTGAGTCTCGGCCCGGCGAGGAATGTCAGCCAGGCGAAGCGCTTCAGCCTGACGAGAGACGTCGCCCGACCCTGACGAAAAGCCTCAGCCTGACCCAAGACGCCTGCCGAGGGGCGCCGGCCTGCCCGACGAACGCCGCCAGCCTGGCGCAGAGCGTTGGGCTGACGAACGGCATCAGCCTGATGGAGGGCCTTAGTCTCCAGCTTGGTGAAAGACGTCAGCCAGCCGAGAGGCTTCAGCCACAGCCCGAAGCGCGACGCCGCACGACCCCGCGAAGTGCGCCCGCCTGTTTCTGACGAGAGACATCTGACGAAACAAAGAAGCCCCGCCAGGTGTAAGCGCGTAGAGAGACCCAAGCAGCGCGGCCCTGCGTTGCTTTGTCTTGTTTGGCCCATCAAGGTCGCCCCTCGTTCTTGCCTGGCGCCACCGCGAGGCGCTTGCGTGCGTTGGGGCTTGCGGATTCTTGTGCGTGTCTGGTGGCTCTCTTCTGGTTTTTTTGTTGGACTGCCGTGGGGGTCTTGCAAATTCTTAAGGATTTGCATGACCCGCCCGGCAATCTCAAAAAAAAAACCGAAGGCAGCGCAATGCCCTGCACATGAGTCGACGCATCTGAGTCGGCCACCGCCGGCACTCGGCTCTTGTCGTAGTCAATTGGTAAGGTGCATCAGCTCACCCGCCGGCTGTCTCTACTCTAGCGGCTGTAGCCCGTGGGAGGCCGCAGAAAAGTGCTAAACTAACTTGAAGCCGGGCGAAGCTTGTGGAGGCTAGTATAAATATAAATTATCTTAAATTGTAATTGTTCTTGCGTTTGTTCTCCTGATAATATTCAGTATTTTTTCACTACCACGAGTTGTGTCTCTCCACCCACCTGCCTGCCGCCACTTCGCAAGGACCACCTGTCAAGTAAGCGAAAGTCTGTTATCCGCTCTTGACGACTACATTCTCCAGAATTTTCACCGCTGCTGCCCATCGCACGCCCGGATCTCCACCCTGCATGTTCCCAAGAGTCCACTCGTCGTCTGCGCTTTTTCTCGCGCCCACCAGACACCGTGCTGGCTCATGCCCATCTGCGCTCCCAGAAATATTCCGCACTTCAATCCAACGCCCCCCGCAACTCGTGGTGCACTTGGTCTTGAATTTTATTAGGGGATCCCGATGGTCCACAAGCCTCACCTTGATCTTGCGGAAGTTGTGTTCGCGGTACAACGAGAGCAGACGCCACATCGTGAGACGCCGATTGCCCGTGCCTGCGAGACAAAGGAGATGACGTCCACCTGAAGCTGGATCGGGGCCGCGAGCCACTTCGAGTATCGAGAGACACCAGCTCCAGAAGCTCTTGCATAGAGTCCAAAATCCCTTTGCCCACACACATGCAGCCGTTCGCTGGATCGCGGAACTCGCGGAATTCTGGGCGGACGGTGTCATGCGTGAAGCGGATGTCCAAGGGAGAAACCCACCCAATGGTGCCAAATTGGGCACCGATCGGCGGAGGAGGAAATCGGAATTCTTGTGCGGTGAGGCGTTTTTCGTGCTCCGTGAGAGCTGACGCGGACGGCTTCTTCTTGTCGATGACGGATTTCGATGCTTGTAACTCGACACTCGCTTCGGGGCAGTTTATGAGTAATTCAGCAGGCAACAGATCCTGACTCAATGGCAAAGCGCCATCATACTCTTGGTTGCAGAACGGGCACTTCGGCAGGCCGCTAGCCGTCGTCCACTTCGTCGCGCACTCCGTGCACATGTTCCGCACGCGGCACTTGGCGTTATGCCGGTCGCCACCCAGAACGAGGATAGCCGGCATAATGAGACGCGCAGATTTCGAACCGACAGAACCAGCATTCTTGGCATTAGATGCAGCAGCAACAGCATCGGAGTCTCTGAACAGGTCCCAATATTTGTTGAAACAGATCAGGCAGTCTTCGTGGTCGTCGATCTTTTGACAGACGTGCAAAGGCATGAGGTGCTGAGGCATTACCTCGAAGCAGTCGGGACACTCGGATGGAGCCATCGGACACACGAGATCGTGGGTGCCGAGTTTCACTGACAAAGGTCCTGTCCAGTCACAGTGCTCGCATTTCACCATCCGCATGACGCACTTTTCCTCTTGATGGAACTGAAGGCGCCAGAAGGGGATGTCTTCGGCCTGGCACACCGAACAAGTCACGGATCGGGCTTCGCACTCCGCGGCGAGATGATGGTCCAAGTTATCGGCGACTACCATCCTGTCGCATTCGCTATGAGGACACGGAACCCGACGCTTTGCACACTGCTTCTGTTTGTGGCGCTTTAGCGAATTCTTGGGAATCGGAAGGCCACACTGCTCGCATGGGGGATGGACCTTCGTTCTGTTCTTAGGAGTGTCGGCCGCTTGTTGGTGAACAACTGGATCGGCCGCATCATAGTCCATCGCACACACCACTTCTACAGAGGCCTTTTCTGCCGCTGCTCTCCCCACAACAGAGCACTTTGTTAGCTCCGCCGGTGCGGCTTTCGGATTTTCATTTTCTTCTCGTATCTGGATCTCCCCGCGGTCGATCTCGTCACCAGATGAGGATCCTGACCTGGTTTTGGAGGCCGGCGTCGTGCTTGCAGGCGCAGAGACATTGATACCACAAACTCGTCTGGTGCAACCGATTCACACTTTGCTTGCTGCGTGTTTTGTGTCATTGCTGCTCCGACGTTTTGCTTGCTCTGCAGGTTCTGCTCAAGTGAACGAAGATCGCGCTTACTCAACTCAGCCCGGTCCAAAAGCTTTTGCGAAACCTTTAGCAGCTCTTTGTCGCACTGTGGCTCGACAGTGATTTCGGCGGTCGCAGCAGGCTGGTTTCCGAACAGCAGAAGCTTTACATCAGAAATCACCTCGTCGCAACGGGACAATGAGGTCTCTAACATCAGATGGGGGGGGTAAACATCCCGACTCATTACTTTCCCGCTGTGTTCCCGCGAGGATCAGCTTGATCTCATCGACGTCGCGCTGCACTTGACGGAGCTTCGTGAGATTTTCTTGATAGAGCTGGAGTCCGGCACAAGAACGCTCAGCTTCATAAGCTTGGCGCTCCTTCGCTCCACGAGCTTCATCGCGCTCTTTTTTCAATCGCTCCTCCTCTTTCATCTTCTCGCGATCGGTCCAGTCCCTGTTATTAAGCTCCAGAGTTTCACACCTTCGAGACATGCGTGCTTCATCCGCGTCGATCATCGCGTAGTCCTCATATTGCGTCGTTGATAGGATATCAAAAAACGGCAACTCGACAATGTCCTCGTATCGAAAACAGCACCATTCCCCTCCCGTCTCGTCGTACGTCTCGATGAAATCTCTGCTGCTCGAATCGGCACTATCACCAGTCCCAGGTTCCACGGAAGTCTGATCCTGGTGCATAGAGATGCTGCATGCGGAGCAACCTGCGAGAAATCGACGCCTTTCCGGCCTCGCTGGAAAAGGCACGATTCCCATGCGACGTATCGCTTTTACACGTCGAAGACCGTCTAGGCCTTCAAGTGTTGAGTCGCGCTGTTCGCTGCAGTCGCGCTCTCGGTCGTTCGACGCCGCTGTTCGGACTTGCTTTGCCGCTACTGTCTCTCGGTATACTATGATTAGTTTCGTTTTTTCCAGCGCATCCAACACTTGCGATCTGGACGGGAATGCGACCCCTGCACCAGAGGTGGGAGCCCTGTAACGCAGTCGCCGCTCCCGCAGCCATTTCAACGCGCCTGGAGCGAGAGGACTTTTCCAAATCGGGTCGCGGTTCTGACGCGCATAATGCAGTGCTTCCGAGAAACCGCCTTTTTTAAGGGGTCCAACATCTTCCTCCATGCTGTCCATAGAAGCACGAGTTTCCAGCTTGCGGAGCGCGTCGGTTTCCTCTGCAGCGAGGACGTCAGCCAACCAAGGACCCGACTTCAAAGCCTTGGTGAGTTTCGCGTCGAGAACTACAGGGCGCATTTTGCGATGAAGAGCCACCCACAGATCCAGGAACAGCATGTCCGCGCAGGCCGTGCCGGGTAGGTTATAGGCGCGCAGGATGGAGTTCTCCAAATAGCTAATATCTCGCATCTGAACGCAATAGCTCATGCAGCAGGACCGGACAGCCAAGTTATCGCTCGGACAAGAGAACAGCAACCGCTTAGCGAGATTCAGAGCCGCTTGCGTGTATTTTTTCGATTCAGACTCGGGTGTGATACACTCCGCAACAAGTCCTAAATTCAGCATTTTGTTGTGCAGAAGGCGCAGATATGCGCGATTGCTCATGTCGCTCCATGGTAGAAGTGGCTGACCACTCGTGGGAGACCACATCGGATTGCGCGCTTCACCTGCGTCAATGCCGCGGGTGCACCATTCTCCTGCAAGAAAAGCATATCTGAGTTTCATCTGCTGCAGGCGATCCCGCTCTGCAGGAACTGTCTGTGCTTGCTCAGACAGTTTGCACGCGACGCGCTTGTGCTGTTGAAAGAACCACCTTCCGATCATATTCCATGCGTCTGGGTTTCCGGGATCTATCTGAAGGGACTCCATGGCGATTCTCACCTTTTCGTCCTGTTTCGTGGACAGTGCGCCCAGGTGCATCATATCAGCCGCCGTCTTGACATGCGGCGCCTCTTGCGTCATCCCCGCTTCGTCCATAGCGTAGAGTCGCTTCCACGTGCCATCCTTATGCACGTCGGAAACGCAGTTCTTGTAAAAGGAGTCCAAATCCCGGCCAAGAACATCGTCGCGCGCTTGTAGCAGATTGTGGATCTCGGGATACGAGGCGCCTAGGTGTGGGTCGAGACATGCCAGTCTGCTTGCCTCAGCGCCTGAACCGACCTTGGCCGGACCGCTACACGGCTTGAAAACCCTCTCCAGCAACTTCATTCTGGCAGGGGTCATTTTAAAATGAGTCTTGGTGGACAACAGAGCCCGGATCGCGTTGAAATGCCGGTTTCTGTTGGCGCGCAAGACCTTCGACGATTCGGGGAAGCCATTATTTAGGCCCGCGTGAAAGCCGTGGAACGATGACAGCTGGATGAACCCTTCCACATGGGACTCAAAATGTTCGTCCTTGAGGAGTTCCTGCCCAGCAGACTCAGAAGATGTGGAAACGCTCTCCCTACGCGTAGCACTATCACTCAACGACGACGATGCTGCCTGAAGACTTAGCTCCAGATCTTCGTTTCCGCCGCGTGCCGCCAGCCTGCGCACGGCATCGGACGCTTCCACCTCGTCGGTCAAGAAACGTTGGACCTCTCCTTTGCCGGTGAAGTGGTCGACGACACTGAAACCGGTTTTGTCACCCTTCCGCGGTCTCCAGTTTCCCACACCTGTCATTAACACGGTCAGTGTCCTTGCTTCTTCCGAATCAGACGGAAGATCATCGCAGCGGTCTAGATGAGTTGCAGCGCTCTCGAAATGATCTTGAAATATCATGTAACCGCCATTCAAACTACCAATGGGTATGTATTCCATCAAGATCGGCTCACCAGGGTCGAAAGTCTCGGGGTCGAAGGTGGGCTTAAACTGCGCGTTGCTTCCGGTTGGGAGTCGCAGATTGGCGCTCGCGTTGCACGAAACAAGATCTTCAAGAGCAAAAGGAACGCATTCGTGATTAACCGCGGATGACCTGGTAGCGGAAAAGATAGCGCCACTGGCCCCAATTTGGGATCGTTCTGGGTGTGGGTGGGCTTGTTCGACAGTATAATTCAGCTGCACGAGGTGCCGGAAGTCACTCGGTCTTGAGATATCAAAAGCTGCGACAATGCCCGTCCTCCCATTTAGCTCTTTTAGAAGAGGACCGCTTTCTGTCACGGAATGAATCTCCACTCGGGTTCCAAGATCGAAGTCCGGCTTCCAAAGATTAGCGGACTTGATCGCTTTGGTGCTTGCGTCAAGCAACTGCAACTCATGCCTAACATTCTCGCCGTGGTCCCCGCCGCACGTTCCGGTGCCTAAGCGCATGACCTTCGCACATTGACCGTTCAGAGTCTTTCCCTGGTCGGACTGGAGGCCGTGAATCACCACAAAACTTCCGCTCCGGATGGCTCTTGAGTCCTGCAGACCGATGATGTTCGGATTTAGCACAGTGTTGGTTGGAGAGTTGATGGAGGCAGACAACGGCATCATCGATCCAATGCGGCTTACAAGCATCTCCATAAAGCCTCGGAATTGTCCATTCGCCGAGTCACTAATGCTGCTCCCGCCGACTCGAGTCTTTTTCGACGACTTCTTTCCACAGAAATCTTTTGGAATAGAGAGGGCGCCGTGGCCCACGGAATTGCCGGTCACTACTTCCACCGCAGTGTCACGTTGCGCTTTGGGAGAGATGCCTTCCTCCCTGAGCCAGTCTGCAAACCTGGGATCTACTACGGTAACTCTGCAAGGTCGGGCTCGGTCTCTTTCTTGGGGAACATGGCCATGGGCGAGCTTGTGGACTGTTTTTGTCCAGACTTGTTTGTAAACAGTCCGGCCAATTTTTTCGTGGCAAGTGACCGTGGCATAGAGAAAATGGCTCCCGCAGTTAAATGCCAAACCGAGACAGCTCGGAAAATTCTGATCAGTGACCAGCCTCCTGCGAAAATCCCTTGAGCACGCTTTCCTGGAGATTTCTTTTGAGATGCCCTGCAGGGTTGAGGGCTTGCTGGCCTCGGAATCCGGAATACAATCGATAGTTTCACGGATTTCGAGATGGATATCCGAGACGCACAACCCACTAGGGACCCTTTTTCTCGGCTGAAGCTGCTCGAATTCGCGCACAAAGTCGAAACCAGCGGCGTCCGCATCCCAATCGGGGTCGTCGCTTGCCGCGTCGCGCGGAATCCAGCTCGCTGACATGGTCGTTGGCCTTGGCGTTGGGGATGCCGAAATATAGTATGCTGTCTCGAAAGATGATTACAACAGTAGTCGATGTCTACTAGGGTGGTCGAGGTCGAGCGCGAAACTTGAATAACGAATGGAGGTGCATCATCAATCTCACGAGAGGTAAACCGTCCCGAAATCAATAAAGGCCGTTAAGGCATAATCATCTTCGCAAACTACACTCGGTGGAGCCCTCGCACTTTCTTCAATCATAAGCGCAACATCAATTATGTTGTATTCCGATTCGCGGCGATGCGGAGCAATTCAATTTAATTCTCAAAGCAGCTCGACGTCGAAAGAACAACTTCCCTGTTCTCATTCTTCAGGTATTCTTGATAGATACAAGTACAACTACTAGGCAAGACCAAAACTCTTCCACCGCGAGTCTGAAGCAGAATCAATATCGGACGGGTGCATTTGTCATGAATAATGTGTCTGGTGTTCTCGATCAACATCTAATTCCATGTGTATTTCAAAATCTGTCATTTCCAAACTGTTCACTATTCTGTGCAAGTCCTCTCGGCTTTTTCTAAGGACGTCGGAGTGAGCAGAGTCAGGCGGTAGTACCCGGTCCGACCTACTTGACGTAGATGTCGTGCTGGTACTCCCACTAGTTGTCCTGTCCGGTGCGCGCGCGGTCTTCTTTGCTTTTCCTTCTGCGTAATCTTCAATGCCTTGCGTTATCTGGAGAGAACGATGAGACGAATGTTGAGCGATCCCGCGATCATGTGACTCTTGTTCTAGTAGTCGCTGACCAGAATCCACCTCCTCATGCACTCCTCGGTTCTCCATTCTCCGACGGTTGTATCCATCATTCTGTACACGTCCGCTCGCCGCCACCTAAACGAGTTGAGATCTATGTGTACATCAAAAGCAACATGAAAATCTTCCAGATCTATGTTTACAAAATCAATGCAATAACAATTATTTCTGGCTCATCCACTAAAGCCTCACACACAGCGATGCCTAAAATTATTCATTTACTTACATTCAATCACGCATAAAAATACCGGCTTCTTTTTGTCAGCGGTACGCAAACGCCGAAATGCTTCCGCAATTGGAACAACTCCACGGCCATGCATAGGCGTGCGATAGGGTGTAGAGGAAAGCACAGCTGCGTCGTCTTCATCATCATCATCATCAAAAAATTCCGGGTCAAGAAGATGGCCGCGGCGCTGATCCATATCGCTTGAATCCTGACGGTAAAACAAAAGATTAAGATTTGGTGTTGTTGAAGTTGTTGTAGTTCGCGTATGTTTCGACGAAACCCCACCTTTACGTCCACCACCATGCAAACTCCTTCTTGACGCTGTTGTAGTACACTTTTCAACCGATTGAAGATGTGGAATGTCTTCTTTTTCTTCTTGCCTGTTGCCCATGTTCTTGCGCTCGCTGCCCGTCGTTATCTCGGTGTCTTTTTGTTCTTCACCTAGGTGTAGTTTGTTTTCTCCATGTTGACCGAGTAGGCTACCCCGCGAAAGCGAATGGCCGTTGTTGTTTCTCATGTTAGAGCTCCACTTCTCCTTGTTGGAGGATAAATAAGTGATTAATTCGTTATTTCTACTAACGATGTCTATTTTCCAAAACGGATCTTTGAAAGAAGTCGTTTTTCTAGTTTGCTGCTCAACACGACCCATCGCTGTGGTATATCTCAAAGTACTTACTTAGTTGACGACGCACTTAACAATATGCAGGCTGGACGTGGACAATCAAGTATCAATTTGAAGAGTTTATACCTCTCTTGCTCGAGAGCCATAATCATGTAACGCTGAGCTTCTGCGTGCACCTTTCTTTGAAGCTCCTCTACTCCGGTTTTGACGTTCAGCAAGATGCCTTGGACTGCGAGGCCTACTGTTGTATCTACATCAGAAAAAAGGTCGAGAGCAACTCGAATTTGCCTGCGCAATCCGCCAAGGTCTTTCCGTAGTTCTGTGCAATTCAAGATGGAGGCTATTGATGATGGCGATGAGGTTGGTGGAGCAGGTGGTACTTTTACATCTTCAGACCGATCATCTGAAGCAGGTGGAGCTCGACGCGTGTTTTTAGGTGAATCATGTGCATGTAGCTCATCTTCATCCTCAGATGAGTCTGGATTTTGTGTTGTACTATGCGGGTTGCTTATATCTTCATTGCTCTGCAGCTTTGCTTGTGTCTGTGGTTCTTTTTCAGTGCTGGTGGCGGTGAGCCGCGCAGTTGTACTAGTTCTGTGTCTTCTTGTTATGGTGATGTCTACGGTATCCCGTTCCCGGTCAACAGGTCTTCTATTTCTTGGGGAGTTGTAGCTTTCGTCCCTATTTGAGGCACTACGACTACTTTCTGTCTTTGTTGCTGTATTAGGAGTAGTTAATGTGGTTGTAGCTTTTCTCCTACTGGTTATTTTGAGGGGCTTTGGAGCTCCCGAGGTCGCGGAAGAAGTAGAACGAGGGCGAATTACTGGAACGTCATCTACCAGCGCAGGAGCATCGTTATGTCCGCTACGAGGATCACTCATTGAAGACATTCCTAGTGAGGTTGGCGTTACGCCTCTGTCTGTCCTGGAAGCTGTCGAGGAAGTTGCGCCTCCGCCTCGCGCGTCAGGATAGTAAAGACGATTAGCGCAACAGCATTGAAAACATCCTCGGGCTCGGCGCTCCTCGAATGTACTATTATTTATTTAATTATATGATAGTCTTTGTCTTCGTCGGCATACTCTCTCAATAAATTAAACTAGCATCATGTTTCGTTTTACATGATGGAGCTGAAAAATGAAAATGATTAATGAAGATTGAAACAGAAACTGGAGCAGGAGAACATTAACAACGATCATAAGTAGAAGGACGCCGTTGACTGAGGAGGACGCGTCCGTCCCGGTCTCTCTTGTGGAAGTGGATGTACTACAAACATATGCGCCTTAATGTAAAGCGGCTTTTTCTTCAACTTGATCCCCATTTGTTTGTGCTTCTGCATCTGCTTCCCATCGATATATTCAACTTCATAATCTCCAATTTTTGCAGGTTCTTCAGCATTCTTTTCGTCCTGAATCTGTTGGCTTTTCTTCGTATCTCTAGTTAAGATATGCTTTCGTGGATGTTTTGCTTGCCCAGAGGAGGACCTGATTCCTGTTACTGGTCTTGATTCCGGTCTACTCATCTGACTCCTAGAACAGTTGTCTAACGACGAGTTGAGATTTCCACGAGCCAGAAACGACGCACTGGATGAAGCCGGACTGATGTCTATCTGCTGTCTCGTCATTGAGGGTAGTACGCAGGCATCCCACAGCACTCGTTGTTCGTCAGTCTGCGCTGTTCCGCGGTTGCGTATTCTGGCATAGCTCGGACGAGCAACTACACCATCACTTTCAGGAGCCTGATTCATCTTTGACGATGATGTAGATGTAGAAGTTCTTTCTCTTTGTAATTTCTTTGCCGATCCATGTTGGTCAGGAGTGTTCATTATATTTTTGTCGTGCTTGTTCTTGTTGTGGTAGTGGTTATAATTATCAGGGACGTGCGTTTGTCGAGAGTTGCTTTCCAGCTTAAGAAATGTTGACGCTTTTTGTCTTGAGAGCGATCGAAAATGACGCCCCAGGGAGCTTTTGTCGACATCGCTGTTTGCGTCGATGGCCAATGCTTCACGTGCAGGGTGCGTCATCATGAGCATGATGGTCATGGACTTTTATATCAAAATAAATATATCAATCTCAATCAGCATCAATCTGATTAGCATTACTATCAACTTGCGAATTCATCTTCTCGATGACATTCTTTTACATTCATCCACTCCTCGCTGATGAAGAGGATCCCTTCATCGTCATCCGCCCACAACATTTATATATTAGTATTACTTAGTTACCTCATCTATCGGTGCCACTACATCAACTCTGCATCTCTCTTTTTGACCTTCCCTCCTCTGCTCGTTTCATCTTACAATTTTCTCGTAGCTGACGACGGACACTGCCAAGTTAGTAACTAGAACACCGTTACTGCCACCTGCTGAGAGCCGTCTCCGTACGCAGTGACACATGTGTGCAACCACGTCTACGAGTCTTGCGGTAAATATGTTGTTGACCATGTGTTGGCTTCCCGTTGTAGTACTACAATCGGACATTCGATAATTTCGTTGATGTGTTCGTGTTTACTACGTACTATTTTCGTTGTTCGGAACGAAAACAACCCTAATACGTGATTTATTACGTTTAGCAGATTTCATTTGACGCGACAAGTTGTTCTACTCCGCCCTTGTTCTTTGGCACCCGGAAAATCTGCACACTTCTGCTTCTCCTGCCCTACAGGAGCCTTGTCTTTCAGATATTCATTCGACTTTGGAAAAATTATATATGAGCGGCAGGCTTGTAGCTAAGTAGTTCGAGTTGTTCTTCTGCGCTGCCAAAGAGCTATAATTTCTACATTTGTCAATCCTCCACGAAAGAATACGCATCCTTTATCTTTATCTAGGTGCACAAACATATCCATCAGGAGTGGCGGACTCAATGCTAGATCTTCAAGTACTTCGAAAGTGCAGAGCAGTTCAAAAGGTTTCCCTGGGCGCATGGCATGGAGTGCATGGAACTCATGGAGGAGCATGGAGCACGTACTCCGTGCACTCCATGCGTGAAAATCTTTCGGGCGCCCTGCGGCCGCCTCTCATCTGTCAGAGCATACACGCCTCCAGCACGGTATTCCGGGGAGGCACCTCAAAAAGCCAATCCGCCAGCCCCAAATCCGACTGCTACGCCGAGCCCCGGGGCCGACGCGCTCACTCGCGGCCCGGGCCCGATGCCCTCAGGCCGCCTAAGCACCCGCAGCGCCGCCAGCGACTCCTGGGCGTATTACGTCCAAGACAGTGCGTCTGGCCTATCAACCAACCCTGGCAGCGAAGACTCCCAAGCCACTCACTCGCGAGCGGGGGCCCTTCAGGCGGCCAAGGCATCAGCCTCAGCGCCGCCGGCTGCACCCCTCGACGCAGTAATTGCCAATGGTTGGGGCTACAGCTCTCCGCCTACGCTACAACTTCCCGACGGCTACAACTCCCCGCCCACTCACTCGCACGCCCGTTTCCTTTTTAGCTCAGGGCCCCCCCAAACCAGCTGCAGCGCCGCCGCTAACATCACCCCTTGAAGCATTAGTCACCAAGCGCCCCCCCCGCGCGTCGGTCTAGCCTTCCTACCAGGCCCAACCTCGGCGGGGCATGCTTCACGCGTGCCCGTCCATTGCACGCCTGCGATGCACTCCATGCACCCCATGCGCAGACAGACTGCAGGCGCTCCATGCTCCACGCGTGCTATAGTATACATTACTGTGCTAGTGGAGTAAATGGCTCACGACGTGCCCCGCAAGCTCTACGCGCGAACCCTTTGCGCCCTTTCTTCCAATTTTTTTGCTTTGTTGTAGTTGTTTCATTGGATTAAATGTTGGTCACAAATGGAAGCCCATGAAGACCCACCAAGGCCCAAAGGATTGGGCCACCCGAATGTATGACCAAGATCGCCAGGCGAGAGCGGTAAATCATGGGCGCCATTCCAAACGTCTCGGCCATAGTCAAGGCGGGCGTCTGTGGTCTTTGTTTCTCTCCTCTCCAGTTCGTTGCTTCAGTCTCTCAGCTCCGTCAAGGACAAAGCCCCGCCGGAAAGATCCCAAGGGAACCCATAGACCCAAACGCGTAGCGTTCCGACTGTCAAAGCCAATGGCCAACAAGCTAAGGGCTTTCAGCGTTTCCAGATAGAAGAAACAACGCTTGCCCATAACTGTAGCCATGGCCATGCCCACCTCTCAGTTCATCTGAAAGAATACCAAGCCAAAGCGCACGAAGATCGCCAACACGTATCCTCGTTATATATAATATAAGTTCCTGGAGTATGATCTGGCGCGCATTCATTGATTCAGAAGGCTCCGCTAGGTCTACACGGGTACCAGCGTAGACGATCACACGAAGCCGATGACGATAGCACGAAGATACCCACGCGAGCGCGCCAAATGTCCCCCCTCATCAAACCCCACGAAGCAGCGGCAACTTCCTCGCAACCCCCGAACGAACCGCGCAACCCCGAAACGGCTACCCACAAGGATCAAACCGGCCAGAGCCAGCCCATTAGTCTCAGGCTGTAAATTCAACCTGCACCAGGCGCGAGCTGCGGCCAACGTTTCGCCCCGACAAACTATCCACGACTTATCGGTCTGTGTTCTTGTGGTCCAACATATTCTATTGACAGACGACTCACTCACTCACGGCTATTCTTGGAAGTTCTTTTTTGTTACATGGGTCTCCAGGTCTCGGCTATCCTTCCCGGCGAGAAGCCTGAAGCACGACGTCGGCCAGGCACTAAATTTTAGTACACACCGACTCTACGCACATTACGACTAAGCACGACGGCAATCGCTGTAGAAAAACTACAGAGCACACGTCCCAAGGGCCCAATAGATCAGCGCGTTACCTGACAGACCTACTAAATATTAAGAGCAATAAAACTTTGCAAACACTTCCCCTCCGAAGCCTCAACCTCCAACACCCAAACCCACAACCTCCGACACAAAAACAAACAAACCCCAAACCCATGAACCCACGAAACTGCGAAACCATGAAACCACGAAACCGTGATTGAAACCATGAAACCGGGAAACCGCGAAGCCACGGGGTTGAATTTCAGGGAAAAGGCTTAAAGTCAAAAGCTTTGGGACCTTGGCACTACTCACGAGATTCAATCTCAAAACGACGAAAAACGTGGAAAATTATCGAAATTCGAAAAACGCGAAGCCAAGAGATTGAATCTCAGGGAGAGGGCTTAAAATCAAAAAACTTGGGACTTTAGTACTTCAAACCCACGGAATTCAATCCCAAAACGGCGACAAAATGCGGAAAATTTTCGAAATTTGAAAAATGCAAACCCAAGAAATTGAGCGCCATGGAAAGGGCTTAAAGTCAAAACTTTGGGGCTTTAGCGCTTCAAACGCACAAAATTCAATCCCAAAACGGCGCCAAAATGTGGAAAATTTTCGAAATTTGAAAAATGCAAATCCAAGAAATTGAATTTCAGGGAATGGGAAGGGCTTAAACTCAAAAAGTTTCGGGATCTTAGCACTTCAAACGCACGAGAAGCAATCCTCAAACGATGGCAAAACGTGGAAAATTTGCGAAATTTGAAAACGCATAGCGCTCACATCTTTGCCGTGCTTAATTTCTTATTTTGGGGAGGAGGGGGATCCTAGTGGGAGGGATGTTATCGGACGCTCCAAGCTAGTACTAGATACAACAATGATGGAAATGCGCCATGCTTTTGTGGTCTTCGCTTTCGTCACTGGTATTAACTTTATCGAGGAAGCGAAGGGCGCCTCGCCCGTGGCCTTCAGAAAAGCAGAAATTTTCAGAGACGCCTACACCTTGACCTTCTCGCTGATCTTAAAAGGGTAGAAAATGCACAGTCAGTTGTGTTAGTAGCAACCAAGATCTTGGAGAAGTAGCTGCATGAATGGTAGGCACGCATCAGGCGATGGGCTTCATCAACGTTAGGCTTTCACGGTCTTCATAATAAGAGTCTACTCGTCATATGGAGTAGAAAACGGACCTGACGGAAAGGCAAAGGGTGAGGGCCCTGTCTATGTCTAGAAATTTTAATTGAAAGTTGTCCACCTTCTCGATCAGCCAGCATCCTGCTGTCGAGTGGGAAGAAAAAATAACAAATATAAATATAAAAAGTTAAATCACTGCGAAGGTGATGCTGGTATGGAATACACTCAAGAGGATTTTTTTACTTGTTCCCTCCGAACGTTTTCCGCTCTAGTACTCCGAGCAGCAAACATCTTCATTTCTCCAAGCGAACGTCTCACGGAAAAATACAAAGAGTTAGACAAGATATGCTTATTCGCAAATATGCTTGAATCCTTAACCTTAAGTTTGTGATTATGAAAGTACAAGAAGACTGATGCGCAGTAGCTACTCAGACTAGTTCTGAACAATGCAGGAACAAGAGCCGGATTTGGATTTGGGGACTTGTTCAGAAAGTTATTACTTTTTCTTTTTAGTAGCCCGTCTAGTAGTGCCAGGGAGATTGAAAGAATCCCCCGACCTTCATCCAGTTCGCAAACCGGCAGCAGGCTGGCGGGGCAAGTTAGCCCCTCTATCAAACTATACTCTACGAGCCCGCCGATTATAAAATGATCAAGAAGCCACTTAGGAGGTTGGGTCAATGACTACGCCACAAATTCAAGCGATTTGCCGATCGATCGCCTCACTCATAGCGCAGACACACAGGCCGGGGCGAGCAGCCTGCCAACTACTTGTTCTACCCTCATCGGCGCGCGCAGCCATTGGCGAAACTGGCCACCACAAGGGGCGCAATACAGTTCGCAAGCAGCAGACAGGCAGAAAAATTCCACAAGGAAAGAGCAGATACTTTACGACCAGCCACAGAAAACAACTAAGATAGGCCAACTCAAACTTGCTAAACCAAACCTACCCTACCTTCAAGCCAACCCAAGAAGCATGCAATAGAAGATGAGGGAGCGCCGACTAAGAAGTAAGAGTAGACTACAGGACGAAAGCTAAGATTTAAAACAAACAACTCAGACGGGCGGAAGCTCAGGAAAGGAAGTAGTAACTAGAAGTCAGCTCAAAGTAACTAGAATACTAAATACGTGGACGATACAATGACACGTGGACGTAAGAACAATACGGACCACGATACAATGATTATAGTAAGTAGACCTAGACACAGATGAGATGGAGATGCTCCAGATGACGAGATGAAGACCAAGCTTTACCTCCAACGTTCGGCCTACTTTTCAGTTTGGCGTTCTCTTCTTGCTTCTAAATCTTGCTCTTGATGCATAAGGCTAAGAGCTGTTGCAAGTAAGATATCTACATTTATCGACATGATCTGCATGTGCTTGTTACACGCCTTGCTTTCCATGGTTGCTTGCAGTGCTGTCGCCTTCTGGACAACCAAGGAGATAACAGTGTCGCGCTATGCTTGTTGCGGTAGCGGTCGGCTTACGAAGCCGAACGACTGATCAGAATGCCCAGCAAACAAAAGGAATGGCTCTCCGTTAGACACTCCCAAGACAACACAATTGGCACGCAAAGCAGAATACGACTAAACCGATTTCCAATATATAAGCACGATCAACTATATTCCTAGTGCGTGGTCTAGTATTAGTACAATTTTCAATTAGCGGCAAATCTAAATCTATCAAGTTTAAAAAGGTAAATAAAAACATTGAGATCGAGTATACCAGGAGGAATGTCAGTGACCCGCCTGAAAGCCTGATAATATATTTATAAGTGCTACCGCGATATGTAGTCTGTTACATTAATCCAGCTAGACGCCCTTTTATCACAGAAATATCCGTCATCTACGATCGCAGATGAGGTATACCCTAGTAAACGCAGGATCAGGGTGGTGTGGAGGTTAGGTTAGGTTATGGATCCTGCACGACGAGCCCCACCGGCACCTGCTCGATGAAAGTATGGTATGTATTTATGTATGGAAGGGGACTAAGAAACACGCTGGGTCTTACGTACGAAGATGCGGCAAAGCAAGCAGCCCAGTGCAACGAAGAGGTCTTACACTTTTGCTTTTGCGGCGCTTCAGTGGGCCCGTGCTGAGTCTCCCGGGGAACTTAAGGCCGGGTAGGGGCCATGGAAAGTATGATATAAATTGTATTTTAAATGTTTCTTAGAAGGGTTCTCTTTCTCATAAATATATTCAAATTTCAGGAGTTTCTTCAGATATTCTAGTCTACGGCGAACCTATGACTATGTTGAGGATAAGAAACGATAATAAATATATTATGACACGAGATGGCCGCTGCAATGACAGTCACCTGCTACTTAGTACGAAGAAGTAGAACAAATTGAAAGATTTTTAAGCAGCGGCCGAATCATCGGCATTCGTTGCTATAAAAAACTCGGACTCCTGAACGCTACGAATACGAAAGAAGCATCTGGATAACAAAGTCGCAACTTCCATCAACATAATCTCTATCAAACAAATCTAAGTATGTTGTGCAAGTCTTTTTTCAAGTTACTACTACGGCCTTCCTTTTAGATTTCTATGGATGTGAAGTCGTCAAAGCACTCACAAACCACAGAAGCCCATTCACGATAATATTGCATCTAAACCCGCTTGCGAGTGCCAAGCAGAAGCATGGTTCTCCAGGTGGATTACTAAAGCAGTTCCTCAATGCCATTCGTAGTGGTTGCGTCGACTGTCCGAAGCCCCAAGAAACGCATCTGCATTTTTAGAACTAGCAGTAGCACCAAAGAGAGGGGCTATAGTATAGCAGTCATATATGGCCCAGGGCTCAGGGCTACGGCGCCCCCCCTAGCTTAGGGGGGGCACCGGTAGCCCCGGGCCCCTTTTTAGGGCGTATGCCGGGGGTGGAAGGCCTCAAAAGGGGGCCAAGGGACCCCCCGCCCCCTGCTTCCAGCTCGCGGCCTGGCTGTTCCCTATAGACCTCCGAGGTAGGTGGAAGGCTTGAAAAAGGGCCCAAGGAGCCGCCTGCGCTCCCTTCCAGGTGCCTGCCTGTGCCCTACATGCCTCCTATATGCTTCACCGCCGCAGCAGTGCGCCTCTAAGCGTGTTCCTTAGAGACCTCCTGGCCTCTGCTGACCCTCACATGCGGGAGATCTCCGGGGTAAAAGGCCACCGAAGGCGGTCACGGTCGCAAGAGCCACCAAGCCGATGACCAAGGGCCCGGAGGGTACAGGGCGCACGGCTCAGGAGGTCCAGCCCCTCGCCGCGGCGGCGAAGCATAGCGGAGGCACTTAGTGCACAAGCACGCACCTGGAAGGGGGGGCAGGCGGTCCCTTGGCTGGGCCCCTTTTGAAGCCTCCCACCTACATCGGAGGCGTGTAAGGAACAGCCAGGCAGCTGAAACGGAGCGGAGGAGGCTAGTACTTGGGCCCCTCTTGAGGCCTTCCACCTACGTCGGAGGCCTGTAGGGACAGCCAAGCACCTGGAACGGAGCAGAGGAGGCCACTGGGGCCCCTCTTGAGGCCTTCCACCCCCGGCAGACGCCTCCAAATGGGGGCCGGGGCTACCGGTGCCCCCCCTAGCGTAGTATAAACGAAGCTCAGCCAAAAGGATCCACTGGGGGCCCTGCCTTAACCTTCGACTTTTCTGCCTAAATTTTGACTTTAGGCAGAAAAGTCCAAACTTTAGGCAGAAAAGTCCAAACTTTAGGCAGAAAAGTCCAAATTTTAGGCAGAAAAGTCCAAAGTTTAGGCAGCAGAAGCCAAACAAAGTTTAGGCAGAGAAACGGCGCGAATTTAGTCCACCGCCCCGCTCCGGAGCCACCGCAGAAGTGAGCCGTTAGGCAGTGGCCTGGTGAACTTTTAGGCAACCGACTCCGCCGCAGCGGAACACCGCTAAAGCTGCCCAAACAAAGGCAAAACCTGCCTAAATTTAAAATTTAGGCAGAAAACTCGAAGGATTAGGCAGACCGCGAAGGGATCCTTTTGGTACAGTGTTCGTTCATAACTGGTAGCCCCAAGCCCTGGATCATATATAAACATATTCTTAATCAAAATGCGAATCATGTTGTATTCAGATTTTTGAACAAGAAAAGCTCAAACACGAACGGGTCATGGAGATATGAGCTTGAGCATGAAGATTAGAAGTCCAGTTCGTGGGTGTGTGGGTGAGCACATACAAAACTATTCTGAACAGGAAGAGTGGAACTCAACATAAGCATAGCGCTGCTGGTGCTGCCTGGTGTCGAGAACATCGGGATCGGTGCTGGATGTTCTCCTCCTTTGATCATCGCGGAATGGTGTGAGTGCGACCCATGAGACCACCATTCCCACGAGGACGAAGACGATGGGCCGTAATCATAATACTGATGAGGACTAGTCCTAGTTCCGCTCTCCAACCACGATGGTGAAGAGGCATCCTCCTGCGTGCAGCGAGCTGCTGACCAGTCGCACGTTGCATAGGTGTAGTTGGAAGTAGTTTTAGGCTGCACAGAAGTACAAGTAGCTGGGTATCTGCCCCCCGCATCAAGGCGGGTGACCATGTCAAGACATTCCTCATCCGAGAGACGATAGAAGCAGGCAGATGGTCTAGCAGCTGTAATATGATGCTCGAGTGTATGATCTGAAGGCAAAAAATGCCGCTCCTGGTGTGCTGAAGAATGTGAATGCATCCTCGGAATTGAATCGATATCGCCACCCGGCGCGTGTTGTGGCAGTGATGGTGGTAGTGGATGTGTCACGTTGGCAGCAGGTGCCAACCCTGGCATGTACATACTATCAGCACTCGGCACTTGTAATGTGGTGCATAATTAGCGCCAGCAAAGATGAAGTATACTCATCGAGGCCCCTACTTGCTTTATACTTGTTCGCTCCACTGGATCAAGATGAACACAAGTACAAAAATAGCACCAAAACAGCGAGAAAAATAACGCTAGAACGATGAGCTTCCCACTTCCGTATACGCATTAGCATCCTCGTGGATCCTCTAAGGTCTACCGAGCGAGTCTCTGGATCTCTCTAAGCAACGAAAATTGATTTTTAACGATGAAGAAAAGGCCTTAATGTTGCTGGGCGGCAGCTCCTCCGTAGTGCAGTGCTGCACCACGACGAAGCAAGTTTTGACGGTGGAGCCTTTCGTGTACTGGAAGTCTACCCCTAGATGACGCCAGCATTTCAGGTTCAGGATACCACAGAGCATCATAATTAGAACTCGGATCAGAAATGGAAATCCGTCACCATCTTGAAAAATATCTTATTTCTATAATCGTGTCTTTTCTCGTCCTTCCAGAAAGCACATCGTCATACGCTGTGGACGCGGATTTCGCGGTATGGCCTTAACTCTGTAACCAAGAGATCCGGGCGCCGACGCAGATGCATCGCAGTACGGACCTGGCGGAGGTGGAATACTGCCACCGATCGCGTGCTGAGCCCCTTGATCAAGGGGAGGCGCGGCATCTTCAAGGCTGCGCAACATACCTTGATAATTGTGCTTCATTCATGAGAATTTGATGTCTGACGTGCTGTCGATGTTGTGAGGTCTTCGCAAAATACTGTCGAGGCTGTCGAGCCACGCTGGTCAATAATACTAGACGAAAGTCATGACTGTGAATAAAACAACTAGAACTACTCTAACCTTAACCACTACTACAGCTCCTATTTCTACTAACTATAAATACAATCAACATGTTGCGACCTCGTTTTGTAGACGCCGCTAATAAAGACCACGCGAGTTACTACATTGTATCTATAATGTCTTGCATGATGAGTATGAGAAGAGCTTCAACAAAGATGAAGTAGAATATTAATACCAGAGAGGATTTGTGGCAAATAGATGAGCGCCTTTTCCGCGACGGCGATGCAGTTTTCATGCGTTAAGACGTTCTTGTGATACTTCAACACATCACCCAGAGTTTCGCAGGTGCAAAGGTTACCTGGAAAAGCTTAGAAGGGAAGTAGAGGATGCTCGTCAGGCAGAACAACGCTTCATATATCCGATTTCAATCAGGAGGATTTCCGTGCTTACTGATGGTGATTCTGATCTTGACAAACAATGGAAAGAAAAAATGTAGTTTGCGCGCATTACTTGGACCTAGCAGTGACATTGTGCACGACTTCACTTTGCCACAGGATCATAATGCTGCTCGCCATGCAGGAAGCAAATCGCCTTTGCTGACTCGAGCCACTGCGTGTCTGTGATGCCGCACCTGTAGATGACCTGCTCCAATTCGTCGACAGCCTGTATCCTTCTCGGGGACGAGCTTTTACCATCTCTTTCGGCATCGGCGTAGACGGTTAGGGGTGGAGGAGTAGGCGCAGAAGCAAACAAAGCAGCCCTTTCCTCGGAGTAAGTATGTTTTTGAACAGCCACGATTTCTCCTGGTGGCTCCTGCTGCAGTGTCTGCTCGTTTCTACTACGTGTCCTGTGCCTTACTGTAGTCTCACTGTCAACTTCAGAGTGATATAAAGATCCGTGCGCGTGCCCCTCCTCCTCCTTCTCGTGCTCCTCGCGGCTTTGTGCTCGCAATTGTCGCTGTATTTCGTCCAAAATGCTTTCGATATTGGGAAAAGCCGGGAAGTTTCTCTGCGGTGACTGGTCTTCGCAGGGGCTCCCCGTAGCTGGCTCGTCCCCGTTGTCTACTTGCATCAGCATATTGGATGAAACTACTGCGTCGACGTCGCGTGAATGATCACGCCGATGGTGAGTAGATCTAGAACGCGGCCGCGCTTCTTGTGCGCTGTGTAGAGCGGGATTGTCATCATCCGGTGAAGGTGACGGAGTATCACAGAGAGAACGCCAGCGCGCACGTGCAAATCCTTGGTGATGACCAATAGTGGTTCCTCGTCCTCGTCTCCGTGGAGTAGCTTGTGCCAGTAAAGAATGATGATCGTTCGCGTCTCGTCCTTCGCGGTCTGATGTCGGAGGATCGCTGACCAGTGCTCCTGAATGTGAATGGTAACAAGCGAAATGAAAACCATTTTCTTGTTGTGGTGGCGATTCTTCAAAGCCAAAGCCAACAGTAAGGCGTTCAAGAGGAATTTGTTCGACACGATACGTAGCGTTTCTGGTTCCGGCGGAGAGAGGCACGAAAGGCAAAAAGATTTTGCTTGTCGTGCTAGCTTCTCTTTCTGGACGCGGAGCTTTGCTCTCATCACTTTTCGTATGAACAGACGAGCTAGGCGGCTTCGGTGCGCAAATCGGCGGTGTGCCAGTGGCCTCTGGCAGCACTTGGAATTGAGAGCCTGGTGATGGATGCATGACCATGATGTTGCATCGCTCAATTTCCACCTGCTGTGTTACATCCTTCATCGTGGCAGAGTCGCTGCTTCCGCGCGCTGCACCAGTGTAGTCGCTAAGCTTTTCGGATTCTGGAAGCGGTGAGGCGCGGCTTGAGCAGCTACTGGCGCTAGGGTTAGAACACAATTAATATGAGTGGAGTCCGCTCACGCTCTTGTTACCGATTTTTTTGTAGCCAACTGAAAGAAAAAATAATGATCATGGTGAGGGTTAAATGCTATAGAATGTGCTGTAGCATCAACAGCATGTAAAGCGATTTTGTGATTGCGATCATCATCTTCGCAGTCCCACCTCGTGTAGTTCCTGATCCTGTGTGACTTAATACTTATATATGTACCAGGGAGGGAGGCCCCCCCCCCCCCCCCCTGTGGATGGATCTGGGGTGGACCACGCCAGCGGGGTCCAGCCTTGCCACCTTATTGGCCAGGCCTGTCGAGGGGCTGCCGGG